GCTGTCGCAGAGAGTGCATGGAAATCGCATGTCCTTCCCAGGCAGTCTAAAAATTAGTCAATTAGTCCATAATTTGTTATGGAATTTAACTTATTTACTGATTAATCATGAATGTTAATGATTGAATTATGCATATTATTTCCTTTAACCCCTTAAGGACACATGACATGTGTGACATGTCATGATTCCCTTTTATTCCAGAAGTTTGGTCCTTAAGGGGTTAAACATATAACATGTGTAGCACCAATCATTGCCTTTAGACTACTTTAGAGTCATATACATCGACTGTTTTAACAGGTATTTGCACAATCAAACTTCCAAAACAGAAATGGAGACAGACTCTCGATTTACAGGGTCTCTCACCTTGTCACCTTGATTGGACTTAAGGGACATAAATTACTTTAAAACTACTGTCTTAATTTAAAACCGTTTAGATAACACTGACTACCTTGCATTGAATTGTCGTCAGTAGAACGGTCCCATTGTCTACATTCCATAAATGGGTTCCATTAGTCTCCATCTCACAATGCTACACCTAGAACCGCTGTTGTCATAATTCTACTCCCAGAATGGTTGTTACAACAGAGATACCTGGAGACCACAAGCAGAAACATTAAGGTGCAAAGCTGGCGTGGATGTTTCGCCTGTTAAGAACATGGCATTCCTGTTTACACTACCACAAACTGTGAGTTCAACACATCACAGGGGCAATGTCCTAAATACTTTGTAATCATTTTCAGAGTTCATCAGCTAACACCTGACCACAACTTGACCGATACAGCTCATTCCAAGTGACCAGGAGTTGGGATTTCAGCTAAACCTGGGAGAAGTTCAACAGGAAACCAAGTAGTCATATGTTCTTACCATAAGCTTTGCACTAATTTAATATTTTTTAAAAATGTTTTTATTTTTTTATATATATTCCTTAATGATAGTACTTAACAGTGAACTATAACCTGAAGAGCCGCAATGTACAGGCTTTCTAGTTTGAACGCCTGGGGCTCCCTGCTAGAAAAGGACTCTATCACTTTTGTATCCTCTCAATGGCGCCTTACGACCCTACGCCCACCTGTCTTGTGAGCCATCCCGTGTAACAAATTCAAACAACAAGCGATGTGCTTTTACATTACCCATAAGAGTTCATCGTTCTCTTTCTGGTGCAATCTAAACATTGCCTAAGTCCTTTCTTTGCTGGTTATGATGCTTTGTGCCATTTTTGGTTTAGTCTCCCAGGGCTGGATTCAGGTGGCCGCTTTGGATCTTGTATAGGTATGTCCCAGTCTCTCAGCGTCTTGCGTCCTTCCTCCACTGTCCTGATCGTGTGGAAAGTCCCGTTTTTTAGCACCTGGATCTTGGTGGGGAATCCCCATCGATAAGGCACACTTTGAGCCTGCAGAGAGGTTGTAATGATCGCCAGGTTCCGCCGTTGTAGTAATGTAGCCGGAGAGAGGTCCGCGCATATTTGAAAAGCTTTGTATTCCGCCAGCAGTCAGTTTTTGCGGCTGGCTTTCATGATTTGATCTTTCACATGAAAGTAATGGATCCACATTAGCACATCTCTTGGTGATGATAGCGGTATGTGCTTCGGCCTCCCGACCCTGTGTATGCAGTCTATGATAAGAAGTTCTGGGTCCACTTCTGGTATGAACTTGGCGAAGAAGGATGTGGTATACTGAAGCAGTTGTTTACCATCAACATCTTCTGGAATGCCCCTTACTCTCACGTTTTTCCTCCTGGAACGATCCTCCAGGTCTATTAGTTTATCTTCATGGGCCTTTATTTTGTGCTCGAGTTCCTGCATGGCATCTGCCATGCTGTTATGGGCCTCTACATGCTCCGCCATTTTGTTTTCTATGTGTGAAGTGCGTTCCCCCAGCTCTGTCACATCTTTAGATAGGTTGGCTATTACCTCTCTGAATTAGTGCATCACGGAGGTATTCAGAGTCTCCAGCAGGCATTTCATCCTTGACTCTGTTATTGGTCCTTCACTCCCCACCTGAGTTTCGTTCTCTGTGTCTGACGTCTGAACCTCCGCACCGTCATCGGCTCCATCTTGCTCTCTCTCCGGCGTTTTTTTTTTGCTTGGGCAGCTTTTGTGTGAAAAATGCCGCCTTGTCCATTTTTGTTCTGCTTTTTTGCTGCCATCGGGTGGAGTAGCCTGTCTGTGCTCGGTGGGAGTTAGTTGCTGCTTTGCTCTTGCAGTTTTAGTCGCTGTTTATCGCTGCTGTTCGCTGATCGGGTAGGAGCACAACACTCATGCGTCCATTCCCGCTGGCTGCCAATCGCACTAATTTATTATTTAACCCTGAAACTCTCAATAGACTGAACAAACACGGAACCCAGCAGTTTTCCATAGATTGAATGAACCCGAAACCTCTCAATTGTCTCAACATTTAAAGCTCTTCACAGACGAAACAGTGAACCTCAAAGTATTTCATAGACTGAAATTCTGAAACCTGTATTTCTTTATGGACTGGACACTGAATCTTTAAATTTTAATATCACGTTAAGTTCCCACAATTCTCACTTTAATGAAATACCCTATTCGCGTTTAGTTAATATTTAGAATTGTGCAAAAATGTGCTGTGTCTATAAATTTCTCAGTTTATTTGGAATTAAAGCATTACCTGAATGAATTGATTAGTTTGATTGTGGAGTAAAAGGTTTTTGATTCATACTAGGGATGTGCACAGGCAAAAAATTCGGTTCAGTTCGGACTTCTGAAATTCGGGACTACGGCAGTTCCCTAACCCTACTCCTAACCCTACCCCCACCCATTCCCCTAATTCTAACCCAACCCTAACTCTACCCCTAACCCCAACCTTCCTCTACCCCAACCCTAACTCTACCCCTAACCCCAACCTTCCTCTACCTCTAAACATAACCCCATCCCTAACCCTAACAGGGTTAGGGTTAGATTCCTGTCATTATTCCCTTAATTTTCCCTCCCTCTCCTGTTTTGCCACTTTTCAGAAAACCGAAGCACTTCAGCACTTCTGAAATTCTGCAATTCGGTTCGGTTTGGCACTTCCGAAATTTGGCACTTCGGTAATTTGGGACTTCCGCAATTCGGTTCGGCACTTCCGAAATTCGCCAATTCGGAAGCATTCGAATGTCAGAATTGCCGAAATTCGGCCGAATTTAAATTCAAACCAAAACAAATTGCATATGTCTAATTCGTACAAAACGTTTTTGGATAAAACAAATGTCAAGTCTGTTAATACTCACTTTCTGTTAAACAAATATTTCAAAGTTACCCCTTTGTTCTTTGTTTAAATACTGTTTATATCATTCTTAAAGGAAGACTATAGGGCCAGGAAAACAAACTTGATTTCATGGCACTATAGCTACCCCCTCCATTACGCCCTCCATTACTTACCTGGGTCCAGCAGCGATGTCCCTCGGGGCTGGTTAAGGTCCGCCTTCACACCACCTCGCCAGCCGCACTCACATTAGGATTTCTCAATGGGAACAATGCTTTCCTATGGGAATTTCGGTGACACTGGATGTCCGCATGCATATCGCTCCTATAGTGTCCCTTTAACAACAAGTGGGATGTCTAATTGTCACAAAATGGCTCTATATCATTCTCACTATAAGTGTGGGACCTACTATCCCAATTCTATTATGTTGTATTCAGTTTTATTGCATGCATTCCAAATACTATTTTGATGTATGTTTTATGTTGTTGTTTTTTTTATTGATCAATAAAAATATATTGGAAACAAAATTAATTTGAAAGAATTCTCTGTAATGTACTGTGTAGTGTAGAGTGGTTTGAGTCCATATATATCTGCAGACAGCAGTATTGGCCCTAGTATCTCTTTTTCAATGCATTATATCCATAATGAATTAAACAAGATGAGGGTGACTACTTTTGTTTCTGTTTTAAAAGACACTACACTACAGCTGATTTTGTTATAAAATCTAGTACTTAAAGCGGTACTGTCATGTTTGTTTGTGCCTCCATTTTGTTCTCCTCTGTCAATAATGTCTGCAGTTTGCCGTCTGTGGGATTCTTTTGACTGGTGGATTGTTGGTAAGTTAACTTAGCAACAGTAGTGGATAATTGCTCAAACTCCGTCAATTGCCAAAAATGGCCAAACATCACTCTACTTGTGATTAAAAGTAGACCCTGCGTCTTCTTCTGTATCACTTAAAAACTAAGGGAGGAAAAAAAGAACAAATCAAGGAGATTTAGAGGGGAAAAAATTGTTTATTTAAAGGGACACTATAGTCACCTGAACAACTTTAGTTTAATGAAGCAGTTTTGGTGTATATAACTTGCCCCTGCAGCCTCACTGCTCAATCCTCTGCCATTTAGGAGTTAAATCCCTTTGTTTATGAATCCTAGTCACACCTCCCTGCATGTGACTTGAACAGCCTTCCATAAACACTTCCTGTAAAGAGAGCCCTATTTAGGCTTTCTTTATTGCAAGTTCTGTTTAATTAGGATTTTCTTATCCCCTGCTATGTTAATAGCTTGCTAGACCCTGCAAGAGCCTCCTGTATGTGATTAAAGTTCAATTTAGAGATTGAGATACAATTATTTAAGGTAAATTACATCTGTTTGAAAGTGAAACCAGTTTATATTTCATGCAGGCTCTGTCAATCATAGCCAGGGGAGGTGTGGCTAGGGCTGCATAAACAGAAACAAAGTGATTTAACTCCTAAATGACAGTGAAATTGCAGGGGAATGATCTATACACTAAAACTGCTTTATTTAGCTAAAGTAATTTAGGTGACTATAGTGTTCCTTTAAATGCAAAATCTAGAAAAGTGACAAAGCCACTTTAAGTAACCAGGTAAAAAAGAAAAGCGAGCATATGTAACTTCCAATGTAGCAGTTATGGTTGTTGAAGTCTTTATAGGGAGATGTTAGAATTTTATTAATAATTCTCTGACTATATTATTAATCCTCACCGCAGAAATACGACTCTGAAGAACTGATGGACTCAATGGATTTCACAAGAATTTTCTGGGGTCACTCAAAAACCAACATGACATTTGGAGAAGAACCGGTAGATGAGACGTGGCAGACTGCTCAAGAGAGGAAAAACTTAGTTGTGGGGTTTTTGAGCAACGAGCTCAGCGAGTCTTCAATCAAGAGGCACCAAACTAAAGTTGACCTTCTTCATAAACGTGCATTTTATATTGAGATTTTCCCCTATCTCCTGCCAGTTGGGGATCAAAATCACCTTTTGATGCCCATATCCGTTTTACAACACATAGACCCACTTAGATTCCGACGTGTAAAGGAGCTTGGGAATTCACAGGCCAAGATTCTGTTGATCCTATTGACAGAGTATTTGGAGCAGCTACAGAAAGGACGTAGTTTTCTTCTCGAGGTAATGAAGTCCTATGATGTCAATAGCTACTTATCCAAATGGGAAGAGGTCACTGAGAAGTTGACAGAGCTAACTAGCCTCTTGGACAGCTTCCTGTCCTTGCAAACACCCTGCCGGCTGCATGTTAAGCATCTCCTTGTGCCACATTATGGACCAACCAAGATTCCATCCGTCCAGGTGATTTTAAAGAGTAAAGCCCCAGTGGTATTCGACCGCTTTGAGTCAGTAGCTTATGAGAATTGGGCATTTTTGAAATGGCACGCCTTGACAAAGCAGAGTACAGCAGAAAAGTATGAGTTGCGTTTTAAGTTGCTGGAGAAACGGACACAGCAAGAGAGGGCCCACACAGCCTTGATCTCTGTCACCACCAATTTTTTTGAAATCCATCAACTTCTCCCCGATCGATTCTATGAGTTCTCTGTCCACTGGGCCAAGACTCCCACGCTAGTATATGAGGCATGGCATGACTCGATCACACTACGGACAAGTGTGTCCCATAAAACAACTCGCAGAGAGTGATACATCTTTGAGGACTTTTATTGTCAAAACTGGTGAACTGACAACTTAGTATAGATCAATAAAAAAATAAATAAAAAAAAAGAAAAATGTCCAATAACCAGGTGTTTGTTTGATGTACTTAATTTAAAACAAAAACAGTTGATTTTTTTTCCAGCTTCATTGTTTTAATCTAAATTAATGTAATATAAACGACACCAGTAACAGTTTTGTTTATAAACCACAAATTACTCACAAATGGAAATTGTTCTGTACACACATTTATTAAACATCACAAAAAATATATTTCTTTGTAACTGTAAGATGCTTTTTTAAAAAGACAAATTACAATGATAAAATAAGACAGAACAACGACAGTGCTAGGTAAATAAGGTTGTGTGCAAATATTGCAAAGTAACAAAAAGCAGTATTAAAAAACGCTGGATTTATGAAAAGCTGGAAACATTATTGTGAATCAGACACTTTCCTAAATCCTCTGCTCCTTTTTAATAGTTTTATCGCTTTTACTGTTATATAAATTGCTATCCAATTTACCCAACTCTGAGGGTACAATGGGGCAATTGTAGGAGTGCACGTCGTTGTCTTTTCAAATTAAATCTGGAATTAATTCACTCAATTTCAAATTGCAACAAATTGAAAAACCAACAGCAAGATTTAGGCTAAAGTAGCCCAGCAGTGACAGTAGTTGGAAGGGAGAATTTTAAAAAAATCAGCTATCAATGCCTAAGTTTTGCCATTGGAGTTCAATTCAATACAAAGTAGAGTGATATCAGGACAGGGGATCAGAAAATTCTTATATTAAATGCTAAAAAAAAGCACTACTTTGCAGCCGTGGTAGTCTTTAACTAATGACTCCAGTATCTGTAAACGTAGTGCACTTTTTGACATATAAACAAATAATATACAAACTTGCTGAATTTATATTTAATTAAGTTTTATATTTAATTAAGATTTCACTTTCAGTAATAAAGAGAACAACAAGGGTCTTGAAGGACAGCAGATATATAAAAAGGGAGAGCTTATTAAAATGCTCACAAAATCCTGTTTGATTAAAAAAAATATTATTTTTTTTAAAAATAATATAGCTCTTCATATGCCTGGGGTTGTGGAACCATTGTTTAGTGGCAATTCCCAACACTCACAGCCAGCTGTGATTAATAGGAGTTACAGTCTTACGCAAACTGGAAACCCACAGTTACCCTGCTTTGTTTCAAGAGGCTACATTATCACAAAATACTTCCCCCCCCAATACCACATTATGGATCACTGCATTTGGAGGTGGTTTTAAAGAACCGGAATCACTGACCCGAGACGTTCTGCATTGTTTTGTCGCTCGTCATGCTCATTTTACAGTGACTCGTAAAATTATGGCATCATATTTAAAACACTGTATAAAATTGTTAACTCGAACACTCCAAGCGGAAGAAGCACTGTAGCTCGCTGTGGTGGTTATGGTTACAGGGCTCCCCAATGTAAATAGTCAAACCGTCCGTGTACCTGGGGTCCGCCGAGCGTTAGTTATCTCCTCCATTGAGAGCTGGAGGTTCTCTGCCCTGTACTAGTCCGGCAATGCAGGAAGTAGCTCATTGTCCGAGAGTACTTCCCAATAAGCAGGCCCTACATGGCAGGCTTTAGCTCAGGAGAACTAACGGAAGCTCTGTGCAATTGCCAAACTAATAGCAAATAGTTTGACTATTTACAGAGCACTATTTGTAGTGGTTATGCTGGTTGGAATGTTCCTTCCTGAATTAAAAGCTGTAAAAATGACAGCAGACAAAAGTCTTGATGGCAGATTGTTCTCCGCATGCTGAGAAGGTTTAGAAATGAACGTTGCCCTTATTGCGGAACGTGTGTGATTGAATGCTTTGCTTTAACCGATAGCCAGCCAGCATGGTCAGATCGGTCACTGTAAAAAATTTGCACCTGCTTAGGGAAATCTCGAATTTCTGCCCCTGGTAAAGAAGGGGAGTAGAATGTTCTGTCCATTTTAATGGAGAGTGGAATGTTGAGGTCTTCTTGGAATGAGTAATAAAATGCTCAGCCCCCGCTGAGAGGGAGCTATACAGTGCTGAGTCCATTCTTAAAGGGAACAGCGGAATGTGTTGCTATTCATAAACGGGAGACTTACAATTATCCACTGCTGGTGAGTGGGGGCATCGGAACGATCTAGTTGTGTAAACAAATTTAACGTCGACGGGGGTTTGATACATCAATGATAGAGGAATGGACAACAGCTCTCCTTGCAGTGTAGTGCTCTATGAGTCTCCTCCACATGGGACAGCATCTCAGGAGATAACTATTCCCTGAAAAAGAAAATAAATCACAATTTGATCCTATTCCAACACCTACTTGTTTACCCATTAATGTATAGCAGCTCACTTTGTCACCTGACAGTCCCATCCATCCAGATAGCACACACAGCCCCCAAACATAACGCAAAACTCTCCCTACCAACCAATTCTGGACTCTTCCCCAAGACATTAACCCCCAGACCATCAATTAAAATATTCACTCGCTACCAATTCCCCAAAAACTATTTGAAACGCAGCCAAGTTAATACCCCCTCTCAGCTAACTAAATACCCCCTCTCAGCTAACTAAATACCCCTCTCAGCTAACTAAATACTCCCTCTCAGCTAACTAAATATCCCTCTCAGCTAACTAAATACCCCCTCTCAGCTAACTAAACACTCCCTCTCAGCTAACTAAATACCCCTCTCAGCTAACTAAATACCCTCTCAGCTAACTAAATACCCCCTCTCAACTAACTAAATACCCCTCTCAGCTAACTAAATACTCCCTCTCAGCTAACTAAATACCCCCTCTCAACTAATTAAATACCCCTCTCAGCCAACTAAATACTCCATCTCAGCTAACGAAATACTCCCTCTCAGCTAACTAAATACCCCTCTCAGCTAACTAAATACCCCCTCTCAGCTAATGAAATACCCCTCTCAGCTAACTAAATACTCCCTCTCAGCTAACTAAATACCCCTCTCAGCTAACTAAATACTCCCTCTCAGCTAACTAAATACCCCCTCTCAACTAATTAAATACTCCCTCTCAGCTAACTAAATACTCCCTCTCAGCTAACTAAATACCCCTCTCAGCTAACTAAATACTCCCTCTCAGCTAACTAAATACCCCTCTCAGCTAACTAAATACCCCTCTCAGCTAACTAAATACTCCCTCTCAGCTAACTAAATACTCCTCTCAGCTAACTACATACCCCTCTCAGCTAACTAAATACTCCCTCTCAGCTAACTAAATACCCCCTCTCAACTAATTAAATACTCCCTCTCAGCTAACTAAATACCCCTCTCAGCTAACTAAATACTCCTCTCAGCTAACTAAATACCCCCTCTCAGCTAACTAAATACTCCTCTCAGCTAACTACATACCCCTCTCAGCTAACTAAATACCCCTCTCAGCTAACTAAATACTCCATCTCAGCCAACGAAATACTCCCTCTCAGCTAACTAAATACCCCTCTCAGCTAACTAAATACCCCCTCTCAGCTAATTAATTACCCCTCTCAGCTAACTAAATACTCCCTCTCAGCTAACTAAATACCCCTCTCAGCTAACTAAATACTCCCTCTCAGCTAACTAAATACCCCCTCTCAACTAATTAAATACTCCCTCTCAGCTAACTAAATACTCCTCTCAGCTAACTACATACCCCTCTCAGCTAACTAAATACTCCCTCTCAGCTAACTAAATACTCCTCTCAGCTAACTAAATACTCCCTCTCAGCTAACTAAATACCCCTCTCCTCAGCTAACTAAATACCTCCCTCCCTCAGCTAACTAAATACTCCATCTCAGCCACCAAATACCTCTCAGCACCCAAATACCCTCTCAGCTAACCCAAATACTACCTTGTGCACCCTAAAATACCCTCCCTTGAAGCAACTAAATACCCTCTAGCAATCTCAAATACCCTCCCAGCTAACTAAAATACCCTCCTCAGCTAACTAAAACACTCCTCCTCAGCTAACCAACACCCCTCCCCAGCTAACCAAATACCCCCTCTCAGCTAACTAAATACCCCCTCCCTCAGCTAACTAAATACCCCTCCCCAGCCAACTAAACACCCCTCCTCAGCTAACTAAATACCCCTCCTCAGCACCCCAAATACCCTCCTCAGCTAACCAAATACCCCTCCCCAGCTAACTAAATACCCCTCCTCAGCTAACTAAATACCCTCTGTGCCAACTAAATACCCTCCCCAGATAAATGCTAAAATACCCTCCCCTCAGCTCAACTAAATACCCACTCAGCCAACCAAATACCCCTCCCCAGCTAACCAAATACCCTCCTCAGCCAACTAAATACCCCTCCCAGCCACAACCCAAATACCCTCTCAGCTAACTAAATACTCCTCTCAGCTAACTACATACCCCTCTCAGCTAACTAAATACCCCCTCTCAGCTAACTAAATACTCCTCTCAGCTAACTAAATACTCCCTCTCAGCTAACTAAATACCCCTCTCAGCTAACTAAATACCCCTCTCAGCTAACTAAATACTCCCTCTCAGCTAACTAAATACCCCTCTCAGCTAACTAAATACCCCCTCTCAGCTAACTAAATACCCCATCTCTGGCACACTGCCCATACCATCCAGTCCCAAGCTTTCCATAGCACACTCATCCCCTAAACCCTTACCTAACACAAAACCCAGCCTATCACCTAACACATAGACCCTTAACTTAATTCATAGCTCACTTAGCCGCAGCACACCCAACAAACGCATTAAGGGAAGGGATGCCCTCACTAACCCCTGCCCCTAATCCCTCACCTAACATATACCCCATTACGCCAACCCCATTAGCTAGCTCACCCAGTCTCCTCCGTCTCACCTAATACACACAACCCTTCTTTGGAGCGTGTAAGTGCCACATTAATTTGGTTTGGGTCTCCCAGGAACCCAAGATGTTGACGTTTCCAAGCAATTGTTGGCCGAACGTCCAGTTCATTCACGGGCATCGAACGTACTGTAGAGAATATGACGTATCTCCATTCACTGCCTGGAGACAGGGATAGTTATATAGACAGGATAATGAGTAATATTGCTGCAGGGAAGTTGTGTATATAGCGCTTGTGTTTGAATATAAAAAAACAAAAACCACCGCCTCCCCTTGTTAGTTACCTTGACTCTTCATTATGGTGCAGACTGTCACATCATTTAAACGGTGCTCCTTCAACTTTTTGCTTATCAGTGTCACCTGTGCATTATATGGCGTCAGAATGGCAATATCTTCCTGCTTCACTGAAGCCTGGGTCAAACGACGTGCCAGACGTACCTAGGGCAGCAGGAACAATATGTTATTACCAGTAACTGACTGAGCAGGTTAGCTGTGGGAAGTATTAGAGCAGGGGGTAGACAATCATTGGCACTTCAGATCTTGTGGACTACATCTCCCCTGAGGCTTTGCCAGCCTTATGGCTGTAAGAGCGTTATGGGAAATATAGTCCACAATAAATGGAGTGTCGAAGGATGCCTACCCCCTATTAGAGCATGCGCATGGGATGCTAAATTGTGGTATGTATGAGTGTAAGGTAAATTTAAGATGACACGGATGTATTTATCTATGGGCTCAGCATATATATATATGAGGGAAAATATCTAGGGTTAATACAGACTTACTGCTTGATCAGCCTCCACTTCGTTTGCCTTGGAGTTAATGTTTCCCGCCTCAGTGGTCACATTAAGGCTCTGCTCTTTCCCATCCACCTCTCCGAACACCACTGGACAAATCCTTTGCTCGGTGTGGCAGAAAAGGCTCGGGCGCAGGCGTATTTGGTCACTGGTCCGCAGAAGGTTATCATAAAATTCCTGGGATGGGAACTCACAGATAGCGCTGTGCTGTGAGAATTAAGAGGACAAAAGTTATATGACAAAAATGTTTCCTGAAAATAACTAGTAAGTACCAAGACTTACTGATAAAAACAAAACAAAAAGTCTCCACTGAAACTTGAAAAAAGGAGATTTCACAAACAACAACAGAATATGATTTTCACACTAAGAACAATAAAAAAATACAGGGCTTAATCATAAAAACTTAAATTGCTAATGAATGAAAACACCCCTCCCATTCCTTCTTGTAGATTCTCACCATTCGGTACTGCGTGTCCAGCATCAATGCCCTGTTTTGGTATCTCTCGAACATGGAGCGTTCCATATTAAGTTGACGGCACACATCGTTCAAAATCACTGGCCGCAGCTGGCGATGATCACCAAGCAAAACAACCTGCGCAGAGAGTTGTTCTTATTTACTACAGTTCCTATGTGCCACAGCAACCTATAGAACTTTGCAGGTGACGGGAGTGTCCATTAGTGAGAGAGAAAAGATTTTATGTTTAACATAGAGAAAGTTTATTATTTGGTAAGGACGTTTAAGGAGGGGAATTCACTGACAAATTAAAGGAACACTCTATTAAAAATAAAATGATCCTCAATTTCAACATTTGGGGTGATCTTTTACTGCATACTTCCTAGGCACACGCCAAACATAAATATAAAGCTTGCTTACCTTTTTCTCCTGTATCAAGTCTTTTTGGAAATGCTCTGCTCTACCCCTGGGCTCCGCCAAGGTTCCTTCGTCTCAGGCTCAAAATAACACATGTGCGGCAATTGCCACAAATGCACCAATCAAATACAATGCTTTGTAAAGGGAAGCATTATAGTAATACATCCATATGGAAGCCCTCTATTCTATTTCCACTGTCATTCAAACAAGGGGGGGACGACACCTCCTAATTATGCTGATGTACTTTAGTGGTGTGTCATGCCCCTTTAAGCTGCCTTTTTAGTAAATAAATGCGAAAAAAGAAATATCCAGGCACACGTGAGGTTTCTACTAAAAGGCAGTCTTTATTTGAAACAAGGAAGTGGAGACAACGTTTCGGCCTTTACCAGGTCTCAGAGAGGAGCCGAAACGTTGTCTTCACTTCCTTGTTTAAAACAAAGGTGGCCATTTAGAAGAAACCTCGGGTGTGCCTGGATATTTTTTTTTCTTCCATTTGAGGTCTTCAGGGATTGTCCCTCCCTTTTTGGAGCACCCTGCGGGAAGTATTCCCCCTTTTTGTTAGTGTGTGCATTTTACTCTTTTGTTTTTGCAAACAGCTTTTTTAGTAAATAAAGACATACTGAATGACATTCGACTTCTGATGTCTGTAGGTATATTGACACAGCCATTGCTGAAACACGCATCTGACCATGGATGGATTTTTTATCTCTTTGGAATAAACTGAATAGAGTACTTTTTGTTTCCTGTCGGATTCGTAACTGGGGTCACTGAGAACATTTCTCCTATTAATATACAATGTGTGGATATACTGTATCGATATACACCGTGTGCATATACTGTATCGATATACATTGTGTGGATATACTGTATCGATATACACTTTGTGGATATACTGTATCGATATACAATGTGTGGATATACTGTATCTATATACACCGTGTGCATATACTGTATCGATATACATTGTGTGCATATACTGTATCGATATACATTGTGTGGATATACTGTATCGATATACAATGTGTGGATATACTGTATCGATATACACAGTGTGGATATACTGTATCGATATACATTGTGTGGATATACTGTATCGATATACACTTTGTGGATATACTGTATCGATATACAATGTGTGGATATACTGTATCGATATACACCGTGTGCATATACTGTATCGATATACAATGTGTGGATATACTGTATCGATATACACAGTGTGGATATACTGTATCGATATACATTGTGTGGATATACTGTATCGATATACACTATGTGGATATACTGTATCGATATACAATGTGTGGATATACTGTATCGATATACACCGTGTGCATATACTGTATCGATATACAATGTGTGGATATACTGAATCGATATACACCGTGTGCATATACTGTATCGATATACACTTTGTGGATATACTGTATCGATATACAATGTGTGGATATACTGTATCTATATACACCGTGTGCATATACTGTATCGATATACATTGTGTGGATATACTGTATCGATATACATTGTGTGCATATACTGTATCGATATACATTGTGTGGATATACTGTATCGATATACAATGTGTGGATATACTGTATCGATATACACAGTGTGGATATACTGTATCGATATACATTGTGTGGATATACTGTATCGATATACACTGTGTGGATATACTGTATCGATATACAATGTGTGGATATACTGTATCGATATACACCGTGTGCATATACTGTATCGATATACAATGTGTGGATATACTGTATCGATATACACAGTGTGGATATACTGTATCGATATACATTGTGTGGATATACTGTATCGATATACACTTTGTGGATATACTGTATCGATATACAATGTGTGGATATACTGTATCGATATACACAGTGTGGATATATATACACCGTGTGCATATACTGTATCGATATACAATGTGTGGATATACTGTATCGATATACACAGTGTGGATATACTGTAACGATATACACTGTGTGGATATACTGTAACGATATACAATGTGTGGATATACTGTATCGATATACACTTTGTGGATATACTGTATCGATATACAATGTGTGGATATACTGTATTGATATACACAGTGTGGATATATATACACCGTGTGCATATACTGTATCGATATACAATGTGTGGATATACTGTATCGATATCCACCGTGTGCATATACTGTATCGATATACATTGTGTGGATATACTGTATCGATATACACTGTGTGGATATACTGTATCGATATACACTGTGTGGATATACTGTATCGATATACAATGTGTGGATATACTGAATTGATATACACTGTGTGGATATACTGTATCGATATACAATGTGTGGATATACTGTAACAATATACACTGTGTGCATATACTGTATCGATATACAATGTGTGGATATACTGTATCGATATACACTGTGTGCATATACTGTATCGATATACAATGTGTGGATATACTGTATCGATATACACTGTGTGGATATACTGTATCGATATACAATGTGTGGATATACTGTAACAATATACACTGTGTGCATATACTGTATCGATATACAATGTGTGGATATACTGTATCGATATACACAGTGTGGATATACTGTAACGATATACACTGTGTGGATATACTGTAACGATATACACCGTGTGGACATACTCTATCAATATACATTGTGTGGATATACTGTATCGATATACAATGTGTGGATATACTGTATCAATATACAATGTGTGGATATACTGTAACGATATACACTGTGTGCATATACTGTATCGATATACAATGTGTGGATATACTGTATCGATATACACTTTGTGGATATACTGTAACGATATAAACTGTGTGGATATACTGTAACGATATACACCGTGTGGACATACTCTATCAATATACACAGTGTGGATATACTGTAACGATATACACCATGTGGACATACTCTATCAATATACATTGTGTGGATATACTGTATCGATATACAATGTGTGGATATACTGTATCGATATACAATGTGTGGATATGTCTTGACTCACCGAGTCCACGTGTTTGTGGTTTACAAGTGGAACAAGAACCTCGGGTTCTGTGCACATTGCACACTCATCAACCACAAGCTGTGCCACACGCAAGCGAGTCAGTGACGCACCGGAGGCCGCTACACAGGTACAAAGAATGACATCATGGCGAGCAAGCTCCTCTGACCTGGCTTTATAAAGAGTTTCCTTATACCTGAGTCGTAAAAAGAGATTAACAGGTAACTGAATGAGGGTTACATGGGACTATACAAGCAGTAGATGTGTCTGTGTATATTGAGAAAATGATATATGTGTAAGTTGTGCATGCCACAGAGGTGGGTGTACATTTATTTATATTGTACATGTAAGAGACAGATATGTCTAAATTGAACACGTGACAGACAAAAAGTTTTTTTATATATAAAATAGAAACGAGTGTATATACACTGTACATGTGACAAACATTCATGTACGTGTAGCAAAAGTGACAGACTGCTGGTCCTACTCACGCTTCGATCTCCTCCTGTGAAATCTCGTCCCCTCTCTGGATCCGTATGTCCATTGCTAGGATACTACCGTGATATGTGTTACTGCGCTGTCGAATCAGGTGGTGCAGAGTGAGGGGTCTGTAAGAGATTGAATACATTGATCAACCTGTAACAAACCCAGCACCAGCTGTCCCACACACTAACCTCTATCGTCCTGTAACACCCAGCACCAGCTGTCCCACACAGTAACCTCTATCGTCCTGTAACACCCAGCACCAGCTATCACACACAGTAACCTCTATCGTCCTGTAACACACCCAGCATTAGCTATCACACACAGTAACCTCTATCATCCTGTAACACACCCAGCACCAGCTATCCCACACAGTAACCTCTATCATCCTCTAACACACCCAGCACCAGCTATCCCACACAGTAACCTCTATCATCCTGTAACACCCAGCACCAGCTATCCCACACAGTAACCGCTATCATCCTGTAACACCCAGCACCAGCTATCCCACACAGTAACCTCAATCGTCCTGTAACAACCACCACCCCAGCTATCACACACAGTAACCTCTATCATCCTGTAACACACCCAGCATCAGCTATCCCGCACAGTAACCGCTATCATCCTCTAACACACCCAGCACCAGCTATCCCACACAGTAACCCTCTATCATCCTGTAACACCCAGCACCAGCTATCCCACACAGTAACCTCTATCATCCTGTAACACCCAGCATCAGCTATCCCACACAGTAACCGCTATCATCCTCTAACACACCCAGCACCAGCTATCCCACACAGTAACCTCTATCATCCTGTAACACCCAGCACCAGCTACCCCACACAGTAACCTCTATCATCCTGTAACACCCAGCATCAGCTATCCCACACAGTAACCTCTATCATCCTCTAACACACCCAGCACCAGCTATCCCACACAGTAACCGCTATCATCCTGTAACACCCAGCATCAGCTATCCCACACAGTAACCTCTATCATCCTCTAACACACCCAGCACCAGCTATCCCACACAGTAACCGCTATCATCCTGTAACACCCAGCACCAGCTATCCCACACAGTAACCGCTATCATCCTGTAACACACCCAGCACCAGCTATCCCATACAGTAACCGCTATCATCCTGTAACACCCAGCACCAGCTACCCCACACAGTAACCTCTATCGTCCTGTAACACCCAGCACCAGCTATCACACACAGTAACCTCTATCGTCCTGTAACACACCCAGCATTAGCTATCACACACAGTAACCTCTATCATCCTCTAACACACCCAGCACCAGCTATCCCACACAGTAACCTCTATCATACTGTAACAACCAGCACCAGCTATCCCACACAGTAACCGCTATCATCCTGTAACACACCCAGCACCAGCTATCCCACACAGTAACCTCTATCATCCTGTAACACCCAGCATCAGCTATCCCACACAGTAACCGCTATCATCCTCTAACACACCCAGCACCAGCTATCCCACACAGTAACCTCTATCATCCTGTAACACCCAGCACCAGCTACCCCACACAGTAACCTCTATCATCCTGTAACACCCAGCATCAGCTATCCCACACAGTAACCTCTATCATCCTCTAACACACCCAGCACCAGCTATCCCACACAGTAACCGCTATCATCCTGTAACACCCAGCATCAGCTATCCCACACAGTAACCTCTATCATCCTCTAACACACCCAGCACCAGCTATCCCACACAGTAACCGCTATCATACTGTAACAACCAGCACCAGCTATCCCACACAGTAACCTCTATCATCCTCTAACACCCAGCATCAGCTATCCCACACAGTAACCGCTATCATCCTCTAACACACCCAGCACCAGCTATCCCACACAGTAACCTCTATCATCCTGTAACACCCAGCACCAGCTACCCCACACAGTAACCTCTATCATCCTGTAACACCCAGCATCAGCATCCCACACAGCTATCCCACACAGTAACCGCTATCATCCTCCTGTAACACCCAGCATCAGCTATCCCACACAGTAACCGCTATCATCCTCTAACACACCCAGCACCAGCTATCCCACACAGTAACCTCTATCATCCTGTACTAACACACCCAGCACCAGTATCATCCTGTAACACCCAGCATCAGCTATCCCACACAGTAACCGCTATCATCCTCTATAACACACCCAGCACCAGCTATCCCACACAGTAACCGCTATCATCCTGTAACACACCCAGCACCAGCTATCCCACACAGTAACCTCTATCATACTGTAACAACCAGCATTAGCTATTGCACACAGTAACCGCTATCATCTTGTAACAACCAGCACCAGCTATCACACACAGTAACCTCTATCATCCTGTAACACCCAGCGCCAGCTATCCCACACAGTAACCGCTATCATCCTGTAACACCCAGCACCAGCTATCCCACACAGTAACCGCTATCATCCTGTAACACACCCAGCACCAGCTATCCCACACAGTAACCGCTATCATCCTGTAACACCCAGCACCAGCTATCCCACACAGTAACCTGTATCATCCTGTAACACACCCAGCATTAGCTATCACACACAGTAACCTCTATCACCGTCTAACACACCCAGCACCAGCTATCACACACAGTAACCTCTATCGTCCTGTAACACCCAGCACCAGCTATCCCACACAGTAACTGCTATCATCCTGTAACACCCAGCACCAGCTATCCCACACAGTAACCTCAATCGTCCTGTAACAACCAGCACCCCAGCTATCACACACAGTAACCTCTATCATCCTGTAACACACCCAGCATCAGCTATCCCGCACAGTAACCGCTATCATCCTCTAACACACCCAGCACCAGCTATCCCATACAGTAACCTCTATCACCCTCTAACACACCCAGCACCAGCTATCCCACACAGTAACCTCTATCATCCTGTAACACCCAGCACTAGCTATCCCACACAGTAACCGCTATCATCCTGTAACACCCAGCACTAGCTATCCCACACAGTAACCTCTATCATCCTCTAACACACCCAGCACCAGCTATCCCACACAGTAACCTCTATCATCCTGTAACACCCAGCACCAGCTATCCCACACAGTAACCGCTATCATCCTGTAACACCCAGCACCAGCTATCCCACACAGTAACCGCTATCATCCTGTAACACCCAGCATCAGCTATCCCACACAGTAACCGCTATCATCCTGTAACACCCAGCATCAGCTATCCCACACAGTAACCGCTATCATCCTGTAACACACCCAGCACCAGCTATCCCACACAGTAACCTCAATCGTCCTGTAACACCCAGCACCAGCTACCCCACACAGTAACCTCAATCGTCCTGTAACACCCAGCACCAGCTACCCCACACAGTAACCTCAATCGTCCTGTAACACCCAGCACCAGCTATCCCACACTGTAACCTCTATAATAATAAAACACCCAGCACCAGCTATCCCACACAGTAACCGCTATCATCCTGTAACACACCCAGCACCAGCTATCCCACACAGTAACCTCAATCGTCCTGTAACACCCAGCACCAGCTACCCCACACAGTAACCTCAATCGTCCTGTAACACCCAGCACCAGCTATCCCACACTGTAACCTCTATAATAATAAAACACCCAGCACCAGCTATCCCACACAGTAACCGCTATCATCCTGTAACACCCAGCACCAGCTATCCCACACAGTAACCGCTATCATCCTGTAACACCCAGCATCAGCTATCCCACACAGTAACCGCTATCATCCTGTAACACACCCAGCACCAGCTATCCCATACAGTAACCGCTATCATCCTGTAACACCCAGCACCAGCTATCCCACACAGTAACCTCTATCATCCTGTAACACCCAGCACCAGCTACCCTATACTTTTTTTCATCCTGCAGAGGGTCTCACCTAAGCACTGGATTGGGTTTGCCCTCCCTGGGGTATCCAGACATTCTGAGACTGCTCCCAGGATATGGAAACTCCATCAGTTCCATTTGTTCACTGTACACGCGCAGTGGGCGGAGTTTACTTCTAAGTGGAAGCAGCATCTCTGGAGGGATGGACATATCTATATTACTTAAAATGCCAATACATCCTTTAAATGTATAAATTCAAATCATGTAAGCAAAATGCTGACACTTGGACAATGTAACATCCATTTGGATATATTTACTTGGAGATCCCCACCATGCGTAATGGACAATATACCCCAATAGTTCATCAATAACCCCGTATACACTGTATGTATCCACTCCTCACCAGCCACCACATCCACAGATTTGTTAGATGGGCCACAATACATCAGGACACGTCTGCTAGACTTTTTCTCATGCTTCTGCCCTTCCTCTTCGTTCTTCTCCTCCTCCTCGTCCGCCTCCGCCTCCGCCTGCACCTGAGAATTCAGCTCCTCATTTATATGATGGAACCAATAAACCAAATGAACTCCGACAATGGTTTTTCCCGTTCCTGAGAGAGAGAGAGAAAACACTCACATAGTGAGCTTCTACTCAAAACAACGGATTGATTCCAAACTTGCACATAAAGCTTAGCAAAGACAACATTCTTACACCACTTACAACGACAGAAAAAGAAAACAAGCAGCACAAAAATCAATACACACTCAAAATTGCCAGGTATTAACAAAAGAATTGCAAATATTTGGAAAATAATCTCCAATTCAGCCTTTTCCCATCTAAAATCCGACATGCGATGGTCAGTTTTCCACAATATTAAATATTAACCGTTGGTAGATATTTGCTTCCGCCCCCCAAAAAATACTGTTTCCCAGGGCTCTATGCCTTCTATTTTGAAGCCCAACAACCTACGATACCCTTCATGTTCTATTGTTATTTAGCGGGCCTTGTCATCTGGGACTTACTTGTTAAGAACGTTGAACACTAATGTTAGCAAGAGCCATTTTAACGTTTTAGTAACTCAGTGATGTCATTAGGAATGAGCCCTTAGTGAATAACCTAGCATGTGTCCAAATTAAAGCACACAACTCTGAGAAGCTCACAGAGCCACTAGAGGGCAGCCTTTCATAGCAATAAATAGAGCAGATATAGGCAGTCACACAGCATCAATAAACCTTCACTGAACCACTAGAGGGCAGCCTTTCACAGCAATAAATAGAGCAGGTATAGGCAGTCACACAGCATCAATAAACCTTCACTGAACCACTAGAGGGCAGCCTTTCATAGCAATTAATAGAGCAGGTATAGGCAGTCACACAGCATCAATAAACCTTCACTGAACCACTAGAGGGCAGCCTTTCATTGCAATAAATAGAGCAGGTATAGGCAGTCACACAGCATCAATAAACCTTCACTGAGCCACTAGAGGGCAGCCTTTCATAGCAATAAATAGAGCAGGTATAGGCAGTCACACAGCATCAATAAACCTTCACTGAGCCACTAGAGGGCAGCATTTCATAGCAATAAATAGAGCAGGTATAGGCAGTCACACAACATCAAACACATCAATAACCCTTCACTAAACCACTAGAGGGCAGCCTTTCATAGCAATAAATAGAGCAGGTATAGGCAGTCACACACAGGGCCGCCACCAGAACTTTTGGGGCCCCTAACTGAGCTCAGTGTCTGGGCCCCTGGGGGCCCACCTCCAAAACCGCCCACAGAGACCGCCTCCAAATCCCGCCCACAGGAATACACACACAGACACAAACACATCCACTGATACAAAAGGACACAGATACACACACACACACACTGATACATACTAACAGACACACATACTGATACGCATATAGACATACATGCTGACACACACATACTGAGGCATACACACATATACAGACACACAGGCGTACATAGTGACAGACACATACTAACATACATACAGACACATACTGATACGCATATAGGCATACATACTGACACACACATACTGAGACATACACACATATACAGACACACAGTCATACATAGTGACAGACACATACTAACATACATACAGACACACATGCATAATGACATGCTTACAGACATACATACATACATTCATCCAGACAGACAGACAGACAGACATACACACATTCATAATGACATGCAGACATACATACACTGACATTCATACACACATAATGATATGCATACAGACATAAATACACTGACATCCATACATACATAACAACATACATACACACAGACATAGACATACATACAGACAGACATACACACACACAGCTCATTTTCCAGCCACCCTCCTGTTTCTTACCTTGTCTTTGCAGGAGGGTGGCTGGGGCTGATGGGACCGGGAGTCGGTTGGCTCTCCCTCTTCACTGCCGGGGGCGTGCGCTCCACCCCGAAATAAAGTTGAGAAATTACTTTTTTGTAATTTAAAAAAAGGTATTAATTAAAGGGACACTATAGTCACCAGAACAACTACAGCTTATTGAATTTGTTCTGGTGAGTAGAATCATTCCCTTCAGGCTTTTTGCTGTAAACACTGTTTTTTCAGAGAAAATGCAGTGTTTACATTACAACCTAGTTGCTAGAGGTGCTTTCTGGGGCAGTGCTGCATAGTGTGACTGACATTCAGTGTCTCCACCCTCTGCATGCAGACACTGAACTTTCCTCATAGAGATTCATTGACTCAATTAATCTCTATAAAGAGATGCGGATTGGCCAGGGCTGTATTTGATTTGTGCTCGCTCTGCCCCTGATCTTCCTCCTTGACAGTCTCAGCCAATCCTACAGGGAAAACAATGTGATTGGCCCAGAACAACACTTCTGATGATGTCATCAGGCAGCTTGCTGTTCTGAGGTAGACAGGGGCAGAGCCAGCAGCTTCAAGCTTGAATACAGGTACGATTTTACTATATTTAGGGAGGCAGGAGGGGACCAGTGGGACCAGATGGTGGTTTTAACACTATAGGGACAGAAATATATGTTTGTGTTCTTGACCCTGTAGTGTTCCTTTAACTTTTTTTATCTTTGACTTCATTATTCAGTTTTTCAAGAATTGTTTTTATTTTTTTCATTTTCCATTCCAACAAGATTATTTGTTTTGGTTTCCATGAAATAACTATCTATGAACACTGAAACGAGCAGCGTTATTCAGTATAGCAAGAATACCGAATTAATTTCAAAATTCAAGGTGAAAATAGCTGAACTGCAAACATTCTCTAAGTCAATTAGAAATTCACTGTTTTTTTTATGTGCAAATTTGCCATATTGTTATAATGTAGTTATTATATCACTGGTTATTTAATAAGATCAGTGGTCAAAGAAACAGGAAGATGCAGAGAAATACTGATTGTAATGTGACGGCAACGTGCTCTCTTTGCGGGACTCACCTGGTGGTCCTTGGATGAGCGTGAACGGTTGAGTGAGTGCAGCCTTCACGGCCTTGGTCTGGCTTGTATTCAGTTTACGAGGGTTCTCGGAAATATCAAAAGATATCTGGGATTTGAACTTCACGTTAATATCTGTAAGGAAACAGTGGGAGTTACTGTTTGCACAAGGCATTGATTACATGTTCTATAAAAATCCAAATGAAAACATTCTGTTTAGCGGACACTGTCGATGCTGTTTCCACTGACTGATACATTCCACATCCCACAGCAAAATCAATGCATCTCACATTATAATAAGCATGATATACAGAAAGAGCCCTCTATAATTACATCATATTTATAATTACCAATTATCCTCTGCATTCATCCAAGACTTACAGATAGGCACAGCACCCTCTGCTCACCATCTCCACTGACCTCAACTGTCAATTTATCTTTATATCCCTCTACATTGATCTCAGCCACGTTTTATCACTATAAACCCTGCACAAACCATGGACACACAGCTCAGTCACTATACTCCCTGCACTGACCTCGAACACAGCTCAGTCACTATACTCCCTGAACTGACCTCGAACACAGCTCAGTCGCTGTATTCCCTGCACTGACCTTGAACACAGCTGAGTCTCTATACTCCCTGCACTGACCTCGAACACAGCTCAGTCTCTATACTCCCTGCACTGACCTTGAACACAGCTCAGTCACTATACTCCCTGTACTGACCTTGAACACAGCTCAGTCGCTATATTCCCTGCACTGACCTCAAACACAGCTCAGTCTCTATACTCCCTGCACTGACCTCAAACACAGCTCAGTCTCTATACTCCCTGCACTGATCTCGAACATAGCTCAGTCGCTATATTCCCTGCTCTGACTTTGAACACAGCTCAGTCACTATACTCCCTGCACTGACCTCAAACACAGCTCAGTCTCTATACTCCCTGCACTGATCTCGAACACAGCTCAGTCACTATACTCCCTGCACTGACCTCGAACACAGCTCAGTCACTATACTCCCTGCACTGACCTCGAACACAGCTCAGTCAGTATACTCCCTGCACTGATCTCGAACACAGCTTAGTCTCTATACTCCCTGCACTGATCTCAAACACAGCTCAGTCTCTATACTCCCTGCACTGACCTCGAACACAGCTCAGTCTGTATACTCCCTGCACTGACCTCGAACACAGCTCAGTCTCTATACTCCCTGCACTGACCTCGAACACAGCTCAGTCGCTATATTCCCTGCTCTGATCATTTAGACACAACTCAGTCACTATTCTCCCTGCACTGACCTTGTTATGGGCAAATGCAAATATTACAAGTTTTAGAATGAAATGTTGTATTTCTTAAACTGTGTACTTTGTCTTTAAGAGATATTGCAAACTGACAAGGTGTTAAAAATGGTTTTTCATAAATGTTTCTTTAAGCAATAACCTCAGTGGATATTATGTTTACGCCATTTTGTCCCAGACGAATTACAATAACAATAATGCATAAACAAGCTTCAAGGCTATGCTACGACTCTTTCAGTACGTAATATACTGTGGTAACCTTAGTAGATAAGGACGTTCAGACTTTAAGATGCCATAAATAAATAAAGTAAAAGAAGTGTTACTTTTTCATATATGAACTACGGTAACCCTAAAATGGAGACACCTAAGGTATAAATAGGTGTACTTTTAAATGTTAAGAAACAGAGGAGAGACTTGGAGACAGACGCTGCTCCATCTTAAAATGACAGAGAGGCTGACATGATAACATGTTCAGAAGGGTATGTTAACCTATTAATGATATTTGCAAGCATTTAGTTTAATCTTATCAACTCTGCTATAAATTATTGTAATGGATTTTATATGTCTATATTTATATTTTTATATAATAAATATTTAAAAGACAAAACTTTATTGCTTCCAAGACAATCCTTATTTTATATTGTATTCTCAATTATTTATATACCGTATATACTCGAGTATAAGCCGACCCGAATATAAGCCGTGGCCCCTAATTTTACCCCAAAAAACTGGGAAAACGTATTGACTCGAGTATAAGACTAGGGTGGGAAATGCAGCAGCTACTGGTAAATTTCTAAATAAAATTAGATCCTTAAAAAATTATATTAATTGAATATTTATTTACAGTGTGTGTATATGATGAATGCAGTGTGTGTGTATGAGTGCGCAGTGTGTGTATAAATGCAGTGTGTATATGAGTGCGCAGTGTGTGTGTGTATGAATGCAGTGTGTGTGTATGAATGCAGTGTGTGTGTATGAGTGCAGTGTATGTGTGTATGAATGCAGTGTATGTGTGTATGAATGCAGTGTGTGTATGAATGCAGTGTGTGTGTATGAATGCAGTGTGTGTGTGTATGAATGCAGTGTGTGTGTATGAATGCAGTGTATGTGTGTATGAGTGCAGTGTGTGTGTATGAGTGCAGTGTGTGTGTATGAGTGCAGTGTATGTGTGTATGAATGCAGTGTATGTGTGTATGAGTGCAGTGTGTGTGGTGCAGTGTGTGTGTATGAATGCAGTGTGTGTGTGTGATGCAGTGTGTGTGTATGAATGCAGTGTGTGTGATGCAGTGTGTGTGTATGAGTGCAGTGTGTGTGATGCAGTGTGTGTGTGATGCAGTGTGTGTTTGTGTTGCAGAGCCTTGGTGGGGGGTGGGCATTTTTATAAAAAAAATATATTATTATTTACATTTTTTTTTGTTATATTATTATTTTTTTAATAATTTTATTATTATTATTTTTTATTATTTATTATTAATTTATGTATTTTTTGTCCCCCTCCCTGCTTGATACATGGCAGGGAGGGGGGCTCTCCTTCCCTGGTGGTCCAGTGGCATTGGCAGTTCAGTGGGGGGAGGAGGGGGCTGGCAGAGCTGTTACTTACCTATCCTGCAGCTCCTGTCAGCTCTCTCCTCCTCCGCGCCGGTCCGTGCAGCTCTTCTGTCAGCTCCCAGTGTAAATCTCGGAGAGCCGCACTATGACCCCGCGGCTCTCGCGAGACTTACACTGGGAGCTGACCGAGGTGCTGCACGGACCGGCGCGGAGTAGGAGAGAGCTGACAGGAGCTGCAGGAGAGGTAAGTAACAGCTCTGCCAGCCCCCAGTCTGTATTATGGCAATGTAAATTGCCATAATACAGACTGACTCGAGTATAAGCCGAGTTGGGGTTTTTCAGCACAAAAAGTGTGCTGAAAAACTCGGCTTATACTCCAGTATATACGGTATGTTAAATAGAGGATCTCTTACACTAACTATATGAAATTATGGCTAAGATATCTGTATGGTTAGCCTTACTAAGTTCTATGCTTTAAGACGTTATAATGGTAAATAAGGGAACCAGCCGCGGTTACAACCTCAAATACAATAGACTTTCACAACACATTCTGCAGTGATCCTAGAAGCACACGCACTGCACTTTCGTGCTCACAGCTCTGTCACTCACTTTTGTCAGGGACCCTTTGTCCCAGTGCAATATTCTTGGCAAGCTCAGATGCAGAATTCAGCAGACGTATGGCTGTCTTTTTTCGTCTGCAGAGAAAAAGAGGGTGAGTGAGTGTTTGACAATCCCTCTACTAAATAAAGTTATAGTTTTTAAACTCTTTAAATTTATTTAAATTTCCCTGCAACATTTAAATTATACATACTGTGGGACAGCACTTTTCTTGTACAGAATGACTTTTTTTGGAAGCCTTGATGGAAGGGGGTGACAGTAACTCATATCACTGATAATGCTCTCAGCTTATTTGGTAAAGCTATCCGAGTGCAGATGCTGCACGTTATGGAGACTTTCCCTGGTGTGCCCAGAAGCTGGACAACGGAGAATGAATCCCAGGAAAGCACAAGAGACAAAATCAGGACTGCCCAGATGGATTTTGGATAGTTGTCATGTATGGAAGCTCAATGTAGTGGTTATGCAGTCAGGAATGCCCTGGCAGCACCCCTCCAGACACCACTCCCCACTTTCACTACTTCAGACGCAGCACATAGCTCTTTAACTGATCTCTTAAACTGATCTAAGCCTGACGGTGCAGGACTGTTCATTGGCTGAGAGTGATCAGTTAAAGAGTTAGCCATTGTACTGCAGAGCTTGGCTCAGGAGTGGAGGTGGGAAGCAGCACCTGGCCGATCCAATGTTCTAATATAGTTTGACTATTTACAGTGTTGTAGAATTAAGAAAGAAATGTTCTGGGTACGTAAGGGTGGTTTCTGGCAGATGTACTGGAAACGACAAATACAACAATTCGGCTCCACTAGGAGCCTTTTTTATGTTCCTTTTCCAGCTGAAACATTGTATGTTTCCGTTCCAATACATCTGCTAGAAACCACCCTTGTGTTCTAAGACCATACTTACAATTAAGTGTCAACTGGCCACTGCTGGCACCATAACCACTACAGCGTGCCGCAGTGTCTATGATGCAAGGAGTGTTTAACAACGGCACTGTAGATGTCTGGGAACAACTAAAAGATGCCTGAGGATGCTGGGAAATGTATATCCCAACATCTGCAGTGACAAGGTTTTTCATCCCTGCTCATCATACAAGGAGACAGTTCTTAATTTGAGTCAGGACTGTCCGTTGTCAACTGGCCCCCATAATTTTTTTTGAGGGCCCCCCTCAATTCTTTCTCTCCTTCCATTACAGGTATGGTTTTATAACACAGCTCCAATCATTAATTAAAATCACATAATGCTTTGTTAAGTGTTTAAGAATTGCTTCTGTAGTGATAATCTCAGTATTTTGTGTAATTTTTAACCCCTTCAGAATGCAAATCGCATTATGTCATGAAAGGCATAGCATCTCATGTGACGAATGGGTTAATGTGTGTTAGTGTCCCCTGCCCCCATTTCTTACATATCAGGCAGCAGTTTGGGGATAATCTCCACGGTGAACAGGGCTGATCTCTCCAACGCTTCTTGAGGGACATGTTGCATTGTAGCTTGATGGATGTGAAATTCGACTTTGCCTCCATCCTCCTTTGTGGCATTGTTTTGTTCCTTTGTCAGTCCATGTACCACCCAGGTGTAGGTATGGGAATCGAGCAGTCCTGGGCTGTCAGTGGCACGCAGCTCCTCCATCCGCAAGCAAAGGTAACAGTGATTGAAGTCCATGTCAAGGTCGCACTCCTTGATTAGGTCTTTTGAGACTTTGAAGGCTCCCTTCATTCCCACAGATTCCTTAATGGTATTTGTGTTTTTCCATTTCACCGGTACGTCCCTGAGCAGCACACCCCCTCCCTCGCTTACCGCAGAAACCACAGCTTCCATCTCACAGAGGGGGTACCACACCTGCTGGTACTCTGCGGCATTCTTATAATGCTGGCGAGGTGCCGATTGAGCCTGTTTGGCAAAGCAGTCTACTGGCTTATGAGTATGCTCCAAGCAAAACTGGATGGTAGAGGCTGGAGAGAATAGCTGGGGGCTTGGAGTTGGTAAGCCACGGTCCAGCGTACTGCAGAGCTGGACAAGGAAGGGATCTCCAGGGTGCAGATCAATGCTCAGTTCTATGTAGTGACCACAACTACTTTGCTGCACAATGTCCTTGGAGTTTGGCATTTCTATTCCGTTTCTTAGTATAGGAAGCAGCTGCTCTGGGTAACCCTTTCTCATTAAACTCACAGCATCACACCAGGCAGTGTTACTGAACTCGATGATGCCTCTTTGGGAGATATGCTTGTAAGGCAAGACTCTGAAATACTCATATGAATACACTCTGCGACGCCAGGATAGTCGCGTTCCCCCGTTAACGTCCTCGGGTTGGATGACAGGTTGAAGCATGCTGTAGTCAACTTCCACTGGACTGGACAGAGAGTCTCCATTCATCGGGAAAACCAACTTTAACCCCTTTTGATTGGGTTCAGCTGAAACCACCACTGCTGTCTTCTGCTGAACCTGAGTGCAAAATGAAAGTGCCAACTCAAGGGCATACGTTTTTTTCTCATAGGCTGATTCCTGCTGCACTTGTCTGTCAAATTCATGGCAGAGCATCTCTATGTCTTCAGGGGACATCTGTGGTTTTACTTTGGTAAGGGTGCTGTGAAGGAGTCTTTGCAACACAATGTCAATGTAGCGACGGATGGGAGATGAGGCCCAGGTGTAAGAACATAGCTGCAGGGAGTAATGCCCAGTAAACCCAGGCATAGTGGACCTTCGGAAACGGGCACCACCTAGACTTCTTCTAAAGTCACGAGCAGCACTGCACAGCTGTGGGTGCAAGTCATCTGTAGACAGGAGATCAATGACTTTGACATAGTCCTCTTTTTGTGCTGCATCTTGTAGCTCTTTCCACACAGAAGTTAGCATAAGTACCTTCAGTTCAGAGGGAGGATGTTCCTGAACAGGAATATCCAGTAGGTGATGTGAGAGGTAGGTGGATAGAGGTATAAGTTGCTTTAATTTGTCTCTTAGATTCTCAAGCTTTTCAAAACTGGGCTGATCCTGGCATCTGACAGGTACTAGGTCACTTATCGACTGCTGTTCACACAGGTACTCTGCCACCCAATTATTGTACATAATCATAAGCTCTTCAATCATCCTATGGGCACTTCGATCACCAGGGCGACGACCTTCATCAGGCTGCTTGTAAATAGCTGCTTCCTGCAAGCGATAACGGCAATGAACCTGTGAAAAGTGATAGGCGACCCTTACACAGTCCTCTACACTGTTAAATACCAATGGGGGCCCCTGCTGGATCCGTAGAATATCATTTGCTTCCTCATAAGTCAGTTGACGGTCAGATCGAATAAGTGTCCGGCAGAAGTAGCCTTTTACCATCCTGTCAGTGTTCTTTTCCACTTGGACAAAGAGGGTTAGTGCCCGTCGATCACACTGTGACTTCAAACTGCACAGATCGGCACTTAGTTTCAGTGGAAGCATGTGTTCGGGTTCACGTTTATGGTCGTAATAGGTGACTCCTCGGGCCTTTGCCTCTTTGTCTAGCTCACTTCCTGGAAGTACAACCGCGGCCACATCAGCGATGTGAACACCAATCTCATAGCAGTCTTCCAGGTCCTGAACTGAGATTGCATCATCTAAATCCTTGGCATTTGTTGGATCAATTGTGAAGGTGATAAGATTTCGACAATCCTGGCGCCCTTCTGTAAGGGGTATTTGCGAAGGCAATTTCTTAGCTTCTAAGGATGCCAATTTGGGGTATTTACCAGTACGCTCCAGGCGATAATTCAGATCAAGGATCTCAAGACCCATCTCCACAGTTTGTATTTTTGGGAGGATGCGATTTACAAAACCCAATGGATAGTAGAAACCTTGATCCCACTTGACTACCTGCACCAGGAAAAGACTATTCTGCTTCATCTCCTGTGTCAGTTTTACAAGTCCATGAGTCTTGCCCTTTCCATTTATAAGGCTACGGATAGGTATGTAACCTGGCTTCTCTTTAAACGCATGGCAAAAGATCTTAGTGACTGACTTGTCAATAGGAATCATGATGCACTTATCGTGTGGATCCATAAAACAGACAAAACGTTGGCCCTTTTCTTTAGCTTTCATCACTCCTACCACCTTCCCTTCGTGGGTGCTGGAGCCTGATAGTTGGACAACAACTTGGTCCCCAGAAAATGCCATGCCACAGTTCATTCGGCCTTTAATTTTTATTAGTCTCTGGGGACATTCATTTACGGTGAGTGCATGGCCAGATTCAAATGTTTCCTTAAAAAAATGACATTTTTTGTACTTGTTGGGTTCAGTGAGAAAATATTGCTCTAACACATGTGAAGAGAAATTTGTGTACTTCTCGCTTTTATTTTCAGTACATTCTCCTGAACTGACTTCCAGAATTCCTTCTTCGGACACGGTCACAACTGTTTCTGTTTTTCTCTCCAACAGTTCTTGCAGTATCTGATCTTCTGAATTAATGTCCAGGTCAGAAATCCAGGAGTCACTGTCTTCCACCTCCTCTAGGTTTTCTGGCTGTTGATTCCAGGCTTGCAGGTTGGACACTGCCTGCTTTATTTCCTCCATACTAAGGGTTGATGGTGAGGTACTACCCCTTTCCACACTCTCCCGGACATAACGCCTCCAGATACGGCTACATCCACCAAAAGAGCACAGGGCCACCATGTCTCCCACCACAATGATCTGAGAACGTGCACGTGTAAGAATAGTATTAAGAATTCTTGGGTCACAGAAGACTTCGAGACTGAAGTTGGATGAAACTTGGGAGGTAGATGGAAGACTTTCTACAGAACGGACTGTGCTCAAGATAATGACTTGGTATTCACACCCTGAAAAAAAACAACAACAAAGTATACAACTAGTAAGAAAAGGTTCTCTCAAGGATGAGAAGAGAGAGAAGATCAAAAGAAAAAAAAATGGAAGAGAGGACTTGTAGTAATGTAGAAATTAGTTTCTTGTCAGAGGACTGCGTGTAGTACTGTGATAGGTACACAGGGTCAGAAGGCTGTGTGCAGTGTCATGATAGATACGTAGTGTCAGAAGGATGTATGCAGTGTGGTGACAGGTACACAGTGTCTGAGAGGCTCTTAAAGTATCAAATTAGGTCATGTAAATAGACATACCTATGATGTTGCTATAAGTTGTTACTGTGATGTCACGGCAGTTTATTTTGCGCAGCTCCTGACGTATCAGTTGCACCTACAAGGACATACATATTACACCTAGGACAGTAGTGTGGGGTCATTGGGGTAAATAAGAAAAGAAGGCGAGTATATAAATATATTAAATATTTGGGATGGTCGGTAGGATGAATGCATGATGAAAGATCCCACTACTAAAACCAATTATTACCCCTTTACATACCTGACTTCCTTGGGACACTACACAGATATTGCTTGCCCTGACAGGTCCCCAACTTTTCGGCCACTGTTCAAGTACCTTTCGGACTACTTCCAAAACCTGCAATGACTCAGACTCATTCACCCAGGAGCTGCCTTCTCGTTTGCAAGGTCCATGTACATGGCAAAGGCCAAAGGTAAATTGACCTGCAGGAAGAGCTTCTGTATCATTGGCACAGGCATCTATAGAATCACCTCGGCCAACATAAAAGCATCGGGAAATAAAGGAGATGATCTCGGGAACAGAACGATAGTTTTGGTGGAAGACAATACGTGCACCTTTTGCTGCAGGACAATCATGTCTCTGGTAAAAGGAGAAGAGACGTGTGAGCAGGTCATGCTGTTCATGGCAGTCGGTGTGTTTTTGGGAAAAAAGTCTTGGAGATTCCTGCATATGATCTCCAGCCATGATGATGCGGGTCCAGTTATTGGCCAGTGCTAAGGGAATTAGAGCCTCACTCTCCAGCATCTGAGCCGCCTCGTCTAGAAATATGTGGCTGAAGTATCCACGGGGCACCTCTAGGTCACGGGAGGTTTCAGCAGTCACCACGATGATACGATGTTGATCTAGGTCTTTTCGATGGGGTGAGATAAAAGATAAACCATCTTCTTTTAAAGCACAGTACTGCAGTGTGATAGGATCAGTCCTCCTTATGTTGCTTAGCTTATACTTCACTCTGAGAGGGGTGGCGTCTGAATGACCTGACATCACATGAGGATGGAAATGTTCTCGAATGTAAAGATCAGCAACACTACAAATACAAACCAAATACAAGTAGAGGTGAGAAAATGTTTTTTGGAATGTTGGGAATTATTTTAATGTAATACATGTCAATAGTACCTGTTATTATGAGTACAGATCAGCACTCGGGTGTTGTCTTGCTTGATTACCTCCAAAGCTGACTTGGCCATTGTATAGGTTTTCCCAGTTCCAAAGGGTCCGTAGATAAGAAGAGGAGCCACCAGCTTTCCTTCTGGCACAGATCCTATGATATAAGATGCAGCCATTTGTTGTTTAGAGTTTCCCCATGACAGTGAACCCTTGAATGTGGGAAGCGAACAGTTGGCCAGTTCTGGTAGCACAAGCTTCTCATCCTGCAGCAGGTCCACTGCCTTGTGGTACAAGCAGAAATTCCACCGATCCATCTGGAATTGGATCTCCATCAAGGGGGATGTTCTTTCCTCAATGGCCAACTCTCTACAGCAACGCTCTGGTATCTCAAGCAAAATGCTGCTCTCTAGATCAACACTACTAACTACAAGCACTTCATACACCTTATCATCTTGCTGTGGGCAAGGGGCCAATAGAGCTGTATTCACAGACCTACTGAGTAAGTATCCTTCTTCTGTGTCTTTTGTCATGCCTTTCGGGAGAAAAACTTCTGCACACAACCCACCAATGTGAGGAAACCACATGCCCTGCAAGGTTGTCACCATCTTACTTAGAGATACAGGGACCTTCATGTTCAGCCTGGAGAGAGGAACGAAAAAAAAAAACACTCAAAAACATATATTAATACATTATGAGACAGGGCCTCCAAAACAGTTCTAAAAGATTATTTTTAGTATATTCCAGTAACCAATGAAATGAATCAGTTTGATAGAAATTCAATCACCACCTTTTGTTTTATTGTGATTTTTTTTGTGCAAAACATTCTTCAAGGTCCTTAATAAATCAGATTTGATCCCAGTAAAATGTATGGCGGAGGCTAAATATAAACAACCAGTGAACTTATTCACCCTATTTATCCACTACTTTTACACTGAATGGAACACTGGGTAATACTCCTTATTGGGTACACAAGGGCAAGACGGTTTAATTCTGAACTGAAACTGGACCCCTTGCTCACGGTGCCTGGAAGGATATCGGCTATACCGCACTGACGATGCCTAACATGGATGAAATGAATGTCTGGGGTTGCTGTATCTCTCGTGCAGAGAGTGCCGGCCTGCATTTTGGATCTGTTCTGCCCTTTTGGATGGGATTCCCCATAGAGATGCATTGATTTAATGCATCTCTATAAAGTGATGCTGAGTGGCACAGTACAGCGTTTTCCCGCGCATGTGCAATAGCCTCCCAATGCTTTCCTACGGAAAAGCACTGGATTAGCTGAGATCATCAAGATTTCTTATCTCAGCCATGGAGGCGGAGCCAGGTGGGTACAGACCTGGCAAGACCAGCGTGGCGTGGCGTGGACTAATGAGGAAGTATTAGCCTAAACAGCAATGAATGGCTGTGATTGGCTGAGAGTGTCAGCTGGCTGCTTTCAGTCTATCACAGTGCACATTGCTGTTATAAATTGGTACGGCTAGAAGAAAGTGTGTAATCTCTGCCTTAACCACACCTCCAGTTGGGGCCAGTCTGTGGTTGGCCAGGGACCCTCATTCAGTGGTAAGCTGCTTGAACATGGGTAAACACTGAATGGAGGGAACGAGCTGGAGGACTCCAGGCACTATATAACCAATTCAATATGATGAAATGGTTGTAATGTCTACTGTCTTTTAACTACAAAAGAAATTGAGTCTCTCCTTCTCTCACCGGCTTATCACTTGTTCCCTAGCTGCCTCTTCCTGGAGTAGCCACTCATGAATATATCTTCTGTAGTTTTCAGTTGTGAGTGAGTTTTTGTTTGTTGACATGTGCTGTTGATTTAGTATCTTTGGTGGTTTGTAAAGGTCCATGAGACTTTTCTCCTCCTGTGTCCTCTCCTTGCACGGGACACACAGCTTTGTGTCCGCATACCACCGTTCAGAGGTTGGAAGTGAATTTATCTCTTGATGAGAGGCATTGTTTTGGGAAACCGGTGCTATATCATGGCCCCCAATCTTCAGAAAGATCTTCTTCAGTAAAGCTGGACGCTCTCCAAAGTCTAAAACCAACCACTGTTCAAAAAGCCCAAATACTGATCCCTCTGCAAGCACTTTGATGGTATACTGGAGCCGAGGTGCCTCAGCTTGGAAGCTGCAACCCTGTGCATAATGACAAGATTCCGGGAGATCAGGTGCCAACAATGAGAAGGAAACTCCGGGATCTCTCTTCAACAGAGCCACATGCACGAGAGACATCTGAAAAAGAAAACTAGCAAGTTGATGGCTTGGACATTCTATGATATGTAGGAACATCAAACTGATCTAAAAGAGAGATACACACACAGACAGCTCTCTCTTTCTCTCTCTCTCTCTCTCTCTCTAAGGTTGGTGAAAAAAATTTAAAAGGAGAGGAGAAGGACAGGTGAAGAGAGTAGGGAAGACTCGGAGGACAGTGAAATAAGAAAACCTTGGAAAGAGAATTGGAGAGGGTTGGAGGAGATGGGGGAAATCCTGAAAAGAAAGGGAAAAATCGTGCTTGAATAGGGAAAATAAAGCATGGAATGAGAGAGGGGAAGGGGAAAAGATGAAGATAGCACAGGATGAGGGGAATAGAAAAAACTATATGGTAGGTTAAAGAGGAAGCATGATGTTAGGGAAGCGGAAACACATTGTGAGAGTTCAATAATTAACCATCACTGGTGTTTGGAGCCATCCATTCTTCACATTTATACATTCTATAGTCGTGGTATTTGTGTCAACACATTCCATTCCTTACCTTTGAATGTACAGTAAATGTCCACGTTGTTGTAACTGGTTTTTCGGGGATGTGGAGGTCTAGGGATCGGTCACAGGAAATTCTAGCCCCTTCAACATATTCTGACAGCTGAAAAGGAAGTAACAAGTCATGGATCAGTATGTGGGACTGAACTGACATCGAGTTATAAATGGTGCGATCGTGTGAAAGTGGCATTTGATGGGTGTCTAAATATTGCATTTGATGGGTGTCTAAATATTGCCACTGGTAATGTGACACTAAAATGCCAAAGTGTGAATTCTTTTGAATTCAAAGTAATTTTCAAATTGTAGGCTTAGATACCTGAACTGAAAACAAAACAGATTTTCTTTTGCAGTTTGTCTATTTTGTAGTAAAATGAGAAATTCACTCCGAATGCCCAATAACTTCATAAGAATTGGAGTGTGAGTGTGTGTATGTGTCAGTTATAATGACAGTGGGAATGACAGATTACACGGTCACTTTTAACAACTGGCAACTTCCTCCACAAACAAGCTCATTTTCATGGTACCAACCAATATAAATAAAAGGTGGTTTTATCTTTATACTGGCACACTATATTTCTATGTTCTCCCTCTCTTTCCCATGTATATATGAAATAAGAGAGAACCCTTAAAGGCTACATCGTTTCAAGACACCATTATGAGCTTACAATCAAGTTATATCTTGTGTGTGCAATAAAACCATCAGCGTTCCACTTGGCCTACAGATCTGCACTATTTTATTATATTTTTTTCTAAATTGTATATTTCTTATATTTATGCTGAAGATTTAAGGAGTCTTCATACAATTTTCTTTTAAGGGTAATATTGTATATAGTCCCATATCCTTCCACTTTCTGGTGTGCACCTTGTTTTATATATATATTATTCGTATTATTTGTACCCTTCCCTGCTTTGCCTCCCAGCTAGAGAACCAAAACACCCACCCCAAAACTCTCAGGGATTCGCAAAAGGCTCTCTCAGGTGCAGGAAGCCCGACCGGGAGCTACCCCAAAAATTTTGGAACTGTGACTCGGATTGTGGGAGTATTGCAGTCTGGTCAAACTTCATCGAAGGTTGCTTTCGGCTCCAGGACCACCAAACAGAGCACTTTTTGGAAGGGAGATCAAGGAGTTTATGAGGTGTCTAGCGACACTAAGGACTTAGGGGAGCTCCCTTCCCCGGGGGTCCAGAAGTGATTAACAATGACTGGGACTCTAAATCTGATCTTTTCACATTGTTTATACTCCTTGTTCAGAGCTATCTGGGGACGTAAGAAACTTGGAGGTAACTGTAGGAGAACATGTCGTTTTCTGGTTATTATTTCTAGGCGCCCTGGTGTCTGGTAGGTTATTAAATTATCTTGTCCTAAGTCAGCTACGTTGCAGACACCAATGCACCCAGGTTCTGCAATGCATTATTTTTCACAATGACCCCCTGTTGGGAATGTGTGTAGATATACCCATGTGAGCGAGTGGGTGAGTGAGAGTGATAGGCTGTGGCTGTCAATGAGTTTGTGTATGCCCTTTCTTTCACATTGTTTCTGTCTCCAAAAGAGCCACTTTAGTAGGGCCCAGACCTCCCCCCCCCCTCCATGCTGGGAGACCGTGATGTTCAGTAATGCAAGTATGATAGGGGTTGTCGCTCATACTGACATCATTCTCTGGTTACAATGTGCAAAACAGACAGCAAGTGTTTCTCATTGACCCTTATGATATCATTGTTAAAGAACTCACTGTCTCATCGTCCAGCCTGTATTCCTCGATCAGTCTATTTTGGTAAGACTGCAGTCCCTCCACCTCCACCACTTGCTTGTTCCTCTTGCTGACCTTCATTCTCAGCATCCATTCCTCCAGCTCCTCCTTGCTGTGGGCTTTAGGACAGCCGGTCCCAAAAACACAGGACAACGGACTGCATAGACACAAACATACACAGTCATAGTGTACTCAGAAACACAAGAAACAGACAGACAAGGTCACTGTGTACAGAAGGGGAACAGACAGACACGGTCACTGTGTACAGGAGAGGGACAGACAGACAGGGTCACTGTGTACAGGATGGGGACGGACAGACGGGGTCACTGTGTACAGGATGGGTGAACACAGACAGGGTCACTGTGAGCAGGAGAGGGACAGACAGACAGGGTCACTGTGTACAGGAGAGCCACAGACAGACAGGGCCACTGTGTACAGGATGGGGATGGATAGACAGGGTCACTATGTACAGGATGGGGGCAGACAAGACATGGCCACTGTGTACAGGAGAGCGACAGACAGGGTCATTGTGTACAGGATGGGGACCGACAGACAGGGTCATTGTGTGCAAGAGAGGCATGGACAGACAGGGTCACTGTATACAGGAGGGGAACAGACTGACTGGGTCACTGTGTACAGGATGGGTAAAGACAGACAGGGTCACTGTGAGCAGGATGGGGACAGACAGAGAGTGTCACTGTGTACAGGATGAGGACAGACAATCAGAGTCACTGTGTACAGGAGAGGGACAGACAGACAGGCTCAGTGTGTACAGGATGGAGACAAAGAGACAGGGTCACTGTGTACAGGATGGGGACGGACAGACAGGGTCACTGTGTACAAAATGGGGACAGACAGACAGGGAACAGGAGAGGGACAGACAGAATGGGTCACTGTGTACAGGATGGGGATGGACAGACAGGGTCATTGTGTACAGGATGGGTAAAGACAGACAGGATCACTGTGAGCAGGATAGGGACAGACAGACAGGGTCACTGTGTACAGGATGGGGACCGACAGACAGGGTCATTGTGTGCAAGAGAGGGATGGACAGACAGGGTCACTGTGTACAGGAGGGGAACAGACTGACTGGGTCACTGTGTACAGGAGAGGGAATCACTGTGTGCAAGAGAGGAACAGAAACACAGACAGGGTCACTGTGTACAGGATGGGGACAGACAAACAGGGTCACTGGAACGCTCTCTGATTACCTTTCACAGAGGGTGAAGTCGTTAATGTCAGTAGGTGGTTTGCGATGATTCCACACAGTCAGAGTGTCATCTTCCATCATACGCCTGTGTTCTGGCGTAGAGCAATGCATTTCGAAGCTTTCCTGTGTCGGGGCAGTGACAAGGCACAAGCGACAGTAAAAACCCTCATTTTGCTCCAATTGCTGCACAATATTCCCACGACTGAGCCCATCATCTTTCTCCGCCTTCCATACCGCTAGCTCTACCTCGCTGTGAGCATGCGGGCAATGCCCACCTTCCACTCGGCACAGGATTCCACGTGATGATTGGTGGCACAGGTGAATGGTTTGCTGACGGGGCAATGGGTGGACTGCGTGACATATTGTCCTGCTTTCACCAGTCACAATATGTGCAAGGAGGGGTACGCCGCGAGGGTGAGTCTGGCAATGCCGGTAGTTGGTGATCTTCTGAGGGCTTTGGTAAAAACATTGCTCACACACTTCCTGAAAATGCCCTCCGAACTTTTCCAAGATGCCATTCAAATCTTTAGCAGGAGCAGCACCAGTGTAGGGGGTGGGCATCAACATACCTTGAAGCTGGTTCCTGTCTAGTTTACATGTTTTCTCAAAGGCCCAAACTTCAATTTCCTCTTCACTCCAGGCAAAGGTACAATTTTGAGAATGCTTGATGCATCCTTTGTTTGGTTGGTAGTGCCAACAAACTGCATAGCGGGCTGGCACTGGAAAAGTAGGACGGACTCTAACCTCGTGCCAGTGCCCCCCATTCTGCCCATTCCTTAGCCTGGCAAGCAGTACTTGGCATTTACAGCTGTGCTTGGAGAGTCGCAGAACGAAAGTGATTTCATTTTCCCTTTTACTGCAGATCTCGCAAGCAAGTCGAAGCTCTACCTTCTCCTGAAGCTGGGACAAATTAGCAATCTCTGGACCAGAGAACTGTCCCATCACTGGTCCTAAAGTAATAAGAGAGATCAGGAATTAGAAACACTACAGTGATTGTTATGTGATCATTTGTTTGAAAATCCCAGTGTAGTGGCTCAGTACACATAGGCCTGGCTCAGTACACACAGACCTCTAGCGCTCATCAATAGGACTGTATAGAAAGCACACGGACTATACCAGCATAGTGTGACTGGCTCAGTACACAGACCTCTAGCGCTCATTAATAGGACTGTATAGAAAGCACCCGGACTATGCCAGCATAGTGTGACCGTTTCAGTACACAGAGACCTCTAGATCTCATTAATAGGACTGTATAGAAAGCACTCAGACTATACCAGCATGGTGTGACCGGTTCGGTACACATAGACCTCTAGCGCTTATTAATAGGACTGTATAGAAAGCACACAGACTATCCCAGCGTAGTGTGACCATCTCGGTACACAGAGACCTCTAGCGCTCATTAATAGGACTGTATAGGAAGCACACAGACTATCTCAGCATAGTGTGACCGGCTTAGTACACATAGACCTCTAGCGCTCATTAATAGGACTGTATAGAAAGCACACGGACTATCCCAGCATAGTGTGACCATCTCAGTACACAGAGACCTCTAGCGCTCATTAATAGGACTGTATAGGAAGCACACAGACTATCCCAGCATAGTGTGACCGGCTCAGTACACATAGACCTTTAGTGCTCATTAATAGGACATTAAACAGAACCAGTTCGCTTATCTGATTGTTTACTAAAACAGGCCGCAACGCTTATTTTGTGACTGAAAAAATATAACCTGTGTAGAATATACATTGAAACCTGTAGAGTATTTAAAGGGACATTATAGTGATTAGAACAATTACAGCTTATTGTATTTGTCCTGATGAGTAGAATTTTGCAGTAAACACAGTTTTTTGCAAAGAAAATGCAGTGTTTACATTACAGCCAAGGGATAACTCCACTGGCCTATCCTCAGATGGCTGCTAGAGGTGCTTCCTGGGGCAGCACTGCCATTCAGTGTCTCCGCCCTCTGCAGTTGCCCGGTTTAGAGCTGAGTTAGGAGTTATATATATTTATCATCTTTGAATTGATCTGCTTTCTTGAATGTTTGTTTAAAGTGACACGCCACTGCCTAAATACAAAATAAATTCTCCCCCAAAAAAGAAATTGCATTTATTTAATTATGTATTGTTTTTCATTGCAGGTATTTCTAAAAACAGCGTATCCCCTTCTAAAACCACCCAGATTTTATGTGACTGTCCAATCACACACTTCCCAATGAAGCTCAATGAGAAGTCTTTGCAAGGCAGCTACTCTGGGCAGTTGCTGCCTCTTGGGTTTAGCACCACTGAGCTAACCAATCCAGGAAGTAACAGTAACAGTTGTCTGCTTGAAAGCCAGAGAGGTGTAACATAGTTAATTCATAAAAGTGCCAATTTCTATTGAAATCTGCACTTTTTGCAAAATTAAAAAAAGAGGATACACTCTTCAAACATATATATTTTCAGCGAGTTTTAAACTTTGTAACCTTTAAACGTCGTAGTGGGGCAGTGGGGGAAGTGGGACAGGGGGAGGTGTGTATAAACAACTTATCCCATGATTCCCTGCCGGGTATGAGTTTATGCTATACGAACACATAACCTACAGACGAGAATGAGAGACTCCATTTAAAAAGGTGTCTGCTTGCTACTGACATTTGCTGTGTCTTAGGAAACTATAAAAAAAGCAATTTTCTTTAAGTATTGTTCTGGAAAGAACAACAATATGTATACGACTACAATTCACGCCAGCCACAAGCTGGAAACGTCAACCACAGGCCTATAAACCTAACCTGCTAAAGTCGAAAAGACTCTAAGATACTACACTGCTCAACAAAATAAAGGGAACACTTAAACAACACAATGTAACTCCAAGTCAATCACACTTCTGTGAAATCAAACTGTCCACTTAGGAGCAACACTGAGTGACGATCAATTTCACATGCTGTTGTGCAAATGGGATAGACAACAGGTAGAAATTAAAGGCAATTAGCAAGACACCCCCAATAAAGGAGTGGTTCTGCAGGTGGTGACCACAGACCACTTCTCAGTTCCCATGCTTCCTGGCTGATGTTTTGGTCACTTTTGAATGCTGGCGGTGCTTTCACTCTAGTGGTAGCATGAGATGGAGTCCACAACCCACACAAGTGACTGAGGTAGTGCAGCTCATCCAGGATGGCACATCAATGCGAGCTGTGGCAAGAAGGTTTGCTGTGTCTGTCAGCGTAGGGTCCAGAGCATGGAAGCACTACCAGGAGACAGGCCAGTACATCAGGAGACGTGGAGGAGGCCGTAGGAGGGCAACAACCCAGCAGCAGAACCGCTACCTCCGCCTTTGTTCAAGGAGGAACAGGAGGGGCACTGCCAGAGCCCTGTAAAATGACCTCCAGCAGGCCACAAATGTGCATGTGTCTGCTTAAACAGTCAGAAACAGACTCCATAAGGGTGGTATGAGGGCCCGACGTCCACAGGTGGGGGTTGTGCTTACAGCCCAACACCGTGCAGGACGTTTGGCATTTGCCAGAGAACACCAAGATCGGAAAATTCGCCACTGGCGCCCTGTGCTCTTCACAGATGAAAGCAGGTTCACACTGAGCACATGTGACAGACGTGACAGAGTCTGGAGACGCCGTGGAGAATGTTCTGATGCCTGCAACATCCTCCAGCATGACCGGTTTGGCAGTGGGTCAGTAATGGTGTGGGGTGGCATTTCTTTGGGGGGCCGCACAGCCCTCCATGTGCTCGCCAGAGGTAGCCTGACTGCCATTAGGTACCGAGATGAGATCCTCAGACCCCTTGTGAGACCATATGCTGGTGCTGTTGGCCCTGGGTTCCTCCTAATGCAAGACAATGCTAGACCTCATGTGGCTGGAGTGTGTCAGCAGTTCCTGCAAGACAAAGGCATTGATGCTATGGACTGGCCCACCCGTTCCCCAGACCTGAATCCAATTGAGCACATCTGGGACATCATGTCTCGCTCCATCCACCAACGTCACGTTGCACCACAGACTGTCCAGGAGTTGGCAGATGCTTTAGTCCAGGTCTGGGAGGAGATCCCTCAGGAGACCATCTGCCACCTCATCAGGAGCATGCACAGGCGTTGTAGGGAGGTCATACAGGCACGTGGAGGCCACACACACTACTGAGCCTCATTTTGACTTGTTTTAAGGACATTACATCAAAGTTGGATCAGCCTGTAGTGTGTTTTTCCACTTTAATTTTGAGTGTGACTCCAAATCCAGACCTCCATGGGTTGAAAAATTTGATTTCCATTTTTTAATTTTTGTGTGATTTTGTTGTCAGCACATTGAACTATGTAAAGAACAAATTATTTCAGAAGAATATTTAATTCATACAGATCTAGGATGTGTTATTTTTGTGTTCCCTTTATTTTTTTGAGCAGTGTTTATAACCGTGGCAATAAACTGACTTACTAACGAGCATTGTATCCAATTAACTGCTACCACAACCTGTTACTGTATATGAAATATCAATCACATGTTTCCTTTCTGTAATGCTACCTTTTGACAAACAAAAGAAAACTCAATAAACACAGAATGTTTAAAAAAAATAAAAAGAAGCTATTTATATGTAGGACCGTCTACATATATGTAATAATAAATCTCATGATGCTCTGGGCTGGCATACATTTGCTCTGTTTACTCTCTACACACAAATAGGGTCCCACTATTTGCTCACACTGATATATGAGATGATAACCTTTATCCTCTTCTGGGTTTTTTGGTGGTGTCTCTTGTGTTCTTAATTGCACAATTTTATTTTGGTTTTGCATCACATAGAAAATTCTAAAAATGAAACAACACTCTGTAGATCGCTTAAAGGTACACTCTAACATTGTCTAAATATATTTAAAGGACCACTATAGGCACCCAGACCACTTCAGCTCAATGGAGTGGTCTGGGTGCCAGGTCCATCTAGGGTTAACCCTGCAGCTGTAAACATAGCAGTTTCAGAGAAACTGCTATGTTTAAAATAGGGTTAATCCAGCCTCTAGTGGCTATCTCATTGACAGCCGCTAGAGGAGCTTCTCACTGTGAAAATCACAGCGAGAAGACGCCAGTGTCCATAGGAAAGCATTGAGAAATGCTTTCCTATGGACTGACCGCGCATGCGCAATCGGATGATGACGTCGGAAGAGGGAGGAGAGTCCCCAGCACCGAGGGCGAAAGGTAAGTGATTAACCCCTTCAGCTCAGCGGGAGTGGGACCCAGAGGGAGGGGTCCCAAAGACCCAATAGTGCCAGGAAAACGAGTTTGTTTTTCCTGGCACTATAGTGGTCCTTTAAGTATATTTATTTTTATATTGGCATGTTGTCTTTTTAATGTAGATCCAGCCCCCCCCTCCTTTGTTAAAATAAAAATAAAAAGCAAATCCACTTATCTTTAAACCTTTGCTAAGATAGTCTATATTCTGCAGCCACGCCGCCTCTGAAGACGTCATAACTTCTGATAAGTTTTGTTCGTTCGATGTGTGTGATGACGTTGAACATGAAGCCCTTTGCAAATTCAAGGTCTTCAATGAGGACATGCCTGTAATGGCTGCCTGTCTGACAGGCGCTAGAGGCGTGGTTTATGTGTCAGACAAGAGGGGCGGGGTCTATGGACCAAAATAAAGATGAAGTGGTTTGGCCAATTAGAGCAGGGAGAGGCAACCTTTGGCACTCCAGATGCTCTGAACTACATCACCCATAATGCTCTGACAACCAAAATGCTGGCAAAGCACCAGAGGGAGTGCAGAAAGTTGCCTTTACTCATTAATTAATTCAGGAATATCTACATTGTTGCAAATTTTTGTATCATATCAAAAAAGCCACAGTACTGGTAATGTCACAAAGAGGGGTATATTAATTAAACACCAGACTGCGACAATAACTGAAGAAGAGATTTCTAAACTGGAAAGTTAGTATCATATGAAGTTACAAGTTCTGTATTAGAGATATATTTAATTACCAGAAGCAGTGAGTGTTATATGAAGATACAGGTTCTGTATTAGGATATATTTAGCAATCAGTGTTATATGAAGATACAGGTTCTGTCTGTATTAGGATATATTTAGCAATCAGTATTATATGAAGATACAGGCTCTGTATTAGGATATATTTAGCAATCAGTGTTATATGAAGATACAGGCTCTGTATTAGGATATATTTAGCAATCAGTGTTATATGAAGATACAGGCTCTGTATTGGGATATATTTAGCAATCAGTGTTATATGAAGATACGGGCTCTGTATTGGGATATATTTATCAATCAGTGTTATATGAAGATACAGGCTCTGTATTAGGATATATTTAGCAATCAGTGTTATATGAAGTTACAGGTTCTGTATTGGGATATATTTAGCAATCAGTCTTATATGAAGATACAGGCTCTGTATTAGGATATATTTAGCAATCAGTGTTATATGAAGTTACAGGTTCTGTATTAGGATATATTTAGCAATCAGTATTATATGAAGATACAGGTTCTGTATTAGAGACAGGTTATAATAATCTTACCTGAAGGGTGAGGTCGGGATTCTCCCCTGTTCAGAATTGTCTCTGTGTGAATCTCTCTGTCTGTCAGTCTCTGAGTGAGTCTCTCTGTCTGTCAGTCTCTGTGTCTGACAGTCTCTGTGTGTCTGTCTCTGTGTCTGACTCTCTGTGTCTGACAGTCTCTGTGTCTGACTCTCTGTGTCTGACAGTCTCTGTGTCTGTCTCTCTGTGTGTGTTAGTCTCTGTGTCTGACAGTCTCTGTGTGTCTGTCTCTGTGTCTGACTCTCTGTGTGTGTCAGTCTCTGTGTCTGACTCTCTGTGTCTGACTCTCTGTGTGTATCAGTCTCTGTGTCTGTCTCTCTGTGTCTGTCAGTCTCTGTGTCTGTCTCTGTGTGTGTATGTATCTCTGAGTGTGTGTGTGTCCGGCTTTGTATTTTTGTTTCCTTTTTCCAGTTTCGTTTCATGCTTTCAGATAAAGGTTCGGCTTCATGACAGTGACGTAATACAGTCCCTCCCTGGCAATAGCACGTGTGAGTTAAATGCACAGAGAGACCAGAAGATGGGTCTTGGGATAAACAGTGGGTGCAGATGCACAGTCAGGGGGTGCATGGGGTAAGAGCCACAGTCTGGGGGTGCATGGGGTAAGAGCCACAGTCAGGGGGTGCATGGGGTAAGAGCCACAGTCAGAGAGTGCATGGGGGTGAGAGCCACAGTCAGGCGGTGCATGGGGTAAGAGCCACAGTCAGGGGGTGCATGGGGTAAGAGCCACAGTCAGGGAGTGCATGGGGGTGAGAGCCACAGTCGGGGGGTGCATGGGGGTGAGAGCCACAGTCAGGGAGTGCATGGGGGTGAGAGGCACAGTCAAGGGGTACATGGGGGTACGAGCCACAGTCAGGGGGTGCATGGGGGTGAGAGGCACAGTCAGGGAGTGCATGGAGGTGATATGCACAGTAAGAGAGTGCATGGGGTGAGAGGCACAGTCAGGAGGTGCATGGGGTGAGAGGCACAGTCAGGTAGTGCATGGGGTGAGATGCACAGTCAGAGAGTGCATGGGGTGAGAGGCACAGTCAGGGGGTGCATGGGGTGAGAGGCACAGTCAGGGAGTGCATGGGGTGAGAGGCACAGACAGTGAGTGCATGGTGGTGAGATGCACAGTCAAGGGGTGCGAGGCACAGTCAGGGGGTGCATGGGGTGAGAGGCACAGTCAGGGAGTGCATGGGGTGAGAGGCACAGACAGTGAGTGCATGGTGGTGAGATGCACAGTCAAGGGGTGCGAGGCACAGTCAGGGGGTGCATGGGGTGAGAGGCACAGTCAGGGAGTGCATGGGGGTGAGATGCACAGTCATGGGGTGAGATGCACAGTCAGGGAGTGCATGGGGGTTAGATGCAGTCAGGGAGTGCATGGGGGTGAGATGCACAGTCAGGGAGTGCATGTGTGTGAGAAGGATAGTCAGGGACTGCATGGGGTCAGATGCACAGTCAGGGAGTGCATGGGGTGAGAAGGAAAGTCAGGGAGTACATGGGGTGAGAAGGACAGTCAAGGAGTACATGGGGTGAGAAGGACAGTCAGGGAGTGCAAGGGGGTGAGATGCACAGTCAGGTGGTGCATGGAGTGTGATGCACAGTCAGGGGGTGCATGGGGTGAAATGCACAGTCGGGGAGTGTGTGGGGGTGAGATAAACAGTAAGGGAGTGCATGGGGGTGAGATGAACAGTAAGGGAGTGCATGGGGTGTGATGCACAGTCGGGGTGGATGGGGTGAGATGCACAGTCAGGGGGTGCATGGGAGTAAGATTAACAGTCAGGGAGTGCATGGGGTGAGATGCACAGTCAGGAAGTGCATGGGAGTAAGATTAACAGTCAGGGGGTGCATGGGGTGAGATGCACAGTCAGGAGTCGCATGGGAGTAAGATTAACAGTCAGGGAGTGCATGGGGTGAGAAGCACAGTCAGGGAGTGCATGGGGGTGAGATGCACAGACAGGAGGTGGTACATGGGGGTAATTTGCACAGATGGCTAAAGATGGTGACATGCACAGACAGGGGCACACACACAAAGACATGCACAAGCACACACAGGTACCAGGCACAGACACAGTCACACAACAGCATAGACAGACAGAGACACGTACACACAGTCACACACAAGCAAAGACAGACACGTGCACAGCTAAACAGCGGCATAGACAGATCAATATACACAATAGATGGTCTCTCCGCATTCCTGCAGTGTCCATTCTCCTCAGTTAGTCTTCTCCAGAATCGGATGAAACGCAGTGATAGAGACACACAGGGATAATTACACTCTCACTCTGCTTTAGTCCCACTACTAGGCTCACTGAGAAGACCAGGAAGATCCCCCCCCCCCCCCATGCCTCTACTCCCAATACTTTAATTTTAGGTGTGTCGGGGGGCGGGGTGTGACAAAATGAATTATTTACTAATAACAATTTATCCAACTAACATGTAATTTAGAAAAAGACCAATGCATCTTTTTACATAGTCTGATTTCTAACCACATTTATTGTAGTTTGAGCTCTGTTAGACACACCAACATTATAAGGGTCCTAGAAAAGGAAGGTCATTAGACCCAAACAGGGACTGTCCTAGACTTTGGCCTCTTTCTCTGATAGAGATTTACTATATATCCCTTTAAAGCAGAACTGCCAGCCTCTGGGGACTTTGCATAATTTTAGAAAGCCCTGATGCTGACATCGCTACTGTTGGTCCGGTGGCCTGGAAGGGGGAGCAGGGAAGGATGAGATTTAGTAACTTAATCTGCCCCTTGCTGGTGCCACCATCATGTTTGGCTGGTCCTCTTCTGTTCCTGGGGCTTCAGCTGCCAGGAATGGATGTAAATACCTTTTTGAAATAATCATTTTGGGTGGAGTGACAGTGCCGCTTTAACTCTGGCTTGTAGTTTAAAGGGACACTATAGTCACCTGAACAACTTTAGCTTAATTAAGCAGTTTTGGTGTATAGAACATGCCCCTGCAGCCTCACTGCTCAATCCTCTGCCATTTAGGAGTTAAATCCCTTTGTTTATGAACCCTAGTCACACCTCCCTGCATGTGACTTGCACAGCCTTCCATAAACACTTCCTGTAAAGAGAGCCCTATTTAGGCTTTCTTTATTGTAAGTTGTTTAATTAGGATTTTCTTATCCCCTGCTATGTTAATAGCTTGCTAGACCCTGCAAGAGCCTCCTGTATGTGATTAAAATTCAATTTAGAGATTGAGATACAATTCTTTAAGGTAAATTACATCTGTTTGAAATTGAAACCAGTTTTTTTTTTCATGCAGGCTCTGTCAATCATAGCCAGGGGAAGTGTGGCTAGGGCTGCATAAACAGAAACAAAGTGATTTAACTCCTAAATGACAGTGAATTGAGCAGTGAAATTGCAGGGGAATGATCTATACACTAAAACTGCTTTATTTATCTAAAGTAATTTTGGTGACTATAGTGTTCCTTTAACACTTACACCTGACCTATTTCTTGGCTGTTTCACGTACCTTGGCATTGCATTAAGCCAGGCCACCAGTGAAGACTGCTCTTTCTTGTCCGTGCCTTTTGTAATGCTTGACCTAAGTTCTTTGTGCTAGTCATTGACAGGCACAGGTTACGTAATGCTCAGGGAACAGAGATGCTCTGGTTGAGGGTACAGTTTGTGTGAGCACAGTGAGATGGTAAGATGCATGTGGTGAGTTCTCAGACTAATGTCCAAATCTTATTCCACAGCCTCACTAGTGGTGAGATGCATAGATGACAGCATACACCTATTTAAAGGACACGTTTCACAACAGTTTTTACCTAATTCATTTTTAAAGTTTACTACATTTAATGAGACTTAATGTGTATTTTTTCATGATATGTACTGATTTGTTTAAGAGAATTTCACTTCCTTTTTTTTAATCTTTATTTTTGCATTGACATAGACTGAAACAGTGCAGTATAAAGTCTTACGCAGAAGCCCGATTTCTGTAAATTTGTCATTACTATTACATTACAGGACTGAAAAGAGGTGGGTTACATGCAGGCGGTGGGTGCATCAACTATCTGAGCTTAGCGTGTTCACAGTCTGTCAGATTTTAAGTTAACAGAAACGAAAGAAGTATAAAAAAACAAAACTGAACATAAAACAATTGGCTCTGCGATTCTAGAGGGGTCTTGTTCTTGTGCATGAACGGTCGGGCACCTGTGTGGGTGGGAATATGAGGTTTCCCGTGTATCGCTTGTGTATCTACGAGGCTAATCCTCATATTGTTCCCAGAGTTCCCATACTTTATTAAAGGTGGCGGTCATGTTACGGACCTGTGCTGTTAGCTTGTCCATGAGATAGTTGTCCCTGATTTTCGTTAGTACCATGGATATGTGTGGTAACTCTAGGCTTGCCCATTTTTGTGTTAGTGCCCGTCCTGCTGCTAGATATAGCATGTTTAATAATTTTTGTGTCTATTAAGTCCCTCAGTGGGTCTGGAGAGCATATATGCCCAGGGGTCTAGTTCTAATCTTCCTTGAAGATCTTTGGAGCTGAGGTCTACCACTCTCCTCCAATATTCTGTAACTTTTGGGCACTGCCACCACATGTGTATATGACTTCCCTTATCTCCACAAAAATGCCTGCAGGTATCAGTGGGACTCAGCTTCATGTGACATTGCTTGACCGGTGTGTGGTGTACCACCCAAAGAGCGATTTATAGCATTGTTCCTGAAGCATGACGCACATGGATACCTTGGTGCACGCCTCCCATCTCTCCTTCCAATCAGTTCCATCAAGAGCCAGGTCGGCCTCCCATTGGTCAGTGTATCTGAGAGTCCCCCATTCCCCTAATTCTGAGCTAATGTGTTGGTAAAGTAGAGTAATGAGTTTGGTCTGGGTTGTTTCCTCATAACACATTTTCTCAAAGAACGTTAACTTGCATTCTGCTGCTGTTTGGATTTCTTTGGTGCGTGCGAAGTCCCTAATCTGCAGATAGCAGAAATAGTCTCTCATCTGGATTGGGGACTAGGTTTGTAGGTGGTCATAGGTTACTATGTCGCCATTGATGTACAGGTGTATGTACCTTTATAGCCCTGTGGGCTCTATGCCCTTGAAGTCTCTAGCCCTCATTCCCGGGAGAAACGCTTTATTTCTGAGGACTGTAGTCAATGGTGACGGATGGCTCCCTAGTGCATAGTTTTGCTTTACTTGGTCCCATATTTGGATGGAGTTTAGAACAGCTGGGCATGTCATTCTTAGTATAGTCCTCTGTGTTTTAGGGACCCATAGGTAGAATTGGGGTAGATCTGCCCCTGTTAGTAAGGATTCAATTACCACCCATCTTCTTCGGTCTGGGGGGTGAGTGCCAGTGTATGATCTGGGTCAGTTGGCACGCTAGGTAGTAGTGGTACAGATGGGGGAGACTCAGTCCTCCTCTGCACTTGGGCCGGTATAGTAGGCTGCGGGTCAGTCTGGGCCTTTTTTTGCCATATAAAAGTCTATTTCCTTTTGCATAGACGTCAGATCTCCTCTGGTAACTCTGTTGGGCAGGGACTGAAACATGAACAGTAGTCTCAATAGGATGCACATTTTCACAGAATGTAAGCGCCCCATCCACAAGATGGGCTTCTCTGTCCACCTCTCTAGGTCGCCTATGAGGGTGCGGAATAGTGGGGTATAATTTCTCCTATATAGGGAGGCAGGGTCTGCTCTTAAGTTAACTCCCAGGTATTTAAAATCCTAGGTCTCTATTTTGTGGTATGTCTGTCTGATGGTGGCCGTGTCCGGGACTGAAAGATGGAAGGGCATCGCCACTGACTTTAGAGAGAGATTGCTTTTACAGCCAGAGAGGTCTCAGTACTGATCTAATAGGGTTAAAAGGTTGGGCATGCTTTGTATGGGGTCTATGAGGGTCAGCAGGACATTGTCTGCGTACGCTGAGATTTTAAAGGGTTGGTATGCTATTTCTACATTCCCTTTTTTTTTTAGGTTGGAATTTAATTTCCATGTCCAGTTAGAGCTGTATTGCAGTTTCCCTCGGGTAATCGCTACATCTGCATGATCAGACCAGGTGATGCTATTAATTTCTGCGTGAATTACTTTATGCATGTCCATGTCGTTCAGGAATATGTTTCTCGAGTAAGTGTCGTGTGGGTTTGAGTAAAACGTGTAGTCTTGCATATTGGGGTGTTGCAGTCTCCAGGCATCTAAGAGGCCCATATGGGTCAAGAATTCATAAAAGGAGTTTGTCCTACCCCCCTCTGCCTTGGGATCTCAAGGTCCCTGTTTTCCTACTCCTGTCAATCGCCGGACACGGCACCACACCTACCCCCCACCAAGGTTTGTTGTGAGTGTTTCCAATGAGGTCCAGAAGGAGGCACCTGGGTCATAGAGATTAATGATGATAAGTTTTATATTATGAAGGGTTCCCATCACCATTACATATCGCTTGGCTAGTTGTGATCATGTATGGGCAGCATTTATGGGTGAGCACTGCCACCCCTGCCTTCTTCCTGGTGTGTCGCGCATCAAGTGTTATAGTGTACGTTCTGTCTCTCAGCGAGGTGGGTGCCGACCTGGGGAGGTGTGTCTCCTGGAGGAGCGCTATGTCAGCTCCCTTAGCTTTCAGTTCCCTTAGCATAAGTCTACGTTTGTTGGGGGTGTTGAGACTTTTAACATTCAGTGATATCTTAAGGGCCATGGTTGCGGAGGGTTAGTCTTCTAAGGGTCTGTTGTCGTGGGGGCATGGGTCGCATTCCCCTCTGTGAGGTAGCGCCTCTGTGGGTGTCACGGTTCACGCCGTGACATCCAGTCTGCCAGACGTGGTCGCTCCGGAAGCGCCCGATAGGGGATTTGAACTGTGGTCCTTCTGGACCGTGTCCTGCTAGTTTCCCTCTGAGCCATTTCAGGACTTTGGATAACTCCTGTTTGTTCTTGTATTGCCTGCAGCACTAGGGGTCTGGACTTCACTTAAGGCTCTGATCTGTCAGTTCATTGACTCTGGTTCTCTTGTTTGGTTCCTGTTACTCCGTACCTGCGTTCCAGTGATTCTTGTCTTTCCGGCTTCTGACCTTGGCTTTCCTCCTGGACTACTCTGACCTCTGGCTTCCCTGATTTTGGCTTCCCTTGACCACGCTTCTGCTTATCCCTGCTGTACTGAGTCTTGGAGCCTTTTCCTGGAAAGCCCCCGTGCACAGACTCACAGGCCAGGTGGCGTCTTACCTGGTCACCCTGGTCTGTGTCTACTTTGCAAGGGTGAGCGTATAACTCTGCGAGCTGGACTCCCTATCAGGTAAGACTCCGTTACAGATGAACTGACCAATGGAGTCTGCAGAGTTATACAAGTTACTCACCTCCCTGGCCGAGCAAGTCTCCAACCTGTCCCAGAATGTTACAGAATTGCAGAGACATTCATTGGCATTGAAAGGAGCAACGCTTGCAGTCCCGGAACATGTATGCCCAGAACCGTATGTCTTTATGCCTGACAGGTTCGACGGTTCCCGTTCTGCTTTTCCGATGTTCAAGACGGATTGTGAGCTACTATTTGCCCTGAAATCGAGAACCTACGCCACCGACTTTATCAAAGTACGCTCCGCTATTAACCTATGTACCGGGCGGATTAAGGCGTGGGCACACCAGAAGTTGCAGGAGAGAAGTACTGTCTTGGACTCCTGGGAGTTGTTTATGTCCGCAATGGATTCTCAGTGTTTTGCAGCAAGAAAAGCAACTTCCAAACCTATTTCTGGTCCTCGCAGAACCCGGTTGCCTAGAGAAGAGGAATTATTTTATGGATACAAAAATCCCATTTTGTTGCAGCATGAACCCACTTTCAGGGACCCGCCTTGTAACCCTGTTTACACTCGCGCTAGCAGTGAAACTCCAGTCGACATGGAGGAACCCATGGAGATTGGCTTCACCAGAACTAGATTGCCCCCAAAGGAAAAAGACCGCAGGAGAGCCCATGGTCTATGTCTATACTGTGGGAAAAGAGGGCATTTTATATCGCTCTGCCCGACTCGTCCACCTAGGCCAAGACCCCTTCGATCTGGTGCCATTTGGACTTACCCTGTCATCCCAGCAAGACAGCCTGGACACTGCCAGCCCTGTCCCCGTCCTGTGACACAAAAGGGTACCCAAACCACTACAGTTAATGTTACCAGTACCCCTGTGGAATCTCCACCTCCTGCTCCAGAAACAGTTGGACCTCTTCCTGATGACACTTCTGTTCAAGCAAGCACCATCACCACTTCCTGCCTTGCCAAAACAGTTCTGCCACCTGACTGCACCTATGCCTCAAATGGCACAGTTGTGTGCAAACAGGATTTTGAAGTCTTCGAAAAAGCTTTGAAAGCTGCAAATGCCTCCCCTATAGCACCCGAAACTGGTACCCTAAAATCCCAGGTTGTAAAAGGATACCTTAATTATAAAGACTATCTTAGCGATACTGAGACCGAAGATGAGGAATACCATTTCCAGGAAGAGCCTGTTCACGCCCGGAGGGCGTTCTTGACAGGGGGGTACTGTCACGGTTCACGCCGTGACATCCAGTCTGCCAGACGTGGTCGCTCCGGAAGCGCCCGATAGGGGATTTGAACTGTGGTCCTTCTGGACCGTGTCCTGCTAGTTTCCCTCTGAGCCATTTCAGGACTTTGGATAACTCCTGTTTGTTCTTGTATTGCCTGCAGCACTAGGGGTCTGGACTTCACTTAAGGCTCTGATCTGTCAGTTCATTGACTCTGGTTCTCTTGTTTGGTTCCTGTTACTCCGTACCTGCGTTCCAGTGATTCTTGTCTTTCCGGCTTCTGACCTTGGCTTTCCTCCTGGACTACTCTGACCTCTGGCTTCCCTGATTTTGGCTTCCCTTGACCACGCTTCTGCTTATCCCTGCTGTACTGAGTCTTGGAGCCTTTTCCTGGAAAGCCCCCGTGCACAGACTCACAGGCCAGGTGGCGTCTTACCTGGTCACCCTGGTCTGTGTCTACTTTGCAAGGGTGAGCGTATAACTCTGCGAGCTGGACTCCCTATCAGGTAAGACTCCGTTACAGTGGGAGAGTTTGTAGGGGTGAGATTTGTACCTTGTACCTCGGAATCGCCAGTTTAGCCATAAGTAAAATAGAACCATAAACTGATAACCAAAACCAAATACATCAATAAACTACATAAATGCAAAGATCGCCAGAATAAGGTGGGGGTAGGAGCCCCCCCCTACTGGTAGAGCAAGCTGTCCCCAGTTAGGAGTGGCTGACCCACACTCTAATCCACTATCTGTGTACATGCTGTGCGTTCACATCATATGTCTAGTTCTGTGGGCTCTGATTACGTTAGAGTAAGTCCGTGTGTCGGGCCTGGGTGAACCCTTACTCTCTGGTATATTTCTGGGTCTACCCTGGTAATGGAAGGGACTGGGGTGTTCACATGTGTCCTCTTTTCTGGAGGAGTTATATAAAGGGTGGACTCTGGCTGCCCTTCGTCAGAGTTGGGGTTATGTGCCTGGGCTTCTAGTTATGAGCCGGGAAGGGGGACAGTATGCATAGGGCTTAGTCGTAGAGTTGCCACTCTGTCTATTCTATTGTGCATAGGTGTCTTTTCCGTCTCTTGTCCCATGTGGGTTTCCCGTCTGGGTCTCCGTACCGTGTGAGATCCCATTACTTTGCTTGGAGCATACAGTTGGAGCGAAATAAAAGGAAGAAGTGTGAAGCCATATTGAAAACGGGGGCGGATGGGATGCCTGTAATCAGCGGGGTGGCCCATATTGTGTGGAGGTGTTTACCGGTTCGGTCAGGTGCGTGTTATTAAGGTTCGGGCTTATCGTCTCAATTTGAACTGCACTTGGGTTGGGCCTCTGTGGGGATAGGCGTGGGTGAGAGCGCGCGTATTGGGATGGAGTTACTCCTAAGGAGTGGTGTCAATACTCCCACCATTTTTCCAGTTACCCACTGTAAGTGGGCAGTGACATATTTAGGCAGGAGCGCCCTGAAGCTGGTGTTTAGTTTAGTCGTGTGCTTTAAGTTGTCGTCCTCGGAGCTGTGGTACTCTCTAACATTACTGTGTATTCGGTTCAGCTTTGTAATAACCCCCGCTTCTCTCCTGCCTCCTCCCGCTGTTTGTCTAATAAACATTTCTTCCGTAACCACATGAGCCCACATTGTCCCGTATCACACAAAAACCCCTTTATGATACACTTAGCTGAGTTTTAGCTTCGGAAGTACCAGACAGTTCGTGATGTAAGTGTTGTCCCAGGTGCACCGTTACAGACTCCGCCGGTGTCATTCAGGTGTGGTGCTGTGTTGCACCTTTTATGGTATACTAGTCTCTTGGGAGAGAGGGAAGTTCAGGGCAGGTTGGCTTGGAGAGAGTCATCTCCGCTGGTGCTTCGATGCCCAGTTTAGCAAGGAACTGGGTTGAGTCTTCTCCCGGTAGCAGGGTTGTGATTTTCCCATCTTTAAATGTTACTAGCTTAAATGGGTGTCCCCAGGTGTAGTGAATGTTCTTATGTCGCAATAGTTGCGTGATGGGTTTCCACTCCCGGTGTCTCTGCTGGGTGGATTGGGAGAGATCTTGATAAATTGGTATGGTAGCGTCTTGGTAGGTCAGTTCATGTTCTCTGCTATGTTGCAGGACTGCTTCCTTTGTGGAAAAATAGTGAAAGCACATAATGTCCCTGGGCATGCAGCCCTCTGTTCTTCGGGCATGCAGTGCGTGGTGCGCCCTATCACCCATTTGTCTTTAAGAACATCTGGTAAAAGGTGTTTGAAATAGTGATCCATCTTTTCCACCAGGGAGCCCTCATTGGGCGCTTCTGGTACGCCCTGAATCCGAAAGGTTGTTGCGCCTGGATCTATTTGCTAGATCTTCTACGAGCATCTCCAGGTCTCTCAGTTGTCTGTCCATGGAATTTGAGTGGGTCACAGTGGTGTTGTGGGCCTGCACTATGGTCTCAACCCTGTTTTCCAGGTCCGTCATGCGTAGCTCTAGGGCTTGAATTTCGGCCTTCACTTCCCGTAAGCTTCGTGCTATTTCCTCCACCAGGTATTTCCTGACTTCTTCCATCAGCTTGGTGAGTATTTGCGTTGACTCTACAGTTGTCCCTTCTTGCTGCCTATTGTGGATACTGGTGAGAGGGAGCCACGCAGGCTTAGACAGTGGCCATCTTGTGCGGCCTGGTTTGGGCGCAAGGCTGCGAAAAGGTCTGCCACTGTTAGGCTAGAATCTCGTCCTTCCCTCCTCTTCTTATACGCTGATTTTGCACCAGTGAATGAAGTAGACGTATTGCTCTTGTTAGCATCGGTTTGTGTGGTTGGTTGCTGCTGGTTTTAAAGTGGATGAGCGGGAGTACTCAGATTTTGCAGCCATGCGGGTTGGCAATCAGGCCACGCACCCAGAATTTCACTTTTTTATCTAGCTGTGCAGCCATGTTGGGCCAGGCTGTTATCTGACCAACTGCTGCTCAGCCTAACCTGCCTGTTGCAGCGATTGCACTGAGTGAAACTGCAGCAGCAATTAGTTAGGTTGAGCAGTAGTTAGTCAGATAACAGCCAGAGTGTGACCGAACACGTCTGCTCAGATAAAAATTGTAGAATTTTCTCTAAACAAACAAACCATCAATATACATCACCATGGATTGGTTAATTCCAGTAGGGCATTATTCTATCATCAGTGAAAAGGGGGGGGAGGGGGGAGAAACCCTTTAAATACAGAAATCTGAAAGTTTTTCTCTGGCAGTCGTGTGTTTTCACCTTAGCTTCCTGTCAGTCATTTCCCAAAAAATCTGTCCTTTGCACCGGGCAGTAGGCATAGGGAAATATCCAGATAAAAGGAGAAATTAAACAATGTTTCTATTCATATTTATCTTCTTCATGTGCAATGTGTGTCCTGGCCTTGCCTCGTCTGAATAGGAATATGTCATTTGCTAAATATTTGATGTCCGTTTTATAGGCGACTTTCAATGTTTTATTCAACAATGTAAAGTCCAGAGACGACGATAATCACTTGCCCATTTCATAACAGACTTCTACCTCAAATTTTATTTTTTTCATAAATCTTGAATTGTAACTGTGACTGTCACATGCATTACTAATACAACCCAGATTTGCATTCTGCTGTCACTCTGCCACTGCCACTATTACTGGCTGTCTCACGAGATCGTCAGAAGTTATGACTCACACCAAAAGAAAAAAAAAACAGAAAAGGCAGATTTTTCAGCCAAACTCCAATAAAGCTCACGGTTTTGTTTCGGTTTCATTTCCCCTGTCTCTGCTGACTGACAGTTCCAAAGGGCAGAATTAAATCAGTGATGAAGGAGGAAAAAAACCAAAAAGGTCCGATACAGAAACGAAAGATATTTATCGCGGTTTAGAATCATTTAGCAAGCAGAATGATTAAACAGCGTCTTATCTATGCAAATAAGGCCAATAAACATTCTACATGTAGGTAAACTAGTTTCATGTGATAGGGGCCAACAGAAACACAGTACGACATTAAATACAATATGGCCTAGTTAATCTGCTAACTTTGAACTTTAGGGCTGCAGACGATGCAAAGAACGTAGCAGATAAGCTGTGCTTGTCTGAAGAGGATACGTATATATTAAGATGGTAAGTGGGAGCTCAAAGCAACAAGACCACTACAAAATCGAATTCAGTGGTGTTGGTGCAACCTGAAAAATGAAAGCATTGCACTTTTACTGTGTCTGTTAGTCATTAGAGACACTCCCTCCTCGGATCACTTTAATTTTCGGAAGGTGTTTACGTTTGTCGTCATGATGCATTGGAGGGGGCTCTATCATTTCTATGGAAATAGCGTCGTTTATTATCATATTGAAAATCACCTAGTTTTACAAATTATTATTTTTTTTTTTTTTACATAAGATGCTCCTGTTCAGACAAAGCAAAGGCCAGGGAAATCAGAGTAGAAATAGCACGTAACACTTGGGGTTACGTATAAAAGTGTTGTGTTCTAAAATATGGTCTAAACACTTAAAACAGGGTTAATCACCCATGGAATGTGACTGCTAGTTCCACTGGTTTCCATAATGACTGCCCCACCTTTAGTACTTTAAGCCACATTTCAGAAAACAACATGTTTATTCATAAATATTATAAACCTGTTCGTTTCTCTTCTCTGTATGGCTCCTCTCTGCAGACTGTTAGGTGTAAAGGTCAGAGCTTATTACAGTGATTGACAGGGAGCTAAGATGGAGGCACCCAGTTGCAGAATAAAGAGGTGTGGATTTTTACATTTCATTTAATTTTTCCTCCTAAGAAATACATATGTGTTAAATACAGGCATAATCAAAATATGAAAAGTCCTGGGAAGCAACATGCCTCCTTGACATTCTCAGCCAATCCAATGCTTTCCTATGTGAAAGCATTGCGATTGACTCAGATTACTACTTCTGATGTCAGCCAAGGAGGCAGATCAGGGGCACAGCCAGAAGCAGAAAAAAAAAAAAAAAGTAAGATTTTACTATATTTAGGGGCACAAAGGGGGGCCAGATTGTGTTTGTAACACTATAGGGTCAGGAATACGTTTGTGTTATTGACCCTATAGTGTTCCTTTAAATTAAAGTTAATGCTTATACTATTGCTCTAGTTAAATTTTTATGTAACTTGCATATATTTTGTAATGGGAAAATACACTCGTTCTCTGTTTATTATTTATTATGCTTACAAATGCTTCATGGTTTAATAAATATATTAAAACATATTCCTATAGAGAAGCATCTGATAATGCTGCTCTGTGAGGGGAATCTTATTGTAGGAGTCCAGTGACTGTCGCAAATGCACAATAGGACCCTCAACGCTTCTCCATGGAGAATCATTAGAATGTATGTGGTCAGCAAGAGAAGGAAAGGCAAGCTAAACTTTATTTTATAAATGAAATCGTATCAGGAATATATTAAAATATAAAATAAATACATTAAAATATTCTAAATAATTTATTTAGAATGTTATAGGATTGTTTTAGTCGTTTAATTTTAGAAATATTACGTGATCCACTAAATTTAAAATGTAACAATGGCTAGAATTGTTACAATGAACACTTTAGTATTAGGAATATAAAGATTTAAGGTGGCCAAGAAGTTAAAGTGGCTCTGTTCTGCCGGTTCTGCTTTTAAATGAATCCTCTTTTGTCCCCCTATATCTCATTGGTTCTATTTATAGTCCATATTGTTTTTTTTTAGTTATATATATCAGAAGTAGGAGGGACTACTTAGTCTCAGGGGAACGTGATCCTTGGCAATTGGCGGAGCTTGAGTAAAGTTACATTTCTGTTGCCAAGCTAACTTACCCACAATTCATCAGACAAAAGAGTCCCACAGATGGCAAACTGCAGACATTATTGAGAGAGAACCTAGATATCACCTAGATATTGAGATCAAGAAGAAGAGATATACAAATAAAGGCATGTAGCAATGGTGGGAGTGTAATCATTAAGATACAAGGAGCAGAAGGAAAAGATAAGCTAAAAGAAATGACAGTACCGCTTTAAATAACACATTTCACTTGCATGTTTTCCTTATAGGGACCAAAACAACTTTAGCTTAATGAAGCAGTGTTGGTGTATAGATCATGCCCCTGCAGTCTCATTGCTCAATTCTCTGCCATTTAATAGTTAAATCACTTTGCTTATGCAGCACTAGTCACACCTCCCTGCATGTGACTTACACAGCCTTCCTAAAGACTTCCTGTAAAGAGTCATCTAATGTTTAATCTTCATTTATTGCACCGTCTGTTTAATGTAGCATTTATTTTCTTCTGTACTGTTAATAGCCATTTAGACCCTGTAGGAGGTCGTGTGTGATTAAAGGACAATTTACAGAGCAGAAGATAAAACTTCTAAAGCTAGTCAACATCTGATTGAAAATAAAACCAATTTTCTGCTTCTTCTTCTCGCTGTGTGAATCACAGCAAGGGGAGGTTTGGCTAGGGCTGCAAAAACAGAAACAAAAGCGATTTAACTTCTAAATGGCAGGTGATTGCGAAGTGAGACTGCAGGTGCATGATCTATACACCAAAACTACTTTATTACGCTAAAGTTGTTTTGGTGCCTATAGTATTCCTTTAAGAATTGTTTGTGGTTTTCCCAGAGTCTTTAAACTGTTGCTATGGATGAATCACATGACTGACTGTAGGAAAGTGTATATCATGGTTTTATATTGTGGTATACATGACTAAGTACACAAGGTCCATACGCCATATATTTGTTTACTAAGATAAGAAGACTAAATAAACATTCTGCTTTTATTGCACAAGAGTGGTAAAACCTGTTCCTATATTAAACAGTTACCTCTCCTGTCATCCAAAATCACATCAAGTTAATAAGGGGAAAAAAAACAAAAAAAACAATTGCAAGTCATCTAACCATAATCAGCCCTGAAATTCTAAATGAAAATGTAGAACCCAAATTTGCCAGGCTTTTTGGAGAAAGTTCTGCTTTCTAGAAATGAGGGTGGCTTTTTGCTCCTCTAGTAAATGGGAAGAGCTCATGGAATAAGTTTATGGATATATGGGGTAGAACTTAACAAGCTTCTAAGGAATGCAATCAAGGAAGTCATTTTTTTTCTAAATGTTTTAACTGCTGAACATTTGTGGGGTTATTCTCTACAGTAAGAATTGCTGAGAAATGTAATGAGTTGTAAAACTTAGGCCAAAATTTTGCATTTAACTTTGAATCCCTAGCAAGTCTCACTTTAGTTAATAAGGCTGTTGGTTTATGTACAGTAATAGCATTTAATTTAGTTAGACTGTGTGTGAGATCTACTCTGGGAGGCCGTGATCATGCTAGAGAAAGGTATTAACAGGCTTCTCTAATGCCGGTTTAGAAGATTTAAATTGCATCTGCTGAGATTGTTAGTAAATCCCATTCTGTATTAATGCCGATAAACAGTCACAAAGCCAGCAGCATTTGTAGATATTTTATTTGTCTTGTTTGTCATAGTGACTTCTTTAAAAAGTCAGACCGGTTATGCCTGCATTGGCAGGTGTGTGCTTACCCAGGAATTCCCACCTTGAGGGGTATTAAATCAAACCAAAACAAAATGTACTTACCCACTAAGGTACCCATGCTGAGCCCATCTTGTTGTAATACAGATTGGGATATCACCCAAAAAATCCAATCAGCACAAGGCACCCTATAATGTACTGGTGCCAATCTCAGGTAAAGGATAGATGTGTTTAGTAGGAATGGGGGCTGATTTCATTGATGCAATTAGAGACAGAGCTGAACATAATACCTAGAGAATATTCTATTCCTTCCCCATCCAAAGCTCCTCTACTTTGCAATACTCAGACACTCAACTAACACTATATGCATAGGAAAGATGCATAGCAATGTGTGACCTCATCAAAAATGTATTTCCATGTTGACACACCCTTAATTATTTGGGTAGCCAACAGATATCCCTCCTGCTGTTGTAGTGCTTTGCAGGCGAAATGCTAGCAAAGTATCATGGTAGATGAAGTTGCAACTTGATGGCTAACCACAAACAATTTCGGGTCATTTTGTGTACCTGAAAACAAATTAAAATAATCCAGTTTCCAACTGTCTCTTCCTTTATCCAATCACTATTCAGACAAATCAACAAGCATCATATAAGTAGTTGTAGAAACTATACTGAAATTATAACTGCTGTAACTGGCAGGGGTTCGCACATTGCCCTCTCTGGTGTCTTCAACAATCACAGCATATCTTTGGAGTCAGGTTCATCAGAATGCATGACTGGTAAAACACAGGGCAGGCATCCAATTACCGGATAACTAAACACGTCTTTAAATCACTGAGTACTCGAGGGCTGACAATCGAACTGCTTAAGCATGATAACACACAACCCCCTGGCTCTAAAACGGTTAACACAAAACTACACAAAGACAAAACAGTCTCAGTGCATTGGTTCCTATGACTTAATTTTTTTGTTGGACCTCTTATTTTTCTGCCTTTCAACATGGCTGCTTGGCTCCAAAACTTTATTGACATTCGTTTACTATTACAAATACAGAAAAGTTCCTGTTTCATACTAGATGAAGGAGTCTGGGAGTTCATTGAAGAGTTCTGCCCTGCGTAGGTGAGCATGGGGCAAACCTTTGCTAACTTAAAGCTGCAATTCCTTATATTACCGCTGTACATAGCGGAGGGCAGTTGACCTCATAGTACTGCAGAGCTGTAGGCCTTACATTTGCCCTATCTCTGTATGTTACTAACTGGTCAAGTCCTGAGAAGGTTTAATGGCCCATGGAAGCCTCAGAGTCTGGGTATTCTGGATAATTTCGGCTTTGCCACATATATGATTTCCTGCTACAAGCCAAACTATGCAGAACCTATTGTCCTATTTAGTGTCAGAATGGCCTGTGGCATAGTCCTGTGCAATGCAGAGCAGATATATCTACTACTAAAGAGGATTAACCATCCCTCTTTGGTTCTTCAGCTTTTGCAACCTGTACCTGCTCGCTCTCCCATCAATAGGCTTACCCCAACTTTAGTCCAAATACGGCAGCCAAAGCTGCAATGCACAGAAAGAAGGCTACAAGTCTATTTCTGCTCCTGATCCTCAGACAGTGAAGTCACCTCAATAGTGGTCTGTTCATCCTCTCCGTCTCCAGAGTCACAGGGCATGGCTACAATGGTACTGCCAGCTGGTGCTATCTGAGCCAGGTTTTGTATTGTTGCACCTAGGCCCTGAAGGGTGAGGAGCTGGATGGGGCTCATCATCTTTAAAACAGTGTTGCTGTCTTGCATGGCTGCAGTACTCAGGACGGCAAGGTTGGATGAGTCGGGATGAATCTCCAAAGTGCCGGGGTAGTTGCTCCCTGATGGGGTGAGGATAGTGTAACCTCCTAAGAGAGGAGAGGAAGGTGAGGTGGACTGGGAACTTGAGTTTTTGTTCAGCATGGTGGAGTTGGAAGAACTCGGGATGCTGGTGGACACAACCTTGCTGAAAGGTAGGCTGGTTAGTTGAGATAAAGTCAATCCTTGGGGAAGGGTAATCTGTGTGGGCTGCGAAACCTGTGAGCTGATGGCCGCAGGGCCGGATGTAGCTCTCGTCAATCTTGGTCGCTTGGCCGGAGGGGGAAGGCTGACTGGGGTCAGTGTCATCAAGACATTGTTAAGATGCTGTGATTTGTGTTTCAGTTCTTTGGCTCGTCTCCTGTGTTCGTCACACTGTTGCTCCAGAGCTGAAGGAAGGGAAAGTGGTAAAAAGCAAACAAAAAAAACATGTTAATTTTTTTATACTGTGGCGTGATAAGCCTGATATAGCTAAAGTACGTGACTGGATAGATCTGAACATGACATCGCATCATTTATGCCAGTTTAATTTAGAAGATGTTATTTCCCATGGGCTACTGCAAAACCAAGATAGTGTTGGCATTAAATGGATGCTCAACCTGTGACTTTCACAGTAAGAAACCAAAAAATAAATATAGAGTATTTCCTTAACTGAATACATCATTCAAATAAGGGGAGTACGTAAACTAAGGTAAGTAGGAAAACAAAGGCATTGTTCATTCTTTTTTTTTTTTCACGATTCAAGCTAAACTGAAGCAGAGCAGCAGACTCCTGATTCTCATTGACAGCCTCACACAGTGCTGTTAATGGTACAGCATCAGCAAATCATTGAGAAAGTAGGAAATATTGTGTTAGCTACACAAACCTCAAAGTTTAAAGGCAGTACACAAACTTCAATGGCTGACGTATGACCTCACCAACAGCAGGTCAGAGATGCCAATAACAGGCTTATATGTATGTTAGAATAGGCAAGGAGCCAGTCAGAGGAAAATATCAGTTTTCTTTTTTTTGAACCAGTCGGGGGGAAAAGCAAACAAACCACATTTAAGATTATGGAGTACATATAATGCAGAGGACACAGCACATGCAATTTAATTCAGCTCTTAAGGAATTGTTAACTGAAACATGTAACTGGTCTGCTCCAACTCAAACTACAAGATATGCTCTCAGCACGCTGTACGCACCTGCCAAGTCTCGCGTATACTGCTCTCTCGATCGGTCCATCTGGTTCTTGTGACTAGCCAGCACCTTCTTAATGAGGTCCAACATTCCAAAATTCTGGACAATGTTGTTGAGTAACATGGCATCTAAGCAATGGGAGCACATAGTAGATTAAGTAAAAGAGAACAAATGTGTGGGCAATGTCAAGGGTTACAGGGAATGTGCAGGGAAATCTTAACCTACAACATTTGAGCACATTTACTTGCCACAGGTAAAGGAATAAAAAAGGCCAGGCTACAGGCTGTCAGAGCACGGGATTTATTATGGGAATCAATGCCCTGATTCTACAGGATTTCAGTTGAGTTGGATCTATCACTCAAAGCCGTAAAAGACTGTATTACAAGGGTGGCCAAAAAATAAATATCACCAGGACTACAATTCCCATGAAGCCTTGCTAGCCTTCACAAGTATTCCTGATCCAAATGTAGCACTATTAAAGGATTATCCGTGTTACAGATTTGAATCCATGAGTCAAAAAGTTGGGGAAAGCTGAACGTTTACATGGACCAACAATAAAATCCAATTTAAATTACTATAGGGTTTCCTCGTGAATAAAAGTTGTCATTGAGGATAGAGTACACACGCTGGATGCGTATTGATTCAAACAGACACTTTCTCAACAGCTGGGTTAGGGCCGTTCCTTTAATACAATCACATGTGTTACTGTATTTGTGTTTATTACATAGGAAACTGTTGTGTAATATATACAGTTCTTCTTTTATTTTCAATTTAACTTGAAACACATTCTTTATCAAATTTTACTTCCTCTTAAATTATTGGTTCATATCGATAAAAGGAACGTGTGATTTTTTTTTTTGTACTTTATAAAATAAAATAAACCGTGCTCGGGTGATACACCAGATTCCTTTCTCTGATGATGTGCCTAACATCTTGATGCTCTGTATGGGGTTAATTTCCAAACATGTAAACATACCAAACCGGTAAAAGGATGTTGAAGTATGTATCATTACTTGGATCAAATGATGATCCTAATTTCTGTTTGTGGAGAGAATTATTCCTTACCCTGTAACTGGATGGGGGGAGTTTGAAGTCTCTCTTTAAGCCCCTTCATCGTTTCCAGCAGCTCTTGGTGAAACTCCTGTATGACGTCTCCCAGGAGCCCCGCGTCCCTCAGGCCTTGCCAGAAATGCAGTGTTTCATCTGAAAGGTGACAAGATGGGGGTCAGTGCACAGCATGGAACAGAGCTCAATGATAACATATAATGAGACAAGTTGTACACCTTCTAGACAAGTTATACATCTTCTGCATAGGTTGCAGTGCATGGATGTCTCCTGTCAATGTGCCCCTTTTAATTGCCACAGTGCTTTTAATTGCCACAGTGAGTGACATTAAATAAATATTTCTTTACTTCCTTCATTGCAAGTTTTTATCTCAGTCCTCCAGCTCTCCAAGAGAGTCGAGCTGCATAGAATACTGCACACAGCTTCATTTATAAAACTGTGGACAGGGAAATTACACTGACAGCAATCACAATGTTGCTGCTATCATTTTATTCAGAGAGATCACTCCTCAGACCTGATAAATGGAACTGCATATTGGGCTGACAATAACCCTTAAATCTCTGCCGATCAGGGATTCATGGGATTAGGATCACACCCAATTGGCCATAATACGGGGCTCTTAATTGGTGGAGCCTCTTCCTGGTGTTGGTGGGAACTTCTGCTGCAGCTTCCCGTGCAAGTAGAGAGCAGTATCAGTAACTTTAAAAGTGTGCATATGTTTAAATGTTACTTATTTTTATGTATTATCAATATACAAACTTGTGGATCATGTCAAGCCTGGATTGGCCCTTTAAAAATGTTGTTCAATTATACAATGGTGTCTATTGTGTTTATAGGGGAAAAATTCCATCTGCCCTCAAGGCAAGTGAATGTGGAATTGAATTTGTATGTCGACGTGGATACCCATACCTCTGTTCGGTTTTGTCCATTTCCAGCCATCAAAATCAAACCCACCCTGAAGAGACCACACTTACCTCCTATCATTCCAGTCCAGTCTCCTGAACCATCGCAGGTTTCAATAGTGATGGTTGTTGGGTTCCCATTCACGGTAAAATCTACAAAAAGGTAATAACGTGGTAGTCAGACATTTCTGGAGCAATCCTTAGTTCAGCTGCATAAACAAGTGTGAGGCAGGACCAATCTCTCAGCTTTGATATATCCAAGTTTCATATTAAGCTAGGGAACCTTGCCTTATCACTGATGGGTTTGTCAAGAAAACAAGGAATAGTGAAGAATTGTAAAATAAGGGCAAATGATTTCTTACTAATTTTGCCTGAATCGCGCAATTCCAATTTTAGTAAATAAACCCTACAGTATTTTTTTATGAAAACATCTTTTACATTTAGTTTCACTAAAAAGACTAATAAGACATGAAATGGAAATACTGTCTGTAGTTTTTTCAACCTGCATTAATAACGCCCTAGTAAACATTAGAAATAAGCAGTGTAGGGATACACATTGGAGCAAAAGCAGGTAAAATATCACTGCAGTTCAGAGTCTGCCGTTAATCATCCCTGTATTACACAAACATGTGCCACCTCTAACAATTTATCAATTTTTTGGACCCATGATGAGGCCCAGATTATTTATTGTGAACTCAGATCGTGTCGTTTTAAGGTATTTTCCTCTTTGACCATTGAATGTTTCTACATCCATATTTTGTCTGGGTCTCAGGAATTCTAAGATATAGCCAACTATACAAGGTTAAACTACAAGTTTACTAACTGGATGAATAATCTTGTTTATAACAGGACAAATGCTCTGAAAGTTTTACATGTTGAACATTTCCCTTTCATGAAAAAGTGACCAACAGGTGAACGTATTAAACATTAGTATTAGTAAAGCATTAAATAAGACATAAGCTATGCTCCTTGGGTAGGCTATTTTACAAAGGGCTACATGTCCCTATGTTCCATCTGTCTTCAACAGTCACAGTTTGGAAAGGCCTCTGCAGATATAAGCCTGCCCACCCACAGTGAAATCCTCATCCTGCCAGTACAAGTTTTGGTATGGTGTGTGGCACACACACTAATCAAGGCCCCACTTCATACTGCACATTGTATACGCCCTTGTAATTTTCAACAAAAGAGCCTGCACTGCAGCGGAGTGTATGAGCAGAAGCAACAAGCTCCATTCATGCAAAAACATAATTGGGCTACCTGGCAAGGTAAACAAAAATGTCATATTATCCATCAGTCTCCTACATGTATTTCCATGCCTGGAACAGCTGCTGGGTCTAAAGTGTACATTCCTCGATCTCCCATTGGAGACTAGGATTGGCTGTGATGTTTCAAGTCACTTCCTGGTCTAAGGAGAGCTCAACAATATTAATGTTTGCTGAAATTCGTGAGAGGAATTTCTAAATCTGTTATGCATTTTTACATTACTTACGGTCACCTGTGGCCGGAGTGATGGGAATATACTCCGTGGACACTTGACTGCAGAGTGGCACTCGACCTGCTGTTAAGTCAATCTTGGTGCTTCGGCACGTGTTCGAGCATACCTTGGCATGCTGGTAAAAATCAAGCTCTCCTGAATCCATGATTTTCCTAGTGTAGAATGGACACATTATAGAGTTATTACCCAGTAAATACCCTCCTCCAGTTAGTATTAATAAAGCAGGGCTACCCTGATAATAAACACGGCTCTTTACCTGAGCATGACTCCATTCATTCGGATCGCCCTTTTCCAGTCTTTTAGGGTGGATTTTCCAGCCAGGTGAACGAATTCCTTTGGGCTAATTAAATGGTCATTGTACTAAGAGAGAAAGAGGAAGAGTGATTGTGGGAGATATCTAAATAATGGTGCATTTTTTGCATGAACAAACTGTGCAATATAAAATAAAAAAAGTGGTTCATCAGCAAATGTATCCTGAATGAAATATTTTATTATCACACTAAGACTTTGTATAAGGTGAGGGTAACAGCAGACTCAAAGTGTAGGAGAAACATTAACACTGCATGGATTGAAAACCATATTATGGGTTAATAAGTATGTAGAGGTTTAGAAAAATACCCCTCTCTGTCTCATTAGAAATATTGCCTTTTAGATTAAAGAAGCAAGGTGAATTGTTAGTGTAGGACTCACCTAAAAGGTTTTGTCGTGACGTGGCAGGTGGGCTTACATTTAATGGCCATTGGAGTGAAACTAAAAAAAAACTCCAGTTATTTAAATATGCATAGGGATTTGGGATAGGGAGCAAGTCACTTTTTCTTTGTTTTTTATTGTATATATTGGGGCTGATGTGTACTATAGTCATTGCTGCCAGCCAGGAGTAGTGGGAGTTTAAGTGCAGGACTCAATTTTGTGTGTTAGAGTTGTAAAATTTAGGCAAAAGATGCAGATCTGAAAATGTTCTTCAACTCTGCTTTAGTCACAGCTTAGCAATTTTACCCTACGTTTTGCAATTCAGCTTTTACGCCAACACAATGCATTGTTTACTGAATAAGTCCTAAAAGCAGAATACCATCTCAATATGGGCAAAAACCCAGAGAGAGAATGTAATAATGTCATGGCTTTAAACCTAGTACACCCCCTTTATACAATTTTGTTAACGTTAAACCAAAGATATAGTTTGCTTCATTAGACACAGAGTTAAACTAGCAGGAAGTTACAGGGTCAGATGCCCGACAGTCGGGGAGAAATAACCAGGTTCACTTACAAAAGTGTTGATTTCTGTTGAAATTTGCACTTTTATAAAAAGAAAAAGTACAAAATACGGACACATTCTGCCCACATAAAGCACTTCAGTGGGGGCACTCACCTGCACGCACTTGACATTGATTCCTGGACAGACAAACTTCCTCCAGATTAAGTTGGCTTTATTCTCTCCGCAGGTGATAGGATAAGCAATTTCAGCCTCAATTGTCTCCTCTTCATCTTCATCCTCCATCTTCACTTCTCATTCAAAATGTTGGGCACAACAGGAAGTAAGAGAAAAAGAGATGGAAAACAACAAGAGGGTCAACGTTATTAGCACTTGGACTCAATGAATTCTTAATCTCATACACAAGAAGTAGAGACAGTAATAGCAGGGCAGAGAAATAAAAGAGGACTTGGGGAAATCGAGAATGAGAACGGAAGACAGAGTTGTATAATAAATGAAAGGGAGGGTTGCTGGATATATGGTGGAGAATGGGAAGCAGGGGGAATGCGGAAATAGAAAGGTTAAACGGATGGAATAGACACAAAAATAAAGAGTAAGATAGAAACACAGCAATGATGATTGAAAGAGAGTGTAGTGGGGATAGACCACAATGGGGTAAAAACAGATAAAGACTATTGGGGGGAATAAAAAGTGAAAGCTGTGAAGTTTCAAGGGAGGATTGATAGAAAGGTAAAGTGGTGGCAATAAAGAATGGGATAGAAAAGGAGGCGGTGAGGACATACAGGGCGAGGATGTAAAAGGATGCAGTGAGGACACACATAGTGAGGATATAAAAAGGATGCAGTGAGGACACACATAGTGAGGCTAAAAAAGGAGGCGGTGAGGACACAAAGTCAGGATATAAAAGGAGGCAGTGAGGACATACAGGGCGAGGATATAAAAGGAGGCGGTGAAGACATACAGGGCGAGGATATAAAAGGAGGCGGTGAGGACATACAGGGCGAGGATATAAAAGGATGCAGTGAGGACACACATAGTGAGGATATAAAAAGGATGCAGTGAGGACACACATAGTGAGGGTAAAAAAGGAGGCGGTGAGGACACACATAGTGAGTATATAAAAGGATGCAGTGAGGACACACATAGTGAGGGTAAAAAGGAGGCGGTGAGGACACACAGTGAGGATATAAAAGGAGGCGGTGAGGACATACAGGGCGAGGATATAAAAGGAGGCGGTGAGGACATACAGGGCGAGGATATAAAAGGAGGCGGTGAGGACATACAGGGCGAGGATATAAAAGGATGCAGTGAGGACATACAGGGCGAGGATATAAAAGGATGCAGTGAGGACACACATAGTGAGGGTATAAAAGGATGCAGTGAGGACACATATAGTGAGGATATAAAAGGAGGCAGTAAGGACACACAGTGAGGATATAAAAGGATGCAGTGAGGACACACATCGTGAGGATATAAAAGGAGGCAGTGAGGACACATATAGTGAGGATATAAAAGGAGGCAGTAAGGACACATATAGTGAGGATATAAAAGGAGGCAGTAAGGACACATAGTGAGGATATAAAACGAGGCAGTGAGGACACACATAGTGAGGATATAAAAGGAGGCAGTGAGGATATAAAAGGAGGCGGTGAGGACACACATAGTGAGGATATAAAAGGAGGGCGTGAAGACACACATAGTGAGGATATAAAAGGAGGGCGTGAGGACACACATAGTGAGGATATAAAAGGAGGCAGGGAGGACATACATAGTGAGGATATAAAAGGAGGGAGTGAGGGGACACATAGTGAGGATATAAAAGTAGGCAGTAAGGACACATATAGTGAGGATATAAAACGAGGCAGTGAGGATATACAGGGTGGAGACAGAAATGGATCTAGACAAGGACCCTTCCCATACCTAAAACAGCCTCTTTCAGCTCTGTGGATGAAGAAAATGACACATTCTCTGACTCGAGGGTGTCCTCTGCCAAGCTCCTGTAGAAAGCAAAGAACGAAGCATTAAAATACCCCATGATACCCAGAGATCTGTACACATAACTAGCTAAGCACTTCACAATGGCAATCATGCTAAACTGCTATAGTTCAGCTATCACACATGTCAATATTAAGTTACTAGCAGCTGTTTTTATATGTTACCAGTTTTCAAATGTACGCAAAGTTTCTATTTGAATAACTGCAGAGAGATAGCCTTGTGTCCCAAACAATGTCACTGAAAATACAAGGATCTCTGAACTGTAAGTGTATCGGTTTATGAAACATGCTGCATGAGCCATCAAGTATCCAAGGAATTTATGCATTTTTGGGTTAAATTTGGGTCAGTGGACATCCAGGTTCTAATTTGGGCACGGTATCTGGGGAGATTACTCTGCAGCTCATGACTTGGCCCAGCGGACAGCTCTGCTGACAAGGAGATAGCTCTGCTGAAGGGACAGATCAGCAGTCATGGAGAAAGTCTAGAACTCATTCTGGTGTCTCAGCTCATTAATTCACCAACTGTAGACTCTGGTGCGCAGAACTCACATTTGCTAGATCTATTCCAGGAAGAGTTAACTAAGCCTGTCAAGGTTCTGAGACTGATAAAATGAATATCACGGAGTCGGGTAATAGATAACATCATCTATGCTCTAGTATAGATACATGAACATAAATATAAACCCTCAATATACCCATTCTGGTAAAAACACAATGATATAATATATAAATCTGCACTCTTGGTAAAAAGAACTCTTCACGCATAGGGCACTTCAGCTAGCTGAAATGTTTTATGTGTGTGGGGTGATCTTTTAAGGGGGTTAAATAAAATGTTCAAACATACTAAATGAAATTTAGTATGTTTGAACAGGGTGATTTTTGCAGGGTTAGTAATCTGTTTGCACGTTCTCTCTAAGTATGTATTTAATCCATAGTGTGCAGACACCAATCAATATAAGGTTTAATATCGGTTTCACAGCTAATGCTGAACATCAGCAAATTACCAGCTGGATAGGAAACATGACCTCATAGAAGATCATCCTAGAGCTGAGCCCACATGGAAATGTCTGAAGCCTGTGTCTTGGGTCTCAATAGGAATCAAGCCCTCACAGAAACTAGTTGCCATGACAAAGCAGTGGGAGGTAGGTCTGTGCAGTCGGGTGCAGCCACAGGCATATCAGATCTCTGTAGTGAAATCCTAGCATACCACTCTCTGTCTCTGCATGCAGTGCTTCTACACATCTCTCTTTATGTGAATAGGACGGATCACGCCCCCTTTGTGTGTGACTGAGACCAAACCTGCACAGCTCTAACACCTCTGAATGTAAAATGAGATCTATTCCACACCACTAAAACCTCTGTATGTGAATGAGACCGATCCCACACAGCTAACTTCTCTATATGTGAATGAAACCGATCACACATTGTTAACACCTCTGTATGTAAATGAGACTGATCCCACTCTGCTAACTTCTCTGTATGTGAATGAAACCGATCCCACTCCGATAACACCTCTGTATGTGAATGAAACCAATCCCACACAGCTAACTTCTCTGTATGTGAATGAAACCAATCCCACACAGCTAACTTCTCTGTATGTGAATGAAACCAATCCCACACAGCTAACTTCTCTGTATGTGAATGAAACCAATCCCACACAGCTAACTTCTCTGTATGTGAATGAAACTGATCACACATTGCTAACACCTCTGTATGTGAATGAGACCGATCCCACTCCGCTAACTTCTCTGTATGTGAATGAAACCGATCCCACACCGCTAACACCTCTGTATGTAAATGAGACTGATCCCACTCCGCTAACACCTCTGTATGTGAATGAGACTGATCCCACTCCGCTAACACCTCTGTATGTGAATGAGACTGATCCCACTCCGCTAACACCTCTGTATGTGAATGAGACCGATGACACCTCTGTATGTGCATGAGACGAAATGGGCACACCTTTGTATGTGAATGAAACTGAATCAACACACCTCTGTATGTGAATGAGACCATCCTGTGTTCCTCTACCTTTATGTATTTTAATGAGACTCCCTGTACCAATTCGTGCATGCTTGAGTCCAAATAAACGGACATATCATTATTTTGGCCTTAGCAAGCCCTTAGTATCTGGACTATGGAAGCATCTGCCTATAAGTTTCTATATCTGCCAATTTCTGTATGATTGTGTCAAGGCGTAACGATCTATATAGTCCTGAAATTTGGAAGGTCATTAGTTATCCTGCAATCATTCTTGGGGTTCACATACAAACTGGTACTATAGTAAGGTTCTAGATCCACAGTTTTTTACTGGACATATTACTCCCCCTGTGCTGTAGGGAAAATGTTACATTCTGCAGGGCCGCACTTTTTATATATCACCTGTCAGCATTTGTTAGGATTGATAGCCGATAGCCTCACATATTGGCTTAAAGTGGCATTTTAACCACCATAACCACTACAGCTCATTCTAGAGTTCATGGGTTCCACCCTCTGGGTTTATATCAAACCATTTACGCAGCTGGGTAAAATAGCCGAGGAGGGAAGTGTCTCAATAAGAAAAGAGGAGCTAGTCTGTATGCCTAGTATGTAATTATTATGTATATATATGTAAACAGTTTGACATAAACAGGACTGCACCTTAAGATTGCTTGCGCCATAACCACTACAATTAGCTATAGAGATTAGGTGTCCCTTTAATGTAACAATTTGGGTTTCAAATCTCCAGAATTTGCTGTTAGACAATAATCCCCGCTGTATTATGTCTCTTTTTTGTGTTCCATGCATTATCAGGCAATGCTTCACAGCATACCTTCTCCTAAAGTGGGTCTGTCTGTCTAAGTTCATTAGCCAAGTGACACAAACACAGCAATCTTGTATAAACAATAAACATATAAATCATATAAATATACCTACCACACATTTATATATGAATTGGAATATGAAGGATGAATATCGGTCTCCAATTCAGTGTAACACCTTCCATTATCTCCATTCTCACTAAGGGTTCTTGTCGCGTGACAGAGTCTCAAAGACAAAATGGTTTCCAAATATTTTCTTATATTTCAACAACAAGGTTGGGTTGTGTTTTACTTTCCTGGTCACCTGGGTTGTGTACACAGGCGGGAGGGGTTATACATTGTCATAGGATGGGGGTAATACCTACCTGTTTGTGGTCACCAGGACAGCCTTCACCTCTTCCATGCCGCTGCCATCCATGATGTTGTCTGGCGTGGTCACAACGACCACTTCTTCCACGTGAACGCTGACATCTGGGGTAGACATGGTTGCCCAGGGTCCCACGCAGAGCTATGGTAAGGTAAAGAGAATGCACATTAAAAGCCTGGAAGGAGTTAAACAAAGACACCGATGTGGTGGCCTACATGGAAGATCTGAATTTTGGTGGTGTTTAAGACTTCTTAGAGGTCCATGGAAGTCTTAACTCATAGTTCATAGTAGTTGTTATATGGCATAATCTTCAGGGCCTTCCCATCTGGCTTTTGTCCAAGTTTTTAAAACGTTCTACAAAAGATATCCAGGTTTGAGTTATGATGAGCGGAGATATGCTTAGAGTACTGGGCTAACCACCCAAAGCCCACTTCAAAACTAGAAAAACAACTACAGTTAATATCAAACTGCTCAAAATGGTTTGGAAAAAAAGAAAATGGGGGATACCACTCACAGACTCTTTGGCCCATAACCACTACAATGAGCTGTAGTGGTTATAGTGCTTAGATTGCTCCTTTTAAAAACATATCAGAGTTCAGATTATTGGATTTCTGGGTTGTATTTTAGAGCTGCGTATGATGCTAGCTATTTTTCTAACGGTAATTGTGTTGCTCTAAGTAATCCTTGTCTTCTGCTTATCAGTGCTATCCTTGGCTACAGAGAACATTTGTGTTTCTAAACAAAAATATGTATTAATGTTAAATCATCGATGTGATCTCACATAGTTTGCAATCTTCTTTAGTTGTTGGACAAAACAGTAATCAGCATTACTTTTGGGTAAAAAAAAAAGACATTATCATTTACCCTTTAAAAGGTGTTCTATTGGATTAATGAAATTTCCAATCTATTTACCCAGTGATATTTAAAGGGGTCAGACAAAGATCCTAAAGCCCTGTGCCAAAATAAAATGTCTTGATTACACAATGAAAACATGCATGCATGTAATCATGCATTTTTTTCATTGGGGATATATCTAAAAACAGCATGCAAAGTCTGCAGGTCTCTTGTCTGCTGTCTTTAAAGCCCTCCCATTCTAACCCCGCCTAGACTTTCTGTGGCTGTCCAATCACAAACTTCCCAAAGCAGCTCAAGTCTGTGCAAGGCAGGTGCCACTGAGCTAAATGACCATGCATTAACAGGACCTGTTGTGTGATTGATAGTTTGGGAGTGTGGGGAGCATGGGTTGTAACAAGGTTAATTTATAAAAAAAATTCAATTTTTATAAATGAATAGAAATCTAAATTCTTCTCTTCAAACACTGGGTTTTTGTGTGTGTGGGGCGATCCTTTAAGGGGTTAAATAAAATGTTCAAACATACTAAATGATATTCCTATACCTAATGCATTATGTGTATTATTTTAATGTCATTTTCCTAGCCCTTTGAATTACACTTTCCAAACTACAATCCTTTACTTATGAATACAATTCCACTACCAAATTTAAAGGGACACTATAGTCACCCAGACCAGTCATAAAGACAAAGTCACACACAGACACTGTCATATACAGTCATACAGACTCATGCTGTGGTGGACCGCCTGGCACCCCAACAAGGTACCTCTATTAATGACGGCTTCCTAGTACCACGAGTACTATAAGCACCGCAACAGACACCACAAGCACCGTAGTCCCCTTAGCCGCCACAGCTTGGCTAGGGTCTCGCTGTCCCTTCCCACCCTGGACTAACACCTGGATCCAGCTCCCAGTGGGAAGACCTCTCCTCCAAGAGAGTATAGCAATTCAAAGAGCAGTATAGCAAGTGATTATAGCAGGTATAGCTTTCCCCTACAGACATTAATCGAGACTGAATGCTGGAGGTATTCTGTTTAATCCGGCCAAATGACGCACTTATATACAGAATCTGAGCACTGTGACATGCTCCCCAAACACACCCACAATGTCCTATAAAATACAAAATATTAAAAACACACATTTCCCACATGGGAACCCCCACAGTCTATACATCCCTGGATAGCCTGGATCTGAGCGCCCAACATATCCGGAAAGCGCTCATATCCCACCAACACAGTCGAAACGCCACCGGGGTAAAGTTCTGACCGGCCGCACACATGGTCCAATGCCCAAAACAGTTCTATGAATTCAGGGGTTGCAGCCGGTCCCGTTCGGGAGTTCCCTGCGTCCAAAAGAACCTATACATAATCCCTAAATATAACGTGGAACTTGTTCACCTCATTCAGACTAATGATTCCAGCGAACAGCACTCTTCCAGGATGTAAAGTACCGAAGGCAGGCGGGATGGAAGTTCAGCAGTGTTTGCAAAGGTTGAGTGTCCGATTTCAGTTCCATGAACTCGACGACCAAACACCGCTGCCTGCGTTCATGCAAACAAGATGGCCCCAGACGAACAATTAGAACACTGCGGTGGAACTCGTTACAAGGTGTCAGTTGGGCTTAACAAACTCCCTGGTGGTCTTTAGTTCGGGGGTTGGTTCGGTTCCCGAACCAATAACAAAATCCCACGAATCAAGTCTTTTCCCATGGCTTTTACAGGGCCCATAGTGTTTCGGCAGGAGGCTTGCAAGCAGGCTCCTGCAGGAGCCCGTGGCAGGTTCACGTTCGCCACACAGGCATACAGGCACAGACAGTCATACAGACACTGTGATAAACAGTCACACAGGCACATACATATAAAGACACAGTCATACACAGACATTCATACTCAGGCAAACATGCAGTCACAATTCACAAATAGAGATGTTGCTGCATGTTTACTTTTTATGTCTCTTAGTGTCCTCATCCTCATCACTGAGCAGGTCTGGTCTCCATCTATAAACCCTCCCAGCAGAGAGATCTGGCTACTTACTAAGAAGTTAGAAGTTTATCTCTCTCTGTCCATGAAGGAGGGGTGAATGCTGCAGATAGAGCTGTACAATCTGCTCTGCTTGTTAACCTGCACAGCACACTCAGAGAGCAAAGCAGCACTCCTCATCCTCACTGTCCACTCAGTGTGAGTGAGTACAGGAAGATGGGTGGAGCTACACATGATCTGAGGGTATTTCCAAGATCTGCAAGTATGTATCTCTCCTCTCAGGTAGGAGTTCCATCAGACAGAAATACCAGCCCCTGCATTGCCAGGAATTCCTGCAATACCACCACCGGCCACACAGCCTCAAATACTGGTCAGGTGCAATGCTTTCCAAGGGGTAGGGCCTAATGTGCTCACAATAGAGGGCCCCTCCACCATTTGGTAACTTCGGAGGAGGGGGAGTGGCGAGGGGGGGTATAAAGCTTTATATTCCTAGCACTATAGCATCCTTTTAATAGAATTTTTGATGACTAGCGTTTCTGTATAATTATCAGGCAAACGTCTCAAATTGAAACAATCAACGGGGCTGGTCTATTGGTTTCCATGGTAACTGCTCCAGTTTTAGACTATTGTCCCACAAAAACTCTTTATATTGCATAACCCCCACTAAATTAATCTTAACCAATATCCTGAATGTGTTGATCATTTTTTATATCTACTCTAATAAATACAAATATTTAAATAATCTATTTTGTGCTATTTTTCTATGGTCTGGCACTGAATTCATTTAGAGCACAGAACCTGTCACCTAATCAGCTCAACTTGGAAAATACTTGTTCTGATTGGCTGTTGAAAACACATTCGGGTCTGTTTTTTTATTGTTGTTTCTAGGCAGTTTGAAGGGTGATTCATGGGAAGATTTACCACATTTTTAACGTATAACAATTCCATATTACAAAGTGCCATTTTTTTTTTTCTTTCTTTCAAACTACTCTAAATTGGACGGGAAGGCGTCCACAGACATAAAACTACTACAAAGAGCTAAAGCTTCTGATTATTGTAGTGTCTCTTTAAGTATGTTAAAGTGGCTCTGTCATTTCAAACTTACCTTTCCCCTATTGTTTCCTCTTCTTTTCTGATCTATTTCTCTTTAAAACATAACAAAGTAGGGACTGCTTTGACTTGTGATTTTTAACTACACTTGGCTATCTTGATAAAAGGGTGCAGCTTAAAGGAGCACTCCACTGGCTCATACTAAAAAAAGAATAGAAAAATCACTGTTTAGTAGATATACACCCAATGAATACATGCATTTGTTTTTCATAACTTATGAACTGCAGCCTTAGCAAACCCTCCCCTTTTTCCTCCTGGAGGACCGTCAGTCTCCTCCCAGGGATAAAACCAATAAGAGGCTTCACCTTGAGATGCCTCTGACTTGGTGTCCACGTACGCGCGTGCATGTCTGGTGTGATGTCTGTAAAGGAGGCAGGCACACTGAAATAGAGCATACCTACCCTCTAACAGAAGCAGGAAGCAATCCTCCCTGGCTGTTTGATTGACAGCCAGGGGGGAGTTCCCTAGTTCATTTATAAAAGTGCCAATTTCCCGTAGAAACTGTGGTTATAAACTCACCCATAAAGCAGCTTTTGGGGTGTGGAGTGGTCTTTTAAAGCAAGCTTCACCCTTTGTTAGCTTGACAAAGGAAGTGGAGCTTGCCTGAAGCTCCACCCTTTTGTCACAATTGTCAAGGGTGGGAAAAATATATAAGACAAAGTAGTCCCTACTTTTCTTCTGTTTTAAAGAGAAATAGATCAGAAATAAGGAAAAGAAGAAGAGGAGGAGAAAACAATAGAGGAAAGGTCGGTTTGAGGTGACAGATCCACTTTAACGTGCAAGTTGTGTTTTTTTTCTTCTTTTTTGTACCTAGCATTATTTAAAAAAAAAAAATAAAAAAATTTAAATTTTGGAATATTCTGTTAAATGATTCCTCATCCTGAATCAGAAATATTTTTGTTTTGAATATATTTATTGGTGTCGCAAAAAAAAGCATGAGCAGGCATAGTACAGGGAAGTATATGTAGTGTATGATTGCCTGCACAGAGGCATATAGGTCAGAATGAACAAGAATTTAAGTACATTCAATCAAGCGTGCGGTACTATCATTTATAGTTATAGTATCATATAAGGCAGGCGACTCAATGCGATGAAAACTCCTATCTATTAACATTATGACAGCGGCCAATTGATCCCCATATGAGCATGCCACAAATTGAGTGCATAATCATCAGAGCTGATAGCCTATATATGTGCCTCAATGAGCACGGTTATTTCTATTTTTATGTTTAGATTTACACATATTGGTATCCGTCGTTTAGTGCGATTGCCTGACTATTTAGGTAAACTATACTGAATAGCCTATTCATTCTGATGTTGATGTGAAGAGTCACCTAAGTATATGTTAGTTAAGCAGTGGCGTAAAAAGCTTATTGCGTAAGCACTTAACAGTAAACTTTAGCCCCTGTAGGGGCATTTAAGCATTTCTAAGCAATACAATTTGTGCAATTTCTGCTGGTAATTAGGAAACTGAAACAGTATCTGACATAACATATGAAACATTAGCGTTGTTCTAGAGTCTAGTAGAACATTGTGTGAGATTAGCAGCACTAAAACCTGCATGCAGTAATGGTTAAAATCAGCAAGAGTATGCATGCTTCAGAAATATTTTTGCACCTTATGTGCATGGTTTCCTGTAAAGGTGAAATTTTACTTTAAAAACAGTATAAGAATTGTGCCCCCCTTAAACAATGAAAAATGACCATCTAAACATCAGAGCTAATTTACACTAGGCCTCGGTTACATGAAAAAGCTGTAGATTTGCTTGGAATATTGTGTTTGTTTGCAATTACACTTTATTGAAAGAATAACGTGTACAAATGAAAATTATAACAGAAATCTAAGTATACAGCAACTATTTCTGGATTGTGTTTGTTTTATTTATGACTAAATAATACATTTTCTGGGGGGTTTATGTAGACGTATTTCAATATTTGCAGATCACAGCTCGTGGTCTAGATAAAGTTGTATGTAACCAATATTATATAATACAGTACCCACTATTCATATGGAGCCGGGCATAGGAACATAAGTGTCATGTGAATTTTAAATGAGTCGAGAGTTCTTTTAATGAACATGAGTATGCGAACAGCATCAATGTATTCTGGAGTCGCAACCAAACAATCTCAATAGACAGATTGCATAGATTAGAAAACCTGGACCTCCAATCATATACATAACTAGGTATACATTAAATTGACTCAGCATTATCTTTATTGCATTAGAATGGTCAGAACTTTACTTCTCTATCTGCGAGCCTCTCACTCAGATTGTGAGCTCTTTGGGGCAGGAACTTATCAACTTAATGTTACATATGCACTGCTAAGGCAGACAGCTGTATGATGTCAGGGCTGCAGTCATCAGAGACCCCTTTGTATTATTCTCACAATCCTATTACTATCAGAGACCTCTCTGTATTATTCTCACGATCCTATTACTATCAGAGACCTCTCTGTATTATTCTCACAATCTTATTACTATCAGAGATTGCTCAAATTCACAAGCATGCTGCTATTAAAGACCCAGCATATTAATGCCAGAGATCTGTGCAATACGAGTATCAATACGATTATCTCCTGTATTTTCCATTCGATGCCAAGACTAACCCTATGTTGTAAAATTCTTTGAGTCCCTCTCATAGTATCCTTGGAAACCTGGGTAGTCTCTATAGGAAACATTCGTTCTACTTATCTTTAAGGTGACCACTGTATTCTTCCTGTGTGGTATTTGAAATACACATTATTCCTAGGGTGGTGTCACTATGCTGGGAGAACCTGTATTCTTTTCAGGCCCCTTGCTCCAGAAACCCATGGTAGTATTTCAGGTGTGCAGTCGCTACGAGATTCCCCTGTATAATAAACTGGAGTGTGGTTGCTATGGCATCTACCTATATAATAACCTGGAATGTGGCATCTATATAATAACCTGAAATGCAATCATTATGAAATCCCCCTTTATAGTAACCTGGAGTGTGGTCATTATGAGAAGTCGCTATGAGATAACCCTATAATAATGTGCAGCACCGTCGTTATAAGATCCTCCTATGATAATCTGGAGTGCAGGCATTATGAGATCCCCCTATAATAACCTAGAGTGCAGTCAGTATGGGATCCACCTGAACAACAACAACAACAACCTGGAATGCAGTCACTACTGAATCCCAGGTATCATAAAACGGAGTGCGGTCTCTATGGTATTCCCTGTATGATAACTAAGGGTACAGTCGCTATGAGATCTCCCTGTATAACAGAGGGTGCAGTCTTTAAGGGATCCCTGTATAAGGTCCTGGATACCGCTGCTGTAAGTCTCCTTATATAAAGTCTAGGGATGCAATAAACCTTCGCGGTATACAGTAAATGACCCCTTTAGAACGAACGTATCATAGTGTGGTAACTCTGCCTGTAAACAGTCTTAAGGTGCACTAACTCCACCTGTATATAGTGTTAGGGGTGGTAGGTCTCCCTGTAGGCAGTCTCGGGGGTGCGGTAAGTCTCCCTGTAGACAGTCTCATGGTGCGGTAAGTCTCCCTGTAGACAGTCTCAAAGTCTCCCTGTAGGCAGTCTCGGGGGTGCGGTAAGTCTCCCTGTAGACAGTCTCATGGTGCGGTAAGTCTCCCTGTAGACAGTCTCATGGTGCGGTAAGTCTCCCTGTAGACAGTCTCAAAGTCTCCCTGTAGGCAGTCTCGGGGGTGCGGTAAGTCTCCCTGTAGGCAGTCTCGGGGGTGCGGTAAGTCTCCCTGTAGGCAGTCTCGGGGGTGCGGTAAGTCTCCCTGTAGGCAGTCTCAGGGGTGCGGTAAGTCTCCCTGTATGCAGTCTCGGGGTGCGGCATTGGATATCGGGGTGCGGTAAGTCTCTATGTATGCAGTCTCTGGTTAAGTCTCTCTGTAGGCAGTCTCGGGGTGCGGTAAGTCTCCCTGTATGCAGTCTGGGTGCGGCAAGTCTCCCTGTATGCAGTCTCGGGGTGGGCAGGTATGCAGTCTCTGGTAAGTCCCCTGTACAGGCCCGGTAAGTCTCCCTGTAGGCAGTCGGGGGGGTGCGGTAAGTCTCCCTGTATGCAGTCTCGGGTGCTATTGGATATCGGGGTGCGGTAAGTCTCCCTGTATGCAGTCTCTGGTTAAGTCTCTCTGTAGGCAGTCTCGGGGGTGCGGTAAGTCTCCCTGTAGGCAGTCTCGGGGGTGCGGTAAGTCTCCCTGTAGGCAGTCTCGGGGGTGCGGTAAGTCTCCCTGTATGCAGTCCAGGGGTGTGGTAAGTCTCCCTGTAGGCAGTCCAGGGGTGTGGTAAGTCTCCCTGTATACAGTCTCTGGTTAAGTCTCCCTGTAGGCAGTCTCAGGGTGCAGTAAGTCTCCCTGTAGGCAGTCTCGGGGTGCGGTAAGTCTCCCTGTATGCAGTCTCGGGGTGCGGTAAGTCTCCCTGTATGCAGTCTCGGGGTGCGGTAAGTCTCCCTGTATGCAGTCTCGGGGTGCGGCAAGTCTCCCTGTATGCAGTCTCGGGGTGCGGCAAGTCTCCCTGTATGCAGTCTCGGGGTGCGGCATTGGTTATTGGGGTGCGGTAAGTCTCTATGTATGCAGTCTCTGGTTAAGTCTCCCTGTACACAGTCTCTAGGTGCACCGTATTAGATATCAGGGTGCGGTTTCAGATATCGGGGGAACTGGTTATTGGGGTGCTCGGTCCCCCTGGTGCGGTATTAGATATGGGGTACAGGTTATCGCGGGGCTCGGTCACCCTGTGTGGTATTAGCTATCAGGGTGCACTGCCCCTCCTCCCCCCGGTGCGGTATCAAGTATCGGGGTGCGGTATCGGAAATCGTTGTGCACTGCCCCCTCCCCCCTTGGTGCGGTATCGGATATCGATATCAGGTATCGGGGTGCCGGTTATTGCCCCCCCCGGTACGGTATTTGATATCGGGGTGCGGGTTATTGCCCCCCCCCGGTGTGGTATCAGGTATCGGGGTGCGGTATTTGGTATCGGGGTGCGGTATCAGGTATCGGGGTGCGGGTTATTGCCCCGGTGCGGTATCAGGTATCGGGGTGCGGTATCGGATATCGGGGTGCACTGCCCCCTCCCCCCTGGTGCGGTATCAGGGTGCAGTATCGGTATCAGGTATCGGGGTGCCGGTTATTGCCCCCCCCCGGTGCGGTATTTGGTATCGGGGTGCGGTATCAGGTATCGGGGTGCAGTATCGGTATCAGGTATCGGGGTGCGGGTTACTGCCCCATCCCCCCCCCCCAGGTGCGGTTGCCATGGCAGCGCTGGGTACACGGCTGGTTACATAGATGCGGCCTGGCTGCCTGGCGCTCTCCCCCTCCCCCCGGGCCGCCGTCACGTACTGACGCTCCGCAGGGACCCGCCGGCCGGACGCCGGTGCGTGATGAGAGAGGAGGGCGGGGACGGGGAGGCTGGCGCTGGGGGCACTCACCTGGCTACAAGGCCGCCGGCTGCGGGCTCCCGGGGCACTTCCCGGCCGGGGATCGGGTGGTATCGGTAGAAGGAGCAGGCCGCGCGCGTTCCCGCGATCTCACAGGGAGGGGGAAGCGCGCCCACGTGATCGGTAGTGGAGGGGGATCTGGGCCCGAGTCGTGCTGGGGCGCATGCGCTGTAATGAAACGCAATGCCCATGCCGGCCACCGGGTGTCGCTGTGGTGGTGCAGGTGCTGCAGATTATACAGCTCTGTGCAGATTGTTCAGAACTACAATTCCCGTGATGCTCAGCGCGCCTTAAAGGGACACTATAGTCACCAGAACAATTACAGCTTAATGCAGTTGTTCTGGTGTCTACTGTCTGTCCATGCAAGCTTTGTGATGTAAACACTGCCTTTTATTGCTGGCTATGTGCTCTCACTCAGACAGCCACTAGAGGAGCTTCCTGGGTCAGTGCTCAACGACTCCACACTCTGCATGCGCACATGTGCAATAGCCTCCATGGGAAAGCATTGGAGTGGCTGTGATGATCAATTCTGATGATCTCAGCAAAGGAGGCGGAGCGGTGCAGAGCCAGCCACGATGGACCAGCACGGAGTTGGAATAAAAGCACATTTCAGTCCCTTTTAAGGTGGGCAAGCCACCTACAGTGTGTTTTAAACACTGTAGTGTCAGGAATACACATTTGTATGTTGCCAAATATTTCTATTCCTGACACTATAGTGTTCCTTTAAAGGACAACTGCCACCCCTTAACTATTGTTTTTGTTAGATTTAGAAAGGAGATTTAAATTTTGTAAATGTAAAAAAAAAAAAAAAATGATTAAAACGTAACCCTACCTTTAAAATATGACAGGATCCTTAAAGGACCACTCTAGGCACCCAGACCACTTCAGCTTAATGAAGTGGTCTGGGTGCCAGGTCCAGCTAGGGTTAACCCATTTTTTCATAAACATAGCAGTTTCAGAGAAACTGCTATGTTTATGAATGGGTTAAGCCTTCCCCTATTTCCTCTAGTGGCTGTCTCATTGACAGCCACTAGAGGCGCTTGCGTGCTTCTCACTGTGATTTTCACAGTGAGAGCACGCAAGCGTCCATAGGAAAGCATTGTAAATGCTTTCCTATGCGACGCACTGAATGCGCGCGCAGCTAGCCCAGGAGGAGGAACGGAGGAGGAGAGCTCTCCGCCCAGCGCTGGAAAAAAGTAAGTTTTTACCCCTTTCCCCCTTCCAGAGCCGGGCGGGAGGGGGTCCCTGAGGGTGGGGGCACCCTCAGGGCACTATAGTGCCAGGAAAACGAGTATGTTTTCCTGGCACTATAGTGGTCCTTTAAGCCGTATACATGCACCTTGGGTCAGACCGTGTTTGAAAGCCGACAGTCTCTATGGTCTTCCTTGCTTCGATGCCGGGAGTGAAGCTGGGAAGAGTAAAGAGACTGTCCGACCCAAGGTGCATGTATATGCCTGTTCTGTCATATACTAAAGAGATCATTCATTACTATGAAGGCTTGAACTTTAAATCTAATTAACCAATATAATTGTCACCTTGTCCCTTATACTATTAAAGCAAGCAAATTACCACACCTGTTTGCTTCTGTTTAAGTACTTTGGCAGTTATTGTTGGCATTTTCTGAAATTAAAGAGGTGTTTTAAGGAATTTTCTTCTCCGGTTGTGATGGCGGCATTGCTGTGCTTTATGGTATTGTGCCTCTGGTTTGTATATATTGGTTTAGGTATTACGCCTCTCATTTGTATATATTGTGTGATCATGGCTGGCCAAGCATCATGGGAATTGTAGTTAAATGAACAGTGATTTTTAGGTTCTGGTTTCTTCTCCACATGTGTGTTTACCTTACCCTCTGCTAGTAGCTAACCTTTTTTACCAGATGCTTGTGAATTCTGGCTGAGCGTCATGGGAAATATCGCTTACTAACATTATTGGTGTGCAGAGTCCCCAGAAATGCAAACCAGACTCAAAGGGGTCGTGGTGGTGGTGGGTACTAAAGATTTTATTAATGGCACAGAGGCGAGGATTATGCTGCACTCTTTTTTTATTTCCCTCTGTAGCAAAGAAAAAGAACATTAAATCAGTATAAAAGAAATCAGTAAATAACATGAGAGGTATTTCTTCCTAGCAACAGGAACAGCCAATCAGCATCCTCTTCTTAGCATACTAGGCGGTGTCCAGTGTAGTACTTCCTCTTTCTTTGCTGCTCCCTCAGTTAAGTGACACTGGGTCCCATGGTTCTTAACTGTGGGATCTTTTATTTTATTAATCTCATTACTGTGGTTAATATATTATTATTATAAATTTTCCATTTTAAAGGACCACTAAAGTGCCAGGAAAACAAACTTGTTTTCCTGGCTCTGTAGGGTCTTTGGGTCCCCTTCCCGCTGGGCTGAAGGGGTTAAACTCTTACCTTTCTCCAGCACCGGGGACTCTCCTCCCTCTTCCGGCGTCATCCGCTGAATGCGCATGCCCGGCAAGAGCCGCGCACGCATTCAGTCAATCCATAGGAAAGCATTTAACAATGCTTTCCTATGGACGTCTAGCGTCTTCTCACTGATTTTCGCCGTGAGAATCGCAGAAGCGCTTCTAGTGGCTGTCAGTGAGACAACCACTAGAGGCTGGATTAACCCTTAGTGAAACATAGCAGGCAGGGTTAACGCTAGATGGACCTGGCACCCAGACCACTTCATTAAGCTGAAGTGGTCTGGGTGCCTACAGTGGTCCTTTAATTATAATATTTTCATATTTATAAGTATAATTGAGTTACTTCATTTTAACTTAATTTGATTTATTTACTTCATTTGCTTCAGTTATATGCTTTATTGTATATCCTTTGATAAAGAGAGAGCTCTTCTGGCGGCCGCAGGGGGAGCTGGCTGTTCTGCCTCTGCTCCCCCTCCCCAGCGCGCCGCTTAATGAGACCGGGGCCGGGATATGACGTCATATTCCGGCCCCGGTCTCTTTCTAGCGCGCGAGGGCGGGGGAGCAGAGGCAGAACAGCCAGCTCCCCCTGCAGCCGCCAGAAGAGCTCTCTCTGCGGCCGCAGGGGAGCCAGCTGCCTGCCCGGCCCCAGGTGCCGACGGCCCACCGGGAAATTTCCCGGTATCCCGGTGGGCCAGTCCGGCCCTGGTTGTAGTGGCCGCCGGGCAGCTTCTGCGTTTTCCTATTACAATTGCTATTTTTACACTATTGTGAGTACTTTCATTTCTTTATCCTGTTTACTTATTTATTTATTTTTTACTTGAGGGTTACTCAACCCTTTCCTTTTGGTATTATTTTACTTTATTCATCCCTTAGGTGTGTCTGTATATTTACGATGCAGCCTGACAGGACCTTTCTGTGCCTTTTGGGTCTACAGCAAGCATGCAGATCACTTTAGATATCTCTGGAGATGAGGCTGATTTTTCTGCTGATTTTACTGCTTCTGCTGACATGCAGGCTTTAATTAAAACTTCCATGGCAAAAACAATGACATTGGCCCTAGTGTCAGTGATGGGGGTTATGTCTGATTCACTTTCACAGATATTTGCCCAGACCCTGTTACAGTCACAGAGATCGGCTTAGCCGACTACTCGGGGCAGTACCTGTACTCACACCAGCTCTGCTTCATATAAGGCTAAGCACTCTTCCAAGACAATAGAGATGGACAGTATCATACCTATCACAGATGGCGCGATTAATTTACCACCGTGCAAAATTACCACTATTCGACTAGACTTTGGAAAAGGGCAAAAGCCCAACTGAACTCTGAATCTGAACTCAGTGATATTGAGGAGGAGCTCCCGGAGTCCTATATGGAGGATTCAGAGGCTCTTTCTGATCCTGATTATGAAATTACTGATGAAGAGGATTCGGGATACACGTCCTATTAAACCTACCAAGATTGAGGTAGATCATGCTGCCTCAGGGAACACCAATAGGATCTTGGACATCAATGTGAAACCCTATTTGAACCTGACGATCTATGTCACCCAGTGGTCTCCTCAGACCACGTAGCCAAATATATTACATCCAGAGTACACAAGTCTTTTAAGAAAGGCAAAGTGAAATAAATTGCGGGCTGAATGCCCACGCCGAACAGTCCCTGATGATGCATGTAAAACGCTATTAGTTGATCCTAACATCATTCAATTCCTAAATAAGACAGGATGGAAGCCCACTAAAGGCTTAGATTTTCATTGCAAAACTGTCACTATAAAATCCTGGACATCTTGGGCCCAGCAACCAAGATCTTTTGAAGCAGTAGAGGATGATCTAGAATTAGATCACACCATCTTAAGTGGTTAGATCCTGAGAGTGTTTTACTTTGGCAACGCAAACAATGCGGTTGCCACAGAACGCCGCAAATCGATCTTGCTCAAGATTGAGCCCAAAAGTGTAACTATGGCTCTCAACGAGCCAGATAACACAGGCAAAAGGTTTTCTCTTTGGGGACAACTTTGTAAAAGAATTGGGCTCCTTTGTCCGGCTGAATAAACAGTTCTTTTAGACAGAACCAAGGCTCTTATACTGGCCAAGCCGATTTCTTTGAACAATGCACTATACTAACCTTCTTCCCACGATGTGGTCGACCCTGGGTTGCTAGTGGCCTAAGAGGTGCTCCTTCAGGATGAAGACCTTATGGTAAGTCTTCACAATTTCCATTCTTCCTTACTGATAGTGGGACAGGCTTACACATTTTGCCCATTTATGGTCCCTCATTTCATCAGATGCTTAAGTTCTTCACACTGTGAAAGAGTATTGCATAGACTTCCTTTCTCAACTCTCAAACAACTGTTGAGATTGTTAAGCCTTCTAGCGGCATCTATACAGACCATTTTCTAGGTCTTCTTGGCTATCGAGCCCTACAACGATTACAAACTTCATCCTAACGGCAGAGCATCGTACACAGATATGGTAACTCTGGACTCTGAAGCGAAGGATGAACTCCAGTGGTGGCTTCTTCACATGCAAGCTTGGAATGAACGTACCATATTCTGTACAGCTCCAAATTTGATAATCAAATCCGACACAAGTTTGCACGGTTGGGGCGCTCAGTGCGAAAATACTTGCACCAAGGGCAGATGATCAGACCTGGAATCGACACTCCACATCAATTGTTTGGAACTTCTGTCCGGTTCCTTTACAGTCCGCAGTTCCTCCCCAACTCAAGCCCAATGTGCTATCCTTCTGAAGATGGACAACGTGTCAGCTGTCCGCTACATCAATCACCTGGAGGCACAAAATACAAAATTCTGACCTACATGGCTCGAGAATATATTCAAGGTCTCTCCAACACTACGGCGGACTGGTATTCACACTGGCACTTGGATTCCATTCCATCTTTTTTCTTGCAAGAGGTTTTCTGACATACGAGCTCTTGAGTTGGTTGCTCGTTCCTTGACTCCAGAAGGTGTCCTCTTTGACATTTCTCAGAGGACAAAACCCTCCTCTAAAATCATTTTATACTCAGCTTTTCCTGATAGATCTCTCCTTTGCCCTGTTGCATACTTATGGGAGCATGAACTACGTTACAGAATCCTTTGCAACCGGAACTCTTCATCTCTTTCCAAAAGTCGTGTCTTCCGGGGTCTACTCTAGCATGGTGGGTCAAATACGATGCTCTGCCGTTAGGATGAAGTTTGTAATCGTTGTAGGGCTCGATAGCCAAGAAGACCTAGAAAATGGATAGATGCCGCTAGAAGGCCTAACAATCTCGACAGTTGTTTGAGAGTTGAGAAAGGAAGTCTATGCAATACTCTTTCACAGTGTGAAGAACTTAAGCATCTGATGAAATGAGGGACCATACATGGGCAAAATGTGTAAGCCTGTCCCCACTATCAGTAAGGAAGAATGGAAATTGTGAAGACTTACCATAAGGTCTTCATCCTGAAGGAGCACCTCTTAGGCCACTAGCAACCCAGGGTCGACCACATCGTGGGAAGAAGGTATAGTGCATTGTTCAAAGAAGGTATTGATACCTATGTGTTTGAGCCTCATTAGGTTCGTGGGGCAATGGCTTCTAAGGCTTCCTCGATTGGTTGTCGCTTGGAGGATAAGCGGCTGGTCTTCGGAGCCTACGTTCCATGATTTCTACTTTAGACCTATTCAACAATTCACAGGAGACATAATTTCACAGCTTTGAACTAGTATAATAGGAGCCTCCGTGTCTTAATAAAATTTACAGATTTTACTATTAACATGACGTAAAGTCATGATTTTATTAATGACACGGAGGCGAGTATTATCCCTCCCTCCCATCCCTGGAGGTTTGGTCTTCTCTGGGTAAGCTGACTTCACGATAAGTCTTTTTTTTTATAAATTCTTTATTTTTCAAGTTTAGGTGAGGTATAGGGTACAGAATAAAGGTAGGGGTAGGGTAGTAGTGATATCCAATATTTTGCAGTTTCATTGCATTTCATTGGTATCGTTATGGTTTATTGCGAGACCTCATGTCAGTATTCTGGGTTGAGTGGTTCGGTTTTTGTATGTCTCAGGTAGAGGATGTCACTTGGTCATGGGTCTTGTCGTCCTTGCCTCTGGGTGCGTGTTTGGTTCTTCTAGTGTTATGTTCGTCAGGTTTGTATCTCCTTCGGTTTTATGTGGGTCTGGGGTTTGGTCTGGTGTGTTTGTTTTGTGTGTAGGTGTGGTCAGTGGGGGAATTTGGTGGTCTCAGCCTATGGGTGGTCATCTTCTTTGAGCTGTTGATGTGGGTGTTTTCCGGTGTGGTGGAGTTTGATTCTACTTCAAGTACCTGAGGTTGTTTTCTCATGTATATCTCTGGTGCTGGTGATCGTGTTGTACGAGGTGTGGTGTTTTATCTTTTTGTACAATAAGTCTTTTTTGATTACTGGGTTTTATCCTTGTTAATGACTGTCAAGAGCTTAAGGTTTGACTAAACTGAATTTCATGTTATGTATATATATATCTGATATTCCAATATTCCATGTAATGCGATTTTATGCATAAATCCAGTTTTCTACTTGGATATTACGATATTCTCCTTTCTCTTCCAGCCTAACTGCGAGATCCTGGTTAAGGCTCGCATGCCCTCTTCTTGGAGCCCCACTTTTCATTTGGATTTGTTGTCCTTGTTCGAGATCGCAAGAAAGAGGAAGTAGTATACTGAACACTGCCTATTATGCCATAAAGAGGATGCTGATTGGCTGTTCCTGTTGCTAGGAAGATATACCTCTCATGTTATTTACTGGTTTCTTTTATACTGATTTAATGTTCTTTTTCTTTGCTGCTGAGGGAAATAAAGAAAGAGTGCAGCATAATACTCGCCTCCATGTCAGTAATAAAATCATGATTTTATGTCATGTTAATAGTAAAATCTGTAAATTCTAAATTGGGACTTTCTTGCCAAACACAGGACAATTGGGAGGTGGTTTGGGTACAGTGCCCTTGTAGCCATCACATTGCGGTGTTTCCATTAGTTAACCTGTAGTTACTGTCTTCTAGAGAGCTACTAGAGGCGCTTCCACCATGAGAACCGAGTCAAACTCAGTTTTTAAAGAAATGCTCCTAGAACAGTGGGGCGATTTCATGCGCATGCGCACCAGCCTCCCAATTATTCCTTATGGAACAACCTCAGCCAAGGAGGTAGTTTCAGCCCTCTGTTCTCAATTACTACTGCTCTAAATCAGTAACCTTTCCACCAAATGTAATATTCACTATTCAATACTACTCCTTGATCTCTGATGCTTTTGACTCTGTGGACCACCATCTTCTCCTCATCTTCTGCATCCCTGGTCTTCATGACTCCTCTTCACTATATCTTTCTGTTGGCATTCTTCAATGCTCTGTTCTGTTTACTTCTGTTCTTACTTTACACTGCTTCATTGGGTAATTTGATTTGAAACTCTCTTTCACTCCCCACACCCAGTCATTCTTCACCTTAAAAATGTAGCTTATATCCAACCATTCCTAATACATCCAAAATGCCTGCATGTTGGTTTATCATCTCCCATCTTATATTTCCCTATTATAGGGAAGAAATAGAAGCTTCTAATTCCTTGTCATAGGTATCATAGAAGAGGAATGAAATCTTATAATTCCTTGCTTTAGGAGAGAAAACGATATGTTTTAATGACCCCAAATAAATGTGGTATTCATATTTTTGCTAAGTGCTTTTAAGTGAAGGTATAAACAAGTGTCTCTGTCATCATAAATGGTGTATGCTTATAAGACAGATAACTGTCTATACTTTGTGCTGAAAATTTTCAAGCTGATTTAAAAAAAAAAAAAAAAAATATATATATATATATATATATATATATATATATATATATATATAAAAATAAAAAAATCTAATATTTCCCACTAAGTCTGGACATGTTAGGCACAGAGCATCTTCTGAGTTCAAATAATCATATCCTGAACTGTGGGAAGCTGGGAGCTTTTTATTTATTTATTTATTTTAAAGCTCTACCTGTCACTGAGGATTTAAAGCAATATGATGCAATTTCAAGATGGTGGCCTCCACGACGAAACGGTAACAAGTTCTGCTAAACTTACACTAGCTTATTTAGATTAAAATAATATTAATCTGTTTGCATTATTGTTTTAAACTCATTTGTGGGAAGAAATTGTCGGGTTAAGTGTGGCACTTTAAATGAAAAGGGGAAACACTTTTGGAATACGTCTCTACCAATTATTCATCTCCTTCTGGCACACACAATGGCAGGATTCTGGAATTCTGTTATTTTCCCATTCTGCTGCTTTTTCCTAAAATTTGAAATTCCCTGTACGTGTCCTCACACAACCGAGTCTAGTGAATAACCCTGTATTATTTACAGCTCACTTAGTGCTGCCCTCTAGTGATCAAAGTCTAATTCTGTTGGAGTAGAATTGGAATTTCATTGCCTTTGTGCCTAAATGTAGATTCACTCACTAGTTTAAATGTAAGGTTTTTATTCACTAGAAAAGTAATTTTAAGGGCAGTGCAAATTTTTGGATCCATCCCTCCCTGGTTTCTAACTTGTTCGGTTTGACTCCTAAACTCTGCATCCATGTATCGATCTGTGATTATTTTATGATCCTCATCTATATAAATAGTCACAATAATTATTTTAGAGGAACAATCCTCCTTTACTAAACAGAGCCTTGCTTAAAAGGAAAGTCGTCAAGTCACACAGATTTAGCTTCCTGAACGCTGTAATTTCAGTGATCCCAAGTTGGAAGCATGCATATAGCTGATCAAATATCACACTGTTTTGTTCATTCTTCGGAACCAATTTGAATCCAGATGTTTGGATTGTTAGGGCTAGAGAGTGGAAGTAATACCATAGGAGCTAAGAGTTTTCCTTTAACACAGGCTGTTTATTTTAAACATTTCTGAATTATCTATGACCTCCTGACCCTAAAATACTTAATTTCCTTATCCTATCACCCCATATACGAAACTCTTTTCCCTAAACCTAAAGTCTCAAATGCTTACCTTATAGCTAACCTCTAATTTTAAAATCCTTAACTCGCAAACCCTAAAAATCACCAAGTTGGTTTGTTTATTTATTGTAAAATGTTGCTCTGTAAGTGACCCTTTTGGTTGTAATCTCTGGATTTCTTGTACCAGATGTCAATATATGTATTTTATCTATGCAGGTTTGTCCCCCCAAACTTACATAATTGTGCAATGAGACACATATCACACCATGCCTGTAGGAATGACTCGAGATAATGCACTTTAATGAGAAGCTATGAACCATACCAGACAACAGGATTTAGTACAGGAAGATACAGAGAGCATTCAGGGGTCTGATAGCAATACAAATTACACTGACCCAATATTTAAAACATTAAAAGGAGGAAAGGACAATAATACCTTCATTGTGCCCACGTACTTTCAGATAATTAAAACATCCAACCTTAAATGGTTAATGGTTACACCAACAATCTGGGTTACTGGCTTGAAATTTCTGCCACTTGCTAGCTTTCCTTAAAGCTTGACATCCCCACCAACCTGTCCAGCTGGGAATGAGGGAAAGGCCTATTTTCATGCTTTCATTACAAATGTGTACCATGATAAGTAGAAGGAAACAAAACAGCAAAAGACTGAACCCCTCTACCCCCTCCCGTGTAGCAATATGTTTGACATATCAATATCTTGTTGACATTTTTTAGGGGGGTAACAAATTCAGGCTCTTCTCTAGCTTCTAAAGGTTCTCAGTAGTGATTAGGCAAGAAACAGTAAGACCATTTAACAAATATTATTCCTGTTCCAAATGCCCAGATCCACCACTCTCACGTACTTACATTTCCTATATGTTTTTGACTTTCAGTCTTTCTTCTGGATCTTGTAGTCTGTCCAAATACTTTTGAAACCTTCCAAATGATCGTGACCCAGATTTCTTTATGTGTAAGCTATATGTGTGCCTGTGTATGCCCAGAAAGTCGAACTGGTGTCAATCACTGTTCATCACCAACAGTTATTCTAACAGTAAAATTGAGCCAAACCTGACATACTACAAAGTCTCTTCGAGGTATATCTTCATTCTGACAAGAGACTCAAGACCCCAAGATTGGTATGATACTTAGAGAAATGTATTGGATAATAGTAAATGCTAGAACCATAAGAGACAATAGAAGACTAAATTTAGAGATAGATACTGGAGAACTAAACTATACATCCAATTAACAGGCCTCTGTAGTCACTCCTGAGAAACATTGTAGAGACAGTTAGGAAGTCTATAGTCAAGCAAGTCCACCACTAGTGCTATGTTTCATAAACTGCTGCCTTCAAGCTACCTCCAGAAGAAATCAAACTTGGCCTCCAAGCAACCTCCCACCTTAGGCTTCCAAACACGAGGGACCTCTATAATATTCTGTATCAACATACACTATTTATCATTTCAAACACATCAAAGTAAAGGCTTGATGGACCATACACATCACATGAAGAGAGAATGATCTGATATAATGAAGAAACAATATTTTATCTAGAGATATAATTCTGTTTTCTTTCTCTCATTTATTATTTTTTTCTCTTTGATACATATAAGCCTAATGAGTCTACTCAAGCACACTCTTGTGAGTGTGACCCACAGAGCATCATTGTCACCGCAAACATTTTGCACCAATCAATAGACAATCCAAATCTCAATCTCTCTATATATAGTGCCAGCAGCCTACACCAGTAGCCAGACTTTAAAAGTTACTTGCCACTGCAAGCCTGGGTGGTCCATATTACACTCACCAGGTGTGCATTTCTACTTGCCGGGCATGAGTCTCACATGAGCCTGGTTAGACAATTTCTTGGTACAATTCATTGGTAAAAAAAACTTAAACTTTAAAAGGACTTGCATATCCTTGACATCTCCCTAGTATGGAAGCAATTCATAAGATAGATTTGTAAAGGCCAAATTTAATTTCTCATCTTAATCGCAGAGTTAAATCTGAGAAATGTTATTTCCCCTGTTTTATTTTACCTTCATTTTTCTCCCCAATCCATCTGACATCCTTCCGTTTTAATGTAGCCATTAAATTATGTTTTCCCTTTTTTTTTTGTTTTTTTTTTCATCGAATACTCAAGAGTTTTATCCTTACATAACCAAAACTAAAGATATATTACCACCAAAATAACCAGATTCAATTTTTGTTTGAAATACAACACAAGCTAAAAGAAATTGCACGCTGTTGCATTGTTTCATTATAAAATATGCTAAACTAATCCATAGGACATTAAACAGACCGAATTGATCTCACTAAGGTCTTCAGAGGCGTCCACCTGCCAATCTTTACTGATCCATAACTTCCTTAGTGCAAAATATCTATTTCTTTTTTCCAACGAGCGACAAGGGACTCACAGGGTCATCTGGATTTATATGGTTTTTCATAATAAAATATGGAAGGGGCTCACTTCTCTTGAAGATATTTTTTTCTAGGCGTGCGATACATATATAATATCCTACGGATTTTAAACAACCCCCCAGGTTGGTTATGTCATGAAGGTGAGATTAAAGGAGCCATGGGGGAAAGACAAAGGTTTGGTGACATGGAGTGAATGATGAATGAACTTTAAATAAAATAATTTGCTGATTTAGGGAATTGACGTGGAAGCGTGTGTGATGTTGGCTTTTATCCAGACATCTCTTCTCTCTGCTCTTTGTTCCTGCGAACTTCCGCTGCGTGAAGTTCCTGTAAATATAGCAATAGGTTATCAGATAGACTGATAGCAATAACAATGGACATATGGAATGAAAATATCTTAAGATTAGAAAGCTCACAAAACTCAAGTCAGTCTTCACAAATGTTTTCCTTGAGGCTAGGGCAATTTTAACTGTTAAAGGATTAATCTATATACCATGACCACTTCTGCTTTTACAGTCAGTCATGTTTGTAGAAATCTGTATGTGCACTGTTTCTGCTTGAAATGCAGCACACAAAAAGATTTTTGCAGTTTTGTCCTGGTGGCTAGTTGCACCCCTGGCACACATGGCTTAGGCAGCCCAGTATTCTGTCATCAGAGCTCACCTGTAAGGGGACGTCTCGATCTCCCCTCTGTTGCTGCTGTGATAACTCCCAGCCGTTTCCTCCTCCCTCCATTTTTAAAAAATGCTCCGTTTTGTTTTTTTATTCCCTCCCTCCTTTGTCCATCCTCACCCGACTCCATACCTCCCTCCCCTTCCTTGACTCACATCTATGAGAAGCATTGGACTGGATCTCATAAGGGAGGCAGAAACGTCAGACAGGGTGTGGAAAGCTTCACCCGATGCTGGATTCCAGGTAAGTATATTCTTATTTTACATGTTAATATATTACTAATGCCCAATATGCATTGTAAATTTAAAAATAAATTTATTTAAAAAGTATTGCAAGTAGCCCTTTAAGAAACAACATAATTCGATCTGCTGTTGTGCTCTAGATCTCATAGGCCACTCTGGCAGTTGAAGAGTTAAAGAACTGTTCTCTAATCCCCATGATACACTATTCAAGTTAACTTAGGTGTTTAGGAGACACCGATTGGTTCTAAAGTGTAGTTTTGGATATTTCTGTGTAGATTCAGCCAGAGTGAGGGTCTTACATGTGTGTGAGACAAGAAGGACCTTTTTTAGATCCCATTTTCCATATTTTCCCATTGTTTTTATAAAATATATTACATGATATGAAATAGGTGGTACTGATGCCTTGTGCCCAGTTGCCTTGTATGGAATTTAGCCCAGGAAGAGAACAGTTACCTTCTCACGGAGACGCTCCCTCAATGCGGCCAGGTGTGCATCACGAATCTCCCTGCTCAACTCCATTTTGTAGTTTAGTTTTTCCTCCGCCATCCGGCTGAAGTTATTGTTGTCTTCTATCGCTTTGTGTAGGACGTCCCTCTCGTGCTCTCGCTTCTCGGCCAACTGTTTCAGCACTTGCGCCTCCTGGGACTGGAAAGTATAATATAAATATTTAGGTTCTATAGCCTACATGTGGGAACTTTTATTTATTTCTTAAAAAATTAATCATGAATATACTACATTAGCAAATATTAGTGCCTTAATAAACACAGTTTTCACAGTTATCCCCACATGTACGATTAATTTACTGTTAACCACAGCTATGTTTCCTGAAAATGAAATAAAATTTAAGGAACACAAACGTGTTCCTAACGCTATAGTGTCTTATTCACTATTCACACATTTTCTTACCTTTCTTCCCTCGCCATGCTGTTCTATCTCTTCTCGCCTCCTTGGCTGAGATCGATCTTGATGATCTCAGCCAATCCAATGCTTCCCCATAGAGAAGCACTGAAAGGCTAGTGTACATGTGCAGCAATTCGCTGCATGGCACCAATCAGCATCTGCTCATTGTGATGCATTGATTCAGTGCATCTCTATGGAAAGCGTTTAGCATCTTCATGCAGGTCATTGCCAAGATTTCAGGACTTCTCCATGAAGTCCCTCCAGTGGCTGTCCAAGTGACAGCCACTAAAGGTGGACTTAGGCAGGCTATATGGCACAACATCACTATATTAAAGGGACACTGTAGTCACCAAAACAACTTTGGCTCAATGAAGCAGTTTTAGTGTATAGATAATGCCTCTGCAATGTCACTGCTCAATTCTCTACCATTTAGGAATTAAATAACTTTGTTTATACAGCCCTAGTCACACCTCGCTGCATGTGACTTACACAGCCTTCCTAAACACTTCCTGTAAAGAGTCATCTAATGTTTACACTTCCTTTATTGCAAATTATGTTTAATTTAGAATTTCTTATCTCATTCTGTGATAATAGCTTGCTAGACCCTGCAGGAGCCTCCTGTATGTAATTACAGTTCAATTTACAGAGCAGGAGATAAAATAAGTAATATCTGATTGAAAATTAATCATTTTGTTTTCATGCAGGCTGTTCATAAAAGTGAATTGAGCAGTGAAACTACAGGGACATGATCTATACACCAACACTGCTTCATTAAGCTAACGTCTTGGTGACTATAGTGTCCTTTTAAGCTGTAGTGATTCTGGTGACTATAGTGTCCATTTAAACTAAATTAAATTAAAGAACAACAACAAACAGTTAGAAAACATGCTTATACTCATTTGGATAGTATGATACTAATTATTAATAGATAATTTAAAATTTATTCTAACTCAGAGGTTGAAATGAGGATTGCTAAAAATAAGCTTTCCTTAAATACTAGAAAAACAGTTGCAATGGTATTCGAAACAAATCCCAAATTGCTTATACTACCTAATCCCGAATTAAGCATTATGACAAAGTCTTATTGTAATCTGACTAAGGTGAGTTCCTAAAGATATCTTGGCATATGGTTGGATAATAATTTATCAATAAGATTAGAAGTTGAAAAATCTGTTTAAACTTTATCCCAAACGTGGTGCTTTGTACAGAAATAAAGCCTGCTTAGATCTTCCTAGAGAAAAATAAATTTTGTAGCAAATGTTAAAGGGTCACTCTAGGCACCAAAACCACACCATCTTAATAAATAGTAAAATTTATATCTGCAGACCTAGCACGACCTCCCCTGATTATAGCTTCCCTACACATTTTCTGAAAAGAGGTGGTTATTTGGAACCTTGCATGGATCTTGCATTTCAGAAACAGTGGACCTTTTTACTTTAGGACTTGCAGGGAAAAGGTGAGAAGACTTTCTTATCTCTCCGCTCAGAGATAAAAAAAAACGTAATTTCCTGTTAATGCTGGCAGCTTGCCTGCCCACAGCCTCCTGTGTGAGATAAATATCTCACGAGCAGACTGAAGATTCCATCAAATGCTGCAAACCTGTCCAAGGAAAATAGAATCTTTCCACCACAAAGATTGTGTGTATATTATTTTATTTTTTAATATAATTTGTAAAATGTCATTATTTAACTATGATAAGTAAATATCTGTAGTCGGACACAAAGGCCAAGACTTTAGGTGAAAAGGTCGTTGTGCTTTGCGAAACCAGCGGTCTGGTTGACCTGTGAATAAAGAAGGCCCACCAAGGAAATGATTGAAAAAAATAATAAAAGGCAGAGGTGGGTGGGACAATCTGAACTGCAGTGGTGCAGAGGAGGCAGCCTGAGGCCAAATAGTCAGGTAACCCCTTCAACAACTCCAGGTTGCACCTTAATATATATATAAAATATATATTTTATAACTAAATACATTTAATTAAATCACAACACTAATGCCTTTAAGTTAAAATTCTACTAGAGTTAGTTAATATGAATTAAAAGTCTTAATTAACATAAGTAGAATGTATAAAACAACATGGATATTTAGCTTCAAGAGGAGTGGGTGACATCAGACACGGACTTTTCAAAATGTTCTTGGCAACCTAGCTGATATAATAATATCTAAGCATTTAACTAGGAAAACTACATGCATGACCTTGTCCATTTCCAAGCACTGTGGTCTAAATGATAGTATTTGTTTCATGGACCTTTGACTGTTGAAATTTAATCTAAAAGATTAATAAAATTGTTGACTTTCAGACACCGCAGATGGAGTTCTATCCACTGAGCTATCTCTCCTGACACAGAGTACAAGGAAATGTTATAAGTGCACTGCAGTAATGTGAAATTGGAGAAGGAGACCTTGGGAGTGTTAATGGTCAGGTACAATTGTTTCAACAAAAGAGCTTGGGGAGAAGAAACAAGTGTTGCTACTGTTAAGGAACAGATGTTTACAATGAGGCCCTCATTATGTCCATCAGTCATCGTAAAGGAATCCGTTGTTCCTCTGTGTCCAAGGCCTTAATTTCAATCAGTAGTAACAATAACTGATTAACTCTGGAAAGCAAAACAAATTATGTAAAGCTATTTTACTGGAACTCAAAGGAGCAGTGTAGCTGCTATGTACGTCAGCTGACAAGCTCAGCCAATGAATGGTGTTAAAATATGCATTAATACACCTCCGTCTTCCCCGGGACACTCATCCATTTTGGCGGTCACCTGACTGGTACCTTGTACGCTGTCCTCAGGCAGCAGCAGTGTACCTCACCAAGTTTGAAAGGCAATCTGAGGCCTCTGTTGCTTTTCTTGTGATACCCAATATGTCATTACAATTTTTCCATTTACTTTTCTGTTGCTAATTTTAGTTTTATTTTTTGACCTTCTGGGTTTCAATTCATTATTTTGACTTGGATGCTCTCCAAACACGATGTTTGAATGTTATTTCTATGTTCAATGTGCTATGCTCATGTTGTCATACTCATGAGTGGAGTGAGATATAAATAAAAAATGTTTTTAAAATAAATAAATGCATGAAATTGATATTGCTAATCTGGAAGTGTAAGTAACGTATTAGCAATGGTCACACAGGGTGCTGCATTAGTGGTGTCTTAAGAAACCTCGATTTTGGTCAAACCATTTGAAACCAACTTGACAAAGAAAAAAGGGATCTAGATAACAGCCTAATAGCACCGTAATCACTACATCAGCTAAGTACCACCTAAACTGTCCCTTTAATTTTTACATTTCTAGGCAGGTGTTTAATGATAACTTTGCTCGTTTCAAATCTTTATTAAACTGACAAGGAAATTCCACATATTCAGTCATAACTGCAGAATTGGAAAAAAACTGAGTAATAGAATCTTTATAATTTGACCAATATAAGCTAAAAAGTCCCTCAGCTCAAAGAAACTTGCCTGTCTATTAGAAATAAGCCTCTTCTATTTATCTGGTGGAAACAAACTGTTATACCTATACAAAGCAGCCAAAACCAATGTCATCTCCCCATACAGGGTTATTTAGAAATGTGAGAACTGCTGTGAATTCAAAGTGAAATTTAAAATTTAGACTAATATAGCTAATATTGGTTTGGCCTTAATTTTAGAATTCACTTTTGAATTCCCAACAATCCTCACTCTAGCGATTAACTCTTTTAGTCGCCGTTAATCCTGGTATTTGCATTTTACCAAAACTTACTTTCCGCCTCTCTTCTGCAGCCTCAAGCCTTTTCTGCAGCTCCTCTAGAGAAATGTCCCTCTTTCTGGGGGACACGGCAACTGGAGGGCTCTCTGGTGACAAGTCGGAGGGAGACTTCAAGATGACCTCAAAGCTCTGGCCAGACGCCCTTTTATTTAACTGCTTCACCTCCATGTCTGTAAAGAAAGTCAGTTTTTAAAGGAATAGAAAACCAATTAAAGACAATATTTTTACTTGAATATATATTCCAATTCATTTTGTTAAGTAAGGACTATCCTGTTATATCTCTAACAATCCGTCTTGTTTCCAGGTAAATTTCAAATCTCAAGTTACAGGAAAAAAAGATGCTGACCTATTCAAATCGTCTATAAGGCTAGGGACTGTCATAACTTATATAGAGAGTCATTTTAAGGTGCATGCTAACGTTAAAAAAAATAAATAAATATATATATATATATATATATCTATATCTACTGTTAACAGAGGGTTCCTTTATTAGTTTAGAATACTGGGGCCACCCTATATATATTACAAAATAAAATTATAAAAAGCTTGCCTGTAACCATTGGCAGGACAGACTCCTTCCTGCAGCTGCTCCTCCAATGAAGTCATCAGTTTGGATTATGTTTGTCTAGTTAGCTGCTACAGTAGAGAAGAACTGGGGAAAAAGGGCACATGCGCAGCAGTTGCTGCACTATGCCAATCCAATACTTCTCACAGGGAAGCACTGAATCCAGTACTTCTCCATGAGAACAAATAGCAGTGTTGATGTCTGATGACAACAACCTCTGAAAATACCTATAGTGACTTTCTGTTTGACAAGTACCAGAGGCATGTTTTGCAGAAAAATGTAAACATTGCTATTCCTCTGAAACGACAATGTTTTACACACCCAGACGAAAGGCATCTATGCACCAAAGTCACAACATAAAATGTGATTGTGATGCTTGGAGTGTCTTTTTAAAAACTTTTGTTGGCTATTTAACTCACTCTCCATTTATTTAAATGAATAAATTAGGCTCTCAAGTTTCCAAAAAATTCAGCTTGCAGAGTCAGCCATCTTAGCTTGACATGCATTATATTCTCCATGTTAATTTATTTCAGCCCTTACATTTATTTATTCATAAAATATTTTTGTGGGTCCACAAAACATTGCATTGTTACATTATGGTACAATAAAATACAAAAACAATATTAAATACATAATATATACAAAATTTAACATAGAACAGGTAGGAAATATATAATCAACCATGACAGGTGCATTCTATTTTGAGGTATGTAGAGAGGGATCTCTTAAAGGACTTTAGGCTAGAGGAAGATTTTAAAGTGTGCGGGAGGTCGTTCCGCAATTGCGGCGCTCTGTAGGAGAAGGAGGATCGGGCCACTTTCTTTTTGTATTGAGGTAGACTAAATAAAGTGCTGGGACTGGATCGGAGGTTATAGGAGGTGGGAACAGCTGAGGAGAGCATTTTGTTCAGGTAGGGTGGGAGTTTCCCAGAAAAGCTCTTAAACACAAGGCTGGAAAGATGAAGGGTACATGTTAGCTGATTATTTGTTAATATTACATTAAGGACCAAAGCAGAGTTTTGCAGAGATATAATATTCACAAATTAACAATTTCTTGCAAACTATAAAACTTTTTGTATAATTGAAGTTTGGATAGCGAAGATGGCACTTCCATTTTATTGTGCAATCTCTTCCCCAATATCTCAGTAAGACTAATTTTGGTTGCATGGCGTATTCCTTTGTGAAAAGAGAAATGAACTTGTGACAAATGCATTCACTGACCTTCATATTGATAGATGGTGTTAGGATGCGGCTGGGAATAAAAGCAGGAGCAGATCAAGGAGAGCACGGAGAGTTCCTTCATTTTATCCTTGTAGGCTGCAAGTGGAAAAGATTAACATAACAGATAAACAAGATTTTCAAAAAAAGTGTTAACTCTGCAATTATACCAGATGCAGAGTTGTAGTAAAATTAGCGACATGCTGTTTTTCCTACGATGAAAAGGAATATTCTTTAAAGGAAAATGTCAAGCACCATAACCAGGAACTACCACTTCTCATGATTTTTAATATTATGTGTCCTTAACCTCTATATGTAACACATGTGGTTTTTGTGACATCTGCAAAATAAAATGAAATATATAAATCAATCCTGCTGTATTTAGCTCTATCGCGGGACTGAGTGTCTCCATCTTGGCTCCCTGTCAATCATTGTTATAAACGCTGCCCTTGGCACCTGTCAGTCAGCATACAGATTATACGAACAAGGACGCTCCAGGCGCACTGTGCTTTGGTCATGTAAATGCAAGGATTAAAAAAAATACAAAAATCTCTTTTCATATGCATCAAACCCAAAAGAAACATTAAAATATCCCTGTTAATATGATCCATACATGTTCTGAAAAAAACTGCCGCCTCAAGGGCAATTTAAAAATGTTAGTCCTATATTATTACCCTGCCCAGATTAGACAGAAAACGCGGTTTGGTAAAAAGCTATATTATAACAAAATACTATTTTAGCTGTCTCTTCTGTAGAATTATTGAAAGGCACAATTTAATAAAGGAATGTTTATAATGAACAAGAATAGTCGCAGTGAACACATGAAAAATAAAAAAGAATTATATTACAAACAAATTAACCCTGCTAAAGTAGTTATGTCTCAAGACAGATTTTGGTGAATGAAGTGATAATCCTGCGCACCCTCAGATTGACATATAATTTCTAGGGATTGTTCGATATAACATACACATTTAGATGATCTCAGGTTTCTACTCCTGTCCTACCGAGAAGGGGCAGGGTGTGAATAGTTTTATAATAGGAAATAAAGGCATCCCAAACCCAGGAAAAAAAAAATACAATATGATATATTGCAGCTGATCTCGCTGGAACCAGGTCTAATCATCTCTGGATACCTAGACAATTTATCTCGGGGCAAATGGTATATCTTTCAAATAAAATTGATTCCGAAACGTTTGCCAAACTGCTGGTGAATCTTCATCGAAGGTTGTGGATTATGTCAGCTTTCTTTGACGGTTGACGGTTTGACAGACCTGGTCGTATCTGATATTTCCCCTATCATAAAATGTAGTCAGACGTATGGCCAGATCTCTGGTGAAGGGTGCATTAATTTTCTAAAACGTTTAGTGCCAATAAAACAGTGAAACAGGATTTTCAATTCACATGGTATTCCTGGTCATCTACAAGATTTAATTTATGATATTTTACAGTATATAAATTTAGCCTCATGAATTTATCACAACAGAGAGAGGAAGAGAAACAAAGTTTCCGTCGCTCCTCGTTCAATGCTATGCATGCCCTGGATTTTGATGTCAATTGCCAAATCTTTAAAAAAACATTTAAAGAAAATTTAGACAAATAAAAAAGGATTAGTCCAGTCAGTATCTGATTGTAGAGGAGATTTTCTGTTGGACCCAGTCAGAATGTGACAGTATTAATCCTATGTGAAGAAGTTCTGTCAAATCCAGTTAATATCTAACAGTACTGATCCTGTGTGAATAAAGTCTGAAGGATCCAGTCAGTATATGACAGTACTGGTGCTGATGAAGATGTTCTGTTAAATCCAGTCAGAATCTGACAATATTGGACCTGTGTTGGATCCATTCAGTATCTAACAATACTGATCCAGTGGGACAAAGTTCTAATTGATTCAGTCAGTACCTGACAGTACTGGTTCTGTGTGAATATGTTCTGATGGATCCAGTTAGTACCTGACAGTGTGATGGATAGAAATTAATGTGTGTAAAATGTCTATTTTCTATGTATACCTGTGTTCATTTATTGCTCAAAATGGCTGCTAGAGCACTCCCTCCCATCGACCAAGACCCTCGTGTAGTAAGATGGCGCCTCCATCCGGAGTTACACCTAAGATGACGATAACATCAACACCCTCTGGAGGAAGTCCATCAAGATTGGGCACTTAGCACCTAACCAATTAAATGTTTACTATACTAAAACACCTAACACTTAACCAATTGAAAAGTTCACTTTCTGTATTTGCATACATTGCATTCTTTGGATTTTTAAGGGGCTACGTCGCCCCCTGACAATACACTTCAAAGCTTTCATTTGACAGACAGTATCTGACAGTGTCGATCCTGTGTGAATATGTTCTGTTGGATCCTGTCAGTATCTTAAAGTACTAGTCTTTTATGAATATGCTCTGATCAATCCAGTCAGTACCTGACAGTACTGGTTCTGTGGGAAGATGTTCTGATGGGTCCAGTAAGAATCTCACAGTACTGGTTATGTAGGAAGATGTTCTGATGGGTCCAGTAAGTAACTGACAGTACTGGTATGTGTGAAGATGTTCTGGTGGGCCCAGTAAGTATCTCACAGTACTGGTCCTGTGTAATTATGGTCTGTTGGGTCCAATCACTATCGGACAGTATTGATCCTATATGAAGATGTTCTGATGGATGAAGTCAATATCTGGCAGTATTGATCATGTGTGAACATGTTCTGATGCATCCAGTCAGTATATGACAGTTCTGGTCCTGTGTGAAAATGTTTTGTTGGGTCCATTCAGTATCTTACAGTACTGGTCCCGTGTGAATATGCTCTGATCAATCCGGTCAGTATACAACAGTACTGGTCCAGTGTAAATACAGTTTTTTTGGTTCCTCTCAGTATCTGACAGTACTGGTCATGTAAGTATATGTTCTAATGGATCCAGTCATTATCTGATAGTATTGGTCCTGTGTAAACATGTTCTGATCAATCCAGTCAGACCTTGACAATACTGGTCCTGTGTGAATACAGTTTATTGGATCCAGTCAGTATCTTAGAGTACTGGTCCTGTGTACACATGTTCTGATGGATCCAGATGTACCTGACTGTAATTGTTCTGTGTAAATATTTTCTGAATTATCTAGGCAGTATTTGACAGTACTGATCTTTTGTTAATTGATGTTTTGTTTGATCCAATCGGTATCCGACAGTACTGGTCCTGTATGAATATATGCTGCTAGCATTGATCCAGTGTGAATATGTTCTGTTGGTCCAGTCAATATCTGACAGTACTATCCCTCTGTGAAGATGTTCTGATTGATCCGGTCAGTATCTGACAGTAGTCTTGTAACTATATGTACTAATGGATCCAGACAGTATCTGACAGCACTGGTCCTGTGTGAATATGTTCTGAAGGATCCAGTCAGTATCTGACAGTACTGGTTTTGTGTGAAGAAGTTTTGATGTATCCAGTCGGTATCTAACAGTATTGGTTCTATGTGAATATGTTCTGATGGATCCAGTCAGTATATGACTGTACTGGTCCTGTGTGAAGATGTTCTTATGCATCCAGTCAGTATCTGACTGAACTGGTCCTGTGTAAATATGTTCTGATGGATCCAGTCAGTATCTGACAGTACTTGCCCTGTGTGAAGATGTTCTGATGGATCCAGTCAGTGTCTGACAGTACCGGTCCTGTGTGAATATGTTCTGATGGATCCAGTCATTATCTGACAGTACTTGCCCTGTGTGAATATGTTCCGATGGATGCAGTCAGTATCTGACTGTACTGGTCTTGTGTGAAGATGTTCTTATACATCCAGTCAGGATCTAACTGTACTGGTCCTGTGTGAATATGTTCTGATGGAACCAGTCAGTATGTGAAAGTCCTGGTCCTGTGTGAATATGTTCTTATGGATCCAGTCAGTATCTGACAGTACTGGCCCTGTGTGAATATGTTCTGATGGATCCGGTCAGTATCTGACTGCACTGGTCCTGTGTTATTATGTTCTGATGGATCCGGTCAGTATCTGACAGTACTTGCCCTGTGTGAATATGTTCTGATGGATCCAGTCAGTATCTGACAGTACTTGCCCTGTGTGAAGATGTTCTTATGGATCCAGTCAGTATCCGACTGTACTGGTCCTGCGTGAATATGTTCTGATGGATACAGTCATTATGTGATAGTATTGGTCCTGTGTAAATATGTCAGTACTGTGTAAACATGTTCTGATCAATCCAGTCAGACCTTGACAATACTGGTCCTGTGTGAATACAGTTTATTGGATCCAGTCAGTATCTTAGAGTACTGGTCCTGTGTAGACATGTTCTGATGGATCCAGATGTACCTGACTGTAATTGTTCTGTGTGAATATTTTCTGAATTATCTAGGCAGTATTTGACAGTACTGGTCTTTTGTTAATTGATGTTTTGTTTGATCCAATCAGTATACAACAGTACTGGTCCTGTATGAATATATGCTGCTAGCATTGATCCAGTGTGAATATGTTCTGTTGGTCAGTCAACATCTGACAGTACTAGTCCCTGTGAAGATGATTGTTCTAACGGATCCAGTCAGTATCTGACAGTACTGGTCCTGTGTGAAGAGGTTTTGATGTGTCCAGTCAGTATCTAACAGTATTGGTTCTGTGTGAATATGTTCTGATGGGTCCAGTCAGTATCTGACAGTACTGGTCCTGTGTGAATATGTTCTGAAGGATCCAGTCAGTATCTGACAGTACTGGTCCTGTGTGAAGAAGTTCTGAAGGATCCAGTCAGTATCTGACAGTACTGGTCCTGTGTGAATATGTTCTGATGGGTCCAGTCAGTATCTGACTGTACTTGCCCTGTGTGAATATGTTCTGATGGATCCAGTCAGTATCTGACAGTACTGGTCTTGTGTGAATATGTTCTGATGGATCCAGTCAGTATCTGACAGTACTGGTCCTGTGTGAAGATGTTCTTATGGATTCAGTCAGTATCTGACAGTACTGGTCTTGTGTGAATATGTTCTGATGGATCCAGTCATTATCTGACTGTACTGGTCCTGTGTGAATATGTTTTAATGGATCCAGTCAGTATCTGACAGTACTGGTCCTGTGTGGATATGTTCTGATAAATCCAGTCATTATGTGACTGTACTGGTCCTGTGTGAATATGTTTTAATGGATCCAGTCAGTATCTGACTGTACTGGTCCTGTGTTATTATGTTATGATGGATCCGGTCAGTATCTGACAGTTCTTGCCCTGTGTGAATATGTTCTGATGGATCCAGTCAGTAGCTGATAGTATTGGTCCTGTGTGAATATGTTCTAATGGATCAAGTCAGTATCTGACTGTACTGGTCCTGTGTTATTGTGTTCTGATGGATCCGGTCAGTATCTGACAGTACTTGCCCTGTGTGAATATGTTCTGATGGATCCAGTCAGTATCTGACTGTACTGGTCCTGTGTAAATTTGCTCTTAGGGATCCAGTCAGTATCTGACTGTACTAATCCTATGTGAAGATGTTCCTATGGATCCAGTCAGTATCTGACTGCACTGGTCCTATGTAAATATGTTCTGATGGATCCAGTCATTATCTGACTGTACTGGTCTTGTGTGAATATGTTCTGATGGATCCAGTCAGTATCTGACAGTATTGGTCCTGTGTGAATATGTTCTGATGGATCCACTCAGTATCTGACTGTACTGGTCCTGTGTGAATATATGTTCTGATGGATCCAGTCAGTATCTGACAGTACTGGCCCTGTGTGAATATGTTCTGATGGATCCAGTCAGTATTTGACAGTACTGGCCCTGTGTGACTATGTTCTGATGGATCCAGTCAGGATCTGACAGTACAGGTCCTGTGTGAATATATTTGGATGGATCCAGTCAGTGTCTGACAGTATTGATTCTGTGTGGATATGTTCTGAATTCTGATGGATCCAGTCAGTGTTTGACAGTACTGGTCCTGTGTGAATATGTTCTGATGGATCCAGTCAGTGTCTAACAGAATTGGTTCTGTGTGAATATGTTCTGATGGATCCAGTCAGTATCTGACTGTACTGGTCCTGTGTGAATATGTTCTGATGGATCCAGTCAGTATCTGATAGTACTGGTCCTGTGTGGATATGTTCTGATAAATCCAGTCATTATCTGACTGTACCGGTCCTGTGTGAATATGTTCTGATGGATCCAGTCATTATCTGACTGTACTGGTCCTGTGTTATTATGTTCTGATGGATCCAGTCAGTATCTGACATTACTGGCCCTGTGTGGATATGTTCTGATAAATCCAGTCATTATCTGGCTGTACCGGTCCTGTGTGAATATGTTCTGATGGATCCAGTCATTATCTGACTGTACTGGTCCTGTTTTATTATGTTCTGATGGATCCAGTCAGTATCTGATAGTACTGGTCCTGTGTGGATATGTTCTGACAATTCCAGTCATTATCTGACTGTACTGGTCCTGTGTGAATATGTTCTTATGGATCCAGTCACTATCTGACAGTACTGGTCTTGTGTGAAGATGTTCTTATACATCCTGTCAGTATCTGACTGTACCGGTCCTGTGTAAATGTGTTCTGATGGATCCAGTCAGTATCTGATAGTATTGGTCATGTGTGAATATGTTCTGATGGATCCAGTCAGTATCTGACAGTACTGGTCCTGTGTGAATATCTTCTGATGGAACCAGTCAGTATGTGAAAGTCCTGGTCCTGTGTGAATATGTTCTTATGGATCCAGTCAGTATCTGACAGTACTGGCCCTGTGTGAATATGTTCTGATGGATCCGGTCAGTATCTGACTGCACTGGTCCTGTGTTATTATGTTCTGATGGATCCGGTCAGTATCTGACAGTACTTGCCCTGTGTGAATATGTTCTGATGGATCCAGTCAGTATCTGACAGTACTTGCCCTGTGTGAAGATGTTCTTATGGATCCAGTCAGTATCCGACTGTACTGGTCCTGCGTGAATATGTTCTGATGGATACAGTCATTATGTGATAGTATTGGTCCTGTGTAAATATGTCAGTACTGTGTAAACATGTTCTGATCAATCCAGTCAGACCTTGACAATACTGGTCCTGTGTGAATACAGTTTATTGGATCCAGTCAGTATCTTAGAGTACTGGTCCTGTGTAGACATGTTCTGATGGATCCAGATGTACCTGACTGTAATTGTTCTGTGTGAATATTTTCTGAATTATCTAGGCAGTATTTGACAGTACTGGTCTTTTGTTAATTGATGTTTTGTTTGATCCAATCAGTATACAACAGTACTGGTCCTGTATGAATATATGCTGCTAGCATTGATCCAGTGTGAATATGTTCTGTTGGTCAGTCAACATCTGACAGTACTAGTCCCTGTGAAGATGATTGTTCTAACGGATCCAGTCAGTATCTGACAGTACTGGTCCTGTGTGAAGAGGTTTTGATGTGTCCAGTCAGTATCTAACAGTATTGGTTCTGTGTGAATATGTTCTGATGGGTCCAGTCAGTATCTGACAGTACTGGTCCTGTGTGAATATGTTCTGAAGGATCCAGTCAGTATCTGACAGTACTGGTCCTGTGTGAAGAAGTTCTGAAGGATCCAGTCAGTATCTGACAGTACTGGTCCTGTGTGAATATGTTCTGATGGGTCCAGTCAGTATCTGACTGTACTTGCCCTGTGTGAATATGTTCTGATGGATCCAGTCAGTATCTGACAGTACTGGTCTTGTGTGAATATGTTCTGATGGATCCAGTCAGTATCTGACAGTACTGGTCCTGTGTGAAGATGTTCTTATGGATTCAGTCAGTATCTGACAGTACTGGTCTTGTGTGAATATGTTCTGATGGATCCAGTCATTATCTGACTGTACTGGTCCTGTGTGAATATGTTTTAATGGATCCAGTCAGTATCTGACAGTACTGGTCCTGTGTGGATATGTTCTGATAAATCCAGTCATTATGTGACTGTACTGGTCCTGTGTGAATATGTTTTAATGGATCCAGTCAGTATCTGACTGTACTGGTCCTGTGTTATTATGTTATGATGGATCCGGTCAGTATCTGACAGTTCTTGCCCTGTGTGAATATGTTCTGATGGATCCAGTCAGTAGCTGATAGTATTGGTCCTGTGTGAATATGTTCTAATGGATCAAGTCAGTATCTGACTGTACTGGTCCTGTGTTATTGTGTTCTGATGGATCCGGTCAGTATCTGACAGTACTTGCCCTGTGTGAATATGTTCTGATGGATCCAGTCAGTATCTGACTGTACTGGTCCTGTGTAAATTTGCTCTTAGGGATCCAGTCAGTATCTGACTGTACTAATCCTATGTGAAGATGTTCCTATGGATCCAGTCAGTATCTGACTGCACTGGTCCTATATAAATATGTTCTGATGGATCCAGTCATTATCTGACTGTACTGGTCTTGTGTGAATATGTTCTGATGGATCCAGTCAGTATCTGACAGTATTGGTCCTGTGTGAATATGTTCTGATGGATCCACTCAGTATCTGACTGTACTGGTCCTGTGTGAATATATGTTCTGATGGATCCAGTCAGTATCTGACAGTACTGGCCCTGTGTGAATATGTTCTGATGGATCCAGTCAGTATTTGACAGTACTGGCCCTGTGTGACTATGTTCTGATGGATCCAGTCAGGATCTGACAGTACAGGTCCTGTGTGAATATATTTGGATGGATCCAGTCAGTGTCTGACAGTATTGATTCTGTGTGGATATGTTCTGAATTCTGATGGATCCAGTCAGTGTTTGACAGTACTGGTCCTGTGTGAATATGTTCTGATGGATCCAGTCAGTGTCTGACAGTACTGGTCCTGTGTGAAGAAGTTTTGATGTGTCCAGTCAGTATCTAACAGAATTGGTTCTGTGTGAATATGTTCTGATGGATCCAGTCAGTATCTGACTGTACTGGTCCTGTGTGAATATGTTCTGATGGATCCAGTCAGTATCTGATAGTACTGGTCCTGTGTGGATATGTTCTGATAAATCCAGTCATTATCTGACTGTACCGGTCCTGTGTGAATATGTTCTGATGGATCCAGTCATTATCTGACTGTACTGGTCCTGTGTTATTATGTTCTGATGGATCCAGTCAGTATCTGACATTACTGGCCCTGTGTGGATATGTTCTGATAAATCCAGTCATTATCTGGCTGTACCGGTCCTGTGTGAATATGTTCTGATGGATCCAGTCATTATCTGACTGTACTGGTCCTGTTTTATTATGTTCTGATGGATCCAGTCAGTATCTGATAGTACTGGTCCTGTGTGGATATGTTCTGACAATTCCAGTCATTATCTGACTGTACTGGTCCTGTGTGAATATGTTCTTATGGATCCAGTCACTATCTGACAGTACTGGTCTTGTGTGAAGATGTTCTTATACATCCTGTCAGTATCTGACTGTACCGGTCCTGTGTAAATGTGTTCTGATGGATCCAGTCAGTATCTGATAGTATTGGTCATGTGTGAATATGTTCTGATGGATCCAGTCAGTATCTGACAGTACTGGTCCTGTGTGAATATCTTCTGATGGATCCGGTCAGTATCTGACTGTACTGGTCCTGTATTATTATGTTCTGATGGATCCGGTCAGTATATGACAGTATTGGTCCTGTGTGAATATGTTCTGATGGATCCAGTCAGTATCTGACTGTACTGGTCCTGTGTTATTGTGTTCTGATGGATCCGGTCAGTATCTGACAGTACTTGCCCTGTGTGAATATGTTCTGATGGATCCAGTCAGTGTCTGATAGTATTGGTCCTTTGTAAATATGTATTGATGGATCCAGTCATTATCTGACTGTACTGGTCCTGTGTGAATATGTTCTGATGGATCCAGTCAGTATCTGACAGTACTGGTCCTGTGTGAATATGTTTTGATGGATCCAGTCAGTGTCTGACAGTACCGGTCCTGTGTGAATATGTTCCGATGGATCCAGTCAGTGTCTGACAGTACCGGTCCTGTGTGAATATGTTCTGATGGATCCAGTCAGTGTCTGACAGTACTGGTCCTGTGTGAATATGTTCTGATGGATCCAGTCAGTATCTGACAGTACTGGTCCTGTATGAATATGTTCTGATGTATTCAGTCAGTGTCTGACAGTACTGGTCCTGGGTGACTATGTTCTGATAAATCCAGTCAGTGTCTGACAGTACTGGTCCTGTGTGAATATGTTCTGATGGATCCAGTCAGTGTCTGACAGTACTGGTCTTGTGTGAATATGTTCTGATAAATCCAGTCAGTGTCTGACAGTACTGGTCCTGTGTGAATATGTTCTGATGGATCCAGTCAGTGTCTGACAGTACTGGTCCTGTGTGGATATGTTCTGATGGATCCACTCAGTATCTGACAGTACTGGTCCTGTGTTCTGATGAATCCAGTCAGTGTCCGCAAGTACTGGTCGTGTGTGAATATGTTCTGATGGATCCAGTCAGTGTCCGACAGTACTGGTCCTGTGTGAATATGTTCTGATGGATCCAGTCAGTGTCTGACAGTACTGGTCCTGTGTGAATATGTTCTGATGGATCCAGTCAGTGTCTGACAGTACTGGTCCTGTGTGAATATGTTCTGATGGATCCAGTCAGTGTCTGACAGTACCGGTCCTGTGTGAATATGTTCTGATGGATCCAGTCAGTGTCTGACAGTACCGGTCCTGTGTGAATATGTTCTGATGGATCCAGTCAGTGTCTGACTGTACCGGTCCTGTGTGAATATGTTCTGATGGATCCAGTCAGTATCTGACAGTACCGGTCCTGTGTGAATATGTTCTGATGGATTCAGTCAGTGCCTGACAGTACCGGTCCTGTGTGAATATATTCTGATAAATCCAGTCAGTATTTGACAGTACTGGCCCTGTGTAACGATGGTCTCAGAGATCCAGTCAGTGTCTGGCAGCACTGGTCCTGTGTGACAATGGTCTCAGGGATCCAGTCAGTGTCTGACAGTACTGGTCCTGTGTGAATATGTTCTGATGGATTCAGTCAGTGTCTGACAGTACCGGTCCTGTGTGAATATATTCTGATAAATCCAGTCAGTATTTGACAGTACTGGCCCTGTGTAACGATGGTCTCAGGGATCCAGTCAGTGTCTGGCAGCACTGGCCCTGTGTGACAATGGTCTCAGGGATCCAGTCAGTGATTATTCCAATAATATGGACCAAAGAAGCTGCTGAAAAGTCCTGACATTTGTGCATCCATCCCTGACACCTGGTGCTCTAAAACTCAGACATGTCACTAAGGACAGCCAAGACGTTTCCACACAACCTCTCCTAATAAGCTATTGTGTGTCTGGGGACTGGAGAGACTGGAGAGACTGGCGCCAGCTATCAGCCTTAATTACCCAGCACCAGACATGATGCACTGCTGGTCACAGATGTGTAAGCTCCTGTGCATCGAGCCCAGTAACAAGAAGATGGCAGTAACTTTCATGTTGGATATAATCGAGCCCCCTGTGCCGTGTCACTGGCCATTTCTGCACTACCACCTAGCAGACGGTTTAGCATTAATCTCCATGTGCAACATGTTTGTGTGTGGGGGATTTAAATTAATTGTGTCAGGTGCTGTCAAACTGATTTATTTGGCATCATTTTAGAAGCACACAGTTATTTTTCACTCAATCTATATCTGTCTGATATTCTATACTATTCAATAAATCTGCCTGCATACAATTCGCAGTGAGTGCCTGAGATTTTTCTATTCCCCATAAAGATATACACAGATTCTCTGTCTGATATTCTATACTGAGACCCCTATAAAAGTATACACAGATTATCTGGCTGATATTCTATAATGAGACCCCAATAAAGGTGTAAACAGATTATCTGGCTGATATTCTATAATGAGACCCCAATAAAGGTGTAAACAGATTATCTGGCTGATATTCTATACTGAGACCCCCATAAAGGTGTACACAGATTATCTGGCTGATATTCTATACTGAGACCCCCATAAAGGTATACACAGATTATCTGGCTAATATTCTATACTGAGACCCCCATAAAGGTATATACAGATTATCTGACTGATATTCTATACTGAGACGCCCATAAAGGTATACACAGATTATCTAGCCAATATTCTATACTGACACCCCCATAAAGGTATTTACAGATTATCTGTCTAAAATTCTATACTGAGACCCCCATAGAGGTATACACAGACAGATTATCTGGCTGCAGTGATTTGGTATAACCTCCACAGAGGAATATACTGAAGGACATAGGCATAGACGGAACACCTGGCTGCTACAAAGTGACCCCCATAGAGGCATAGACAGAATACTTAGCTGCTTTAAAGTGACCCCCCATAGAGGCATATACTTAATACCTGCCTAGAAGACTGAATACCTGCCTGCTATATAGTGACCCCCATAGAGGCCTAGAAGACTGAACACCTGGCTGCTATATAGTGACCCCCATAGAGGCATAGACTGAATACCTGCCTGCTATATAGTGACCCCCATAGAGGCCTAGAAGACTGAACACCTGGCTGCTATATAGTGATCCCCATAGAGGCCTAGAAGACTGAACACCTGGCTGCTATATAATGATCCCCATAGAGGCCTAGAAGACTGAACACCTGGCTGCTATATAGTGATCCCCATAGAGGCCTAGAAGACTGAACACCTGGCTGCTATATAGTGATCCCCATAGAGGCCTAGAAGACTGAACAACTGACTGCTATATAGTGACCCCCACAGATGAATACACTAAACACCTGGCTGCAGTAGTATACAGTATTTGGTATATTATGACTCAATAGAGGTATATACATACCACACCCACCTGCACTATGCTATGCACTCCTCCTCCCTCCAATATCCTTGCTGTAACCAGAATATAGACCCCCCTTTTTACATAGAAGCTAATGGTGAATATGGCAAGGCTCCAGGCAGGGCATAATACAATGCTAATTCTTTGCCAATCCCAGAGCCATATCAGACTGTAAGTGGACACCCATTGCCCACCCCTGCAGCTCCATATACCGGTACATGACAGGTATCTAGGAACCTCAGCCATCATACTCTGCCTAAGGGTGACAGGAGTTGCAGCCTGACAGCAGCCCTGTGTGCTTAGATCTCCCAAGTCCCCATCTATCTGGCTCACACCAGCTCCCATGTGAACAGAGAATAGGCAACCTTTCATAACGTGCCTGGACTACGTTCAATTTAGGCAATCTCCCCCTTTCCACCTCCTGCCCATTGTGTTCTCTCCTATCCACACCCACTGCTCACACTGCTGCTGTGGGGTGTCCAGGCTCAGTACGCATGGCAGAGAGACACAATAGGGAGAGGGGATGGGGATATGGAAATCCACCCTAATACATTCACGGCTCCAGATCCCCACACACCCTTCACCCTGCCACACACTGAAATGCATGCAACCTCCCAGGACCTGCGGATGCAAAATGTCTGCAAAACCAGCATTCCCTGCTATTGTGTATCAGTTGCTGAGATTCCAATCCATGAATAGAATTATGGAATCCCACTGGCTGATGAGATTTATATTTACAGTGTGAAAAAAATAAAATAAAATCCCTGCAAGAATAGAATGTGTCAGAAAAACCCATCACCCAACTGTGTGCAATGCTACCCCAAGGGTGTGTGACTGCCTGGAGGGTTAACCCTATCCTTGCCAGTGGATAGCAGTATGGGGGTGCAACATGTGGCTGCCTGCAGTGACTCCCACATGGGTAGTCCCAGCGATGCAGCTGACAGATCACCCCGCAGTGAAGCTGGAATTGGGGGTTGGGGGGAGGAAAGAAGGGGTGTCATGGCTTTCCCAAGCTGTTTCATGGATTCTGGAATACGTGTCTCAGTATTTAGAGGAGTAATAATAAAAAAAATTAATATATATATATATATATATATATATATATATATAATATGAATTGGGGGGAAAGAATTGTATTGGCAAAAGCACACATAGTGTGCAAATAAATATGCATGTTTCTACAGGAAATATGTATGAGCATAATTGCTTAATATTTACATAATGGATGGATGGATGTATATAGAATCCCCCCAAATCAAAAAGCCTAAATTAAACAAAATGGCTCACAAATCATTCACTAGGTCCAGTCCCCTAATTCTGAATTACAATCATATCTATGTATGTGTCTATCCATTAATCCACCCCATACAGGTGCACACACATGTACATCTGTTCCTGTGTATGTGCACACACATGATACATTGTAACACATTGCATGTTTCCCCAGCCCATCCCTCCAGCTCCCACTTCTCCTGTATCCACCTCTGATACATGGAGGGCGTTTCTGCAGGAAAAATGCTTCAATCTCCATGAAATGCGCATTAAATGCCCATTCCTTTGGGCTGCCCAGCCATATGCCCTTCATCCACCACACCCTAGGGCTCCCCTGAGCATCCTGTCAAAAATGCTCAAATCTAAGGATTCTGAATAGATTGCAGCCAATCATCCCATGACCTGTATGAGATATTTTATGAAAGGGAAGATATAAACGGCTGGGGATCCAGGGGTCCCTGGGATGACTGGGGTTAGCAGGTGGGGGGCTCAGTCCTACCTGACACGGTGCTGGCCATGGTGCTGAGCTGGGTGCAGGATGTGGCTGTTCAGTGGCTGAGTGCTGCAATGCTGTGAAAGGGAAGGCGAATGCCTGACTCAGCTCTAGGGGGATCCAGGAGAGAGAGAGGGGAGGAGAGACTGGCATGGGGGAGGAGGAGGTTCGGAATGGTGGGGGTAGGGGGGAGGGGGTACCATCACAGGGAGGTGCTGCTAGTGTTTTAAAATTCTCTTCCACAGATCGAGGTGAATGGAGAAATGAATGAAATGCTCAGTCACACCCTGGCCTGCACCCCCCAACACATACTCTGCTGCTGTATATGTCAGAGACCCCCCATCACTGCTGGTACTAAGAGCCCCTCCACACCTTACTGCCAGTAAACATTAACTGCTAGCCAACTCCCGCAATCTTATTGTATGTACACGTAATGTAATTCCTCACCCTGTTATACATAGAACCTTCCAACCTTATTTATTACTAGATATAACCTCCCCCAACCTCAATATCATCCTCTCACCCTGTCATACATAGAATCCCCCCAACCTTAATATCATTCCTCTCACCCTGTCATACATAGAATCCCCCCCAACCTTACTATCATTCCTCTCACCCTGTCATACATAGAATCCCCCCAACCTTACTATCATTCCTCTCACCCTGTCATACATAGAATCCCCCCAACCTTACTATCATTCCTCTCACCCTGTCATACATAGACTACCCCCAACCTTAATATCATTCCTTTCACCCTGTCATACATAGAATCCCCCCAACCTTACTATCATTCCTCTCACCCTCGCATACATAGAATCACCCCAACCTTACTATCATTCCTCTCACCCTGTCATACATAGAATCCCCCCAACCTTACTATCTTATCATTCCCTTCCCCACTCCCGTCATACATAGAATCCTTCAACCTACTATCATTCCTCTCACCCCGTCACATACATATAGAATCCCCAACCTACTATCATTCCTCCCTACCCTGTCATACACAGTAACTTCCCAACCTTACTATCATTCCTCTCACCCTGTCACATGTACACAGAATCCTCACTAACCTTAAGTACTATCATTCCTCTCAAGCACCCTGTCATACATAGAATCCCAACCTACTATCATTCCTCTCACCCTGTCATACATATAGAATCCCCAACCTTACTATCATTCCTCCTACCCCTGTCATACACAGAACTTCCAACCCAGCCATATCATTCCTCTAACCCTGTCATACATAGAACTTCCAACCTTTTTTACTATCATTCCTCCTTTAAATTCTGCCTCATACATAGAATCCCCCCAACCTTACTATCATTCCTCCTCACCCTGTCACATAGAACTTCCCAACCTTACTATCATTCCTCTCACCCCTGTCATGCCATAGAATCCCCAACCTTACTATCATTCCTCTCACCCTGTCATACACAGAATCCCCCCCAACCTTACTATCATTCCTCTCACCCTGCCATACATAGAATCCCCCCCAACCATACTATCATTCCTCTCACCCTGTCATACATAGAATCCCCCCAACCTTACTATCATTCCTCTCACCCTGTCATACACAGAATCCCCCCCAACCTTACTATCATTCCTCTCACCGTCATACATAGAATCCCCCCCAACCATACAATCATTCCTCTCACCCTGTCATACACAGAACCCCCCCAACCTTAATATCATTCCTCTCACCCTGTCATACATAGAATCCCCCCAACCTTATATCATTCCTCACCCTGTCATATACAGAACCCCCCCAACCTTACTATCATTCCTCTTACCCTGTCATACATAGAATCCCCCCAACCTTAATATTATTCCTCTCACCCTGCCATACATAGAATCTCCCCCAACCTTACTATCATTTGTCTCACCCTGTCATATACAGAACCCCCCCAAACCTTACTATCATTGCTCTCACCCTGTCATACATAGATTTGCCCCCCAACCTTAACATCATTCCTCTCACCCTGTCATACATAGAATCCACCCAACCTTACTATCATTCCTCTCACCCTGTGATACATAGAATCCCCCCAACCTTAATATCATTAATCTCACCCTGAGATACATAGAATCCCCCCAACCTTACTATCATTCCTCTTACCCTGACTGTCATATACAGAATCCCCCCCAACCTCACTGTCACTACATGTAAACCCCCAACATTTAGTGTCAGTACATGAAACCCCCCCCCCCAACCTTACTGTCAGTATATGTAGTCCCCTCAAACCTTGACAATCTTCCCAGGATTGGACACCCCAGCAATATCACCCCCCGAGATTAGACCATGCAATGCTCCGAGAAATTGCAAAACACCTAACAGTTATATCTCAGACTCTACAGGCCTCAGTTAGCATGTTAAATGTTAACATTCATGACAGTACAATTGGAGAAAAGACTGAATAAGTATGGTATGTTTGGAAGGGTTGTCAAGAGATAGCCGCTTCTCCCTAAAATAAACATGGTAGTATGGTTTAGGTTTGCAAAGTTGCATCTAAACAAACCTGTTGTGGAACAATGTCCTTGACCTTGACAATGTCCATACTTCTGTAACAGAGAAGATCAAAGTGTAGGTGTTTCGACATAATGCACAGCGCCTCGTTTGGCGAAAACCAAACTCAACATATCAGTCAGTACATTTAATCCCTTAATCTAACAGTCAGTACATGTGTGACGGTAGTCGCCATCACTGGCAGCATAAGATTGACACTTCATGTAGGTCCCCTGATGACTCTTATGTTGTCACGATTCTCACCGTGACATCCTGACGGCCAGACGAGGTCGCCCAAGAAGTGCCTGGTGACAGACTTGAACCAGGATACTTTGCAGTCCTGGGGCTGCTACTTTGCCTCTAAACCACCATATCAGCTCTAGAGATAGCCAGAAGTCTATCTTGCCTTGTACCCAGCACTGGGGGCTGGACGTTATTCTGTGGCTGCTCCAACAATCTCAGCACACCTGTGGCTGATCACCAATTAGCCAGGTATAAGACACTGCCTCTCCCTGAGGGCAGTGTCAGTTCATTGACTCTGGTTCCCTTGTTTGGTTCCTGTCTTGCCATATCTGCGTTCCAGTATTTCCTGTTTGATTCCGGCTTCTGACCTTGGCTTTCCTCCTGGACTACTCTGATCTCTGGCTTCCCCTGACTTTGGCTTTCCTTGACTACGCTTCTGCTAATCCCTGCTGTACTGCTACCTGGAGCACTATTCCTGGAAAGCCCCCGTGCACAGACTCACAGATCAGGTGGCGTCTTACCTGGTCACCCTGGTCTGTGTCTACTTTGCAAGGGTGAGCGTATAACTCTGCGAGCTGGACTCCCCATCAGGTAAGACCCTGACATAATGAACTGACCATATGGAGTCTGCAGAATTATACAAATTACTCACTTCCCTGGCTGAACAAGTCTCCAACCTGTCCCAGAATGTTATGGATTTGCAGAGATGTTCATTGGCATTTAAAGGAGCAGTACATCCAATCCCGGAACATACATACCCAGAACCCTGTGTCATTATGCCTGACAGGTTTGACGGTTCCCGTTCTGCTTTCCAGATGTTCAAGAAGGATTGTGAGCTACTGTTTGCCCTGAAACCTAGAACCTACGCCACCGACCTTATCAGAGTCCGCTCCGCTATTAACCTGTGTACTGGGCGGATTAAGGCGTGGGCACACCAGAAGCTGCAGGAGAGAAGTAGTGTCTTGGACTCCTGGGAGTTGTTTATGTCCGCAATGGACTCTCAGTGCTTTGCATCAAGGAAAGCAACTCCCAAGCCTACTCCAGGTTCTCGCAGAACCCGGTTGCCTAGAGAGGAGGAATTATTTTATGAATTCAAGAATCCCATCTCGCTACAGTCTAAACCTGCCTCCAAGGACCTGCCTTGTCATCATAACGTTACCCATGTGGAACTTGGCACTCTAGAGGACAAGGAGGAACCCATGGAGATCGGCTTCATCCGCACTAGAACAAGACTGCCATCTAGAGAAAGAGACCGAAGGAGGGCTTGTTGTCTCTGTTTCTATTGTGGAGAAGGAGGGCACTTTATCTCCCACTGCCCTATTCACCCCACTCGGCCTAAGCCTCTTCAAGTAGGTACTACTCTGCTTCATCCTGTTATCCCGGCAACACAGCCAGAAAAATGTCAAGGGTACTGTCGGATGTTTCCACGTTCCGTGACGCAGAAGAGTACCCAGACTACGATGGCTACTGATGCCAGTGTCTCTCAAGAACACATAATCGGTGATCGTGAGAATTCACCACCTCCAGAAGACTCTCCTGTTAAAACTGGTACCACCACTACTTCCTTCCTGCCCAAAGGAGAACTACCTGTGGATTGTACCAAGGTCCACAGAACAGATCTGGAAACGTTTGAAAAGGCTTTGAAAGTCATGAACTCTGCTCCTGGTGACTCACCTAAGAAAAAAAGTTGAGAGAAAATGACTCCTGGGATCAAGGTACTTACCGCCTGCACCAAATCCATGAATAACCTTGATCTCATTCCATTAGTACCCAAAACTGGTACCATAAAGTCCCAGGCTGTAAAGGGACTCTGCTCTGGAGACTTTGATTACAAAGACTATCTTAGTACTCCTCATCTTTGGTCTCAGTATCACTATTTCCAAGAAGAACCTGTTCACGCCCGGAGGGCGTTCTTGAAGGGAGGGTACTGTCACGATTCTCACCGTGACATCCCGACGGCCAGACGAGGTCGCCCAAGAAGTGCCTGGTGACGGACTTGAACCAGGGTACTTTGCAGTCCTGGGGCTGCTACTTTGCCTCTAAACCACCATATCAGCTCTAGAGATAGCCAGAAGTCTATCTTGCCTTGTACCCAGCACTGGGGGCTGGACGTTATTCTGTGGCTGCTCCAACAATCTCAGCACACCTGTGGCTGATCACCAATTAGCCAGGTATAAGACACTGCCTCTCCCTGAGGGCAGTGTCAGTTCATTGACTCTGGTTCCCTTGTTTGGTTCCTGTCTTGCCATATCTGCGTTCCAGTATTTCCTGTCTGATTCCGGCTTCTGACCTTGGCTTTCCTCCTGGACTACTCTGATCTCTGGCTTTCCTTGACTACGCTTCTGCTAATCCCTGCTGTACTGCTACCTGGAGCACTATTCCTGGAAAGCCCCCGTGCACAGACTCACAGATCAGGTGGCGTCTTACCTGGTC